CAGCAGGTCTTTGAAGATTATCGGCCACACTTGTTTGTTTTCCGGCATCGCCAGTCTCAACACTGTTACCAGAGGGAAGAGGAAGATCTTGACCACCCATTCCTCTTGCTGTACGACCTCTTCTCTCCTGAAGTAATCTCTTTTGCCGCCTATTTGTTGACGATCCTTCTTGGTTTGTATCCTCAAGAACATCATCCGGACGTGTATGCAAATATGCAACAAGCCCAGGTGGCAGAACTCGAGAAAGAAGATCCAAAGCTGGTTGATAAGAATCTGCCCAGAGTGCCACAAGCTGCCTACTTACCTCACGACGTTCACTGGCAGGAAGGGAAAATGCATTCAATAAATGTCTCAGCAAAGCACCATCGCGCAGAGCAGCATCACGCATTGACTCTGCAGCAATTGCATCTTCTTCAGCAATTGTACGCATTATAACCGCAATGATTTCCCTGACACTTTCGGCAGGATGTGCAAAGAGTGAAAATAAACGACGACGTAGGGCAGCTATTTGGCGTAACATTTCTACAAAAACCGTGTATTGGGTAGTCTCTCCATGTGGATCACAAACCATAGCCTCAAAGACTTCAACAATCGCCATGGAAAACAAAGGTGAGACTGACGTGGGTTTCAATCGATTGACCAGTATATTAACATAACCCTGTTGAGCAAACAAAACAGACTTGGTATGCATGATAGTTGCATGTTTTTCTCCTCTGGTATCTGGTGCAGTACTTAGATCTGCTGACCCACCACCTATGAGGGATGCAATAAGCCCAGAAGCTTCAGCAGCCACACCTTCAGACCCGTTCCTAAGTAAACCCATTATCCTATTAACAGCAGCCGGGAAAGACATTATATGGGATGCTGCAGTCCTGGAGGACAATAACCTACGCAAACATGCAACAAAGCCAATAACAGTTGCTGCTGCTTTGGGCGAAGGAGGTGGCAAAGGAGGGGCGTCTAGAGGCAGATTTGGAGTTGCTGGGAGCATAGTAATCAATGCCATCAATGTCACCTCAGGGACTTCAATATTGGCGGGCAAACCTGTATACGGGATACAAGCATTGAACTCCCTTATTCTACGCCATAGTCTAGCCCTACAACCAGGAACAGATCCACCCTCGGCAACTGCATCTTTTGCAGCAGCAGCTAAATGTTTCAGATGTAGAGAGCAAGTTTCCATATCAGCAACAAGATGTTGCGGTCCATAGATTAAACTAACTCTTCCGCAGGGAGGATCAATGCGATGACCAGGCATGGTAAGCCTTGGTAATACTGGTATCGGGGATTGTCCCTGCATCATATTTCCTTCATTTATCAGCATAACAATCTACCAATAGATTTTGCGTGTAGTTAAAGCACTAGCATATGAAATATATCAATTTCTAAAAAAAGAAGTCTACATACTTCTGTCTGTAAAATATCGAGAATTGCTGCAAGTAGGTTGTCTCGGGATATGCTCGCATAGACCTAAAATATGTGGCACAGAAGTTAGCTAATAATCATGAATAAATATGTAACATCGAAGCAGAACAAACTCACATGTACTGGACATCCATCACTGAATTCGATAGCAAACATTTGGGGTTCCTCAGCGAACCGGACAAGTGAACTTACTGAAGAAAGAGGACGAACGATAACAACCTGCACACATCTAAGCAGTATTCTCAGTGTTTGACAGAACAAAACCAACCTGAAGAAGTATATAGTAAAAGCTACTTCCTAGTCATTTTCAGTCTTACAAGTCATGTATAATAAAACCAGGATAAAAAAACAAAAAAAAATAAAGAAAGTAAAGCAGCATAAGAAAGTCATATAGATAGAAATCCTGTGTAAAACGTGTTGCCAACTTACTTCATAGTTATCTATTCGTCTCTCAACAAGGGAGGCTTTAGTAAGAATTAGCTGAAGGGGTGCAGCATCCCCATGCTCACCAAGTCCTCCTTTGGGGCCAATTGCCAAGCTTAGCCCAGGCATGTTCAAAGTTCCATGCGCAGCAGAACGTAATCTAGTAACAGACCACCACCCATTAGGAGTTTCTTCAGCACCAACTGCTTCTTTAGCTGCAAAGTGAAGTTTAGAATACGTTGTGGAACTCAAAAGAAAATTAAAAACAAGAATAATTAATGAAAAGAAAGTGAACTAGACAAGACACATAAGAAAGAGGAGTTGTAAGTACCTCTTTGAGTCAGATAATCCGATGTCGTCGGCAATTTTGTATTATCGACCGACAAGAATACCCCAACCATAGACTTTGCAGTCTTAGTCTGCAATTGAAATTTGGAATCATCAAGCTACATGTGCAATATTTGCATAGCCTAGTTAAATTTAAAGCAATCAGAGTATCTCAAGACATAGCAATAACTTCTCAACTAAGGTCCAAGGATCTCATTAATACCAAACTTGTGACAATGGCGGAGTTTGTTGTCCCCGGTGCAGCTCTGAAAGCTTTGGACTTTCTCCCATACATGGGACACAGAACAAACCCAGCAGCAGAGTCGTTAGATTTTGCCCGGTATGCATCAGAGAGAAGAACAATTGCTGGGGAACCCATGTCTCTGAAATCCAAAATCCAGCGTGAATCACCAGATTTTGAATCTGTGAGCTCCAAACCAACATAGGTGACCTTCAATTTCTGCGGATCAAAACAAAGTTCAGTTCAAAACAAAATCCAAATGATTCAATTAGTGAAAGTGCATCACTTAATTTCTTCGACCAATTGCAACTTTCAAATGATTCTTTGTTCTTGCAAATGAAAGAATGAAAAGAAAAAAACAATCCCATAGAAAATAGGAACAAAATTAGTGATTTGAAACAAAGTTAACTACTGGAGAACACAATTTTCCCTCCACAGCTCATGAATACACAAAACTAAGAGCACATTTTAACATTGATAGATACTAACTGCATCAGCTTAACGCCAAGAACTATCAACTTCAAACTTGTTAAACAGCTAAAAGTCCAAGTCCGTGGCTTTTCAAAAATCAAAGTAACCCCACCAGCTATACCAAAATTGACATCAAGAGCAACCATAAATGTCTAATATCAGAGAAACCATGCATAAAACTACTTACATAAGGAACCCATTCCGCGTTCCGTCTCCGCAGGTGCAGCACCTGAAACTCAGCCACAGGTCTAATCTGGTTCCATCTAAGCCTGTACAACTCGGTTAAAATGCTTGCTCTGCACCGCGACGAGAACTTCATAGCCTTAAACTTGCCTTTCCCATCCGTCCTAACACTGATAGAAAACTCACCACCAACACTCTCCGTGTTTTCATCCCTTCCGATCAACGGTGAAGCTCCATCGAAATTGCTCCCGGTATCGTACGAATTAGTAATCGACAGAGTGTTGGGGTCAAGCGTCACGATTCCGGCGCTGGAAATGCAAAGGATCCTCTTGTAACGGCCACGCCACGAGTGTTTGACCACAAGGTACCTAGCGAGATACTCCGGCTCCTCCGCGCCGGTTGTCGACGCGGGGTTACCTCTGGCGACGGAGTCCATGATTGGAAGAGGCGCTCGATCGGATCCGACGCTGCTCACGGAATCGATGAACTGTAAGGTGTTGTTCCGAGGGGCATTACCCAGAAGAGGTCGGAGAAAGTCCCAGAATCCTAGCCTTGTTTGATCGGCGACGCCAGGATAATGGCGGGAACGGGACTGATTCGCCCCCAGCGCTTTACTTGGTTACAGCAAAGCCACAGGGGCTGGAGATCCTTCAGCTGATCGATCTAAACGGCAAGCTTAAACCCTAATTTCTCATATGCAGGAAACCGAAATCGCGAAAAACACAAGAAACCTCTGGATAAGCTTAGCTGCGATCGTCTCGCGAAATTCGGTAAAGGATGAGGCAGATGAAGAAGATTTCGATCTGAGATCACCTTCGTGGAGGAAGATGGTGGAGGAAGGAGAAGGAGAGAAAGAGTCGCGAATTGTCTGATGTTTTTACAGTCTGACGACTATGTCAAAATGAATTCGTCTCGATGATGGCCGATTCACATATTTTATTACTCTGATTTTATCAAATTCATCATCAAAGATATGTTAATGAAAGGTTCAGTTTTTGCCAAAAGCATTTTTTTTATGGGTGTCGACAAAAGATAAATATAGGGATAAAATTCAATATTAACAATTCTTTTTCATAAAAAAAGAGTTTGATCATTTCACCTCAACATGGAATTTACCATTGTTGGAGCTATCAATAGCATCACCACTTCTTATGTATATTGACCAAATTCGTTAGGATTCACAAAAACAAGTCGTTATATAGTCAAGTGAGGAAGTTACTCGAGATGATGAAATTATTACATCTTTTGGACCACATGTTCGGAAGTTATATGCACTTGTTAATATCTTTGATTTGAGGTTTTGTGAATATTCAGAGGTAAGACCTGTATATTTATTTTGGGGTTTGACCTGGAATTATTTGAAAATAGAAACCAAACTTATATGAAGGAAAATTCCATCAAAGAGGAGCCATGCTTTACTTGGAAATCTTGAAGGAAGATTATTTTTTCATTTAAGGTTTATATAAACTTGTTTCTAAAGAATTGTTTTAATTTAGACGAACTTTTTGACATAACAAAAAATTTCTCATGTCATAGCTCCTTTAAACCCTAAAAGCGTGGGTGAGTCGTCTCCGCGGCTGAGGCTAAACCCAATCAGTCGTTTGAACTTCTATTTGGTGGCAGAAGAGAATTTCTTTATATCCGCCGCAACTCTCTCCTCCATTTTTTCTGGTACTTCAACTTTTCTCATATCTCAGACATAACTTGTAGTGAATTTCTTCTGGATTTCGAACCGAACTTTCGACTTCGCATGTCTTATTAGTTAGTATGCAATATCGTTTTGATAGTACGTGAAATCTTCGTTTACCCAATTGTTTTCAAATCACATCTTAAAACGTCTTTCTAGCTCGCTCCTGTATATGACTGCTGATGAATTTGTGTATCAAAATCTCCAAATCACATTCAGGTTTTAGATATTTGGTGTTTGCAAATGGCAACACAGAGCAACAAAGACGCTTTCATGGGTGGATTAATGAATCTCTTTAAAGAACAATGGCAAGCCGATGTACTCCTCAAGGCAGGAGACAGTGATGATGGTGCTGCTATCCCCGCCCACAAACTTGTTCTGGTTTTCTCTTACTTCTTCTTCTTCCATCTATTTTTTTTTGTTTCGTAATGTTTTTTTTTTGGTTGCTCTTACTTGACATGTTTATTTATTGTTAATGCTATGGATTCTTCTTACTTGAAATGCTCATTTATCGTTAAAGCTTTGGAGTCTTCTTGCTTGAAATGTTTACTCAGTATTAATCTTATGGAGTACTTGAAATGCTTACATATTTGTTAATGCTATTATGTGAAATCTTCTTACTTGAAATACTTTTTTTTTTTTTTTTAATGTTTTGGAATCTTCTTACTTGAAATGTGTACTCATTGTTAATGTTATGGAGTCTTCTTACTTGAACATCTTATTTATTATTAATGCTATGTGAAATCTTCTTACTTGAAATGCTTATTTATCGTTAATGGTACTAATTCCTCAACAAACATATTGAATAGGCAGGAAGATCAGAGGTGTTTAAGGATATGGTGGAACAAGGCGAGTTCAAGGCTTCATCTAAGCTAGAGACAATCACTCTCTCCGAGATGAAACACGGAGAAGTTGAGGCTTTAGTTGAGTTCATGTACAGCGTTGATGGCTCCATTTCTTGTCGAAGTCTAGGCAAACATGGTCGGTCACTCTATCTTGCAGCCGACAAATATAAAATCTTGCATCTACGTGACCTATGCAGACACCATCTGATACAGTCTCTTGACTCGTCGAATGCTCTGAGTATCATTGAGCTTGCCCAAATCCCTTTTGACAAAGACCTTCACGATGCGGCCTTCGCTGCTATAAACAACAATTTAAGGCCGATTGCTAGCTCTGATGAGTTCAAGTTGTTTGTGGAAAAATACCCAAATCTGACTGTGGAGATAATGAAGGCTTCTCTTACTTGGGAGGCTAGCCCAAATCATATTCATCTGGGTGGTAACCGATACTGTGGTCACTGTGGTTCCTACTGTCGTTTCTGTGGCTACCCCAACGACTAGAAAAATAAGAGTGTAGCTTTTGTTGTTTCACTATGACGGTAAAATATTGGGTAATTTGGTATAATAACCCACAAAATATTGTAAATAGCCAAAATAGCCTATCAAGAATTTTGAAGATTTTATAAAAAAATTTTTACACAATTATCCTTTTAAAGTCTTCCAAACTTACTCGCAGACTCGGATTTTCTTTTGCTAGTCTGCTATTTTTTTGGCAGACTCAACGTATTTTTGGTAGACTCTATATATTTTTTCGTAGACTCTGTCAAGCTTTGACAAACTATACCAAAATCTTCCAAATTTACTAGCAGACTCGGATTTTATTCTGCTGATCTTCCATTTTTTTGTGGATTCTGCATATTTTTAGTAGATTTAAATTTCAGTCTGCTAATCTGTTATTTTGTTAGCAGACACTACATATTTTTGGTAGATTCTGCGTCTTTTTTGTAGACTCTGTCAAGGTTTGGTAGAGTATACCAAAGTCTTCCAAAATTTACTAGCAGACTCGGATTTTAAATTGCTAGTCTTCCATTTTTTTGGTGGATTCTGCGTATTTTTGGTAGATTTAAATTTTACTTTGCTAGTCTACTATTTTATTGGCAGACTCTACGTATTCTTTGTAGACTTTGTTGAGGTTTTGGCAGACTACGTCAAAGTCTTCCAAATTTACTGGCAGACTTGAATTTTAAACTGCTAGTCTTCCATTTTTTTGGTGGATTCTGCATATTTTTGGTAGATTTAAATTTTACTTTGCTAGTCTACTATTTTATTGGCAGACTCTACGTATTCTTTGTAGACTTTGTTGAGGTTTTGGCAGACTACGTCAAAGTCTTCCAAATTTACTCGCAGACTTGAATTTTAAACTGCTAGTCTTCCATTTTTTTGGTGGATTATGCGTATTTTTGGTAGACTTAAATTTTACTTTGCTAGTCTGCTATTTTATTGGCAGACTCTACATATTCTTTGTAGACTTTGTCGAGTTTTGACAAATTACATTAAAGTCTTCCAAATATATTAGCAGACTTGGATTTTAATCTGCGAATCTTCTACTTTTTGGTGGATTCTGCATATTTTTGGTAAATTTGACTTTTACTCTGCTAATCTGCTATTTAATTAGCAGACTCAACATGTATTTGGTAGACTCTGCATAATTTTTTGTAGACATTGTTGAGATTTGGCAGATTACATCAAAGTCTTTCAAATTTACTAGCATATTCAAATTTCAATATGCTAATCTTCTAATTTTTTTATGAATACTACATATTTTTGATAGACTTGAATTTTACACTGTTAGTTTGCTATTTTATTAGCATATTCAATATATTTTTGATAGATTTTACATATTTTTTAAGACTATGAGTTTTGGCAAACTACACCATAGTCTTCTAAAATTATCACTATAATTGAATTTTAATCTTCTAATATGATATTTTTCTGTGTTGTTTTGTTAATATTGGATTTTAGTTGATGAAATATTTTCTCGCAAAATTCAGAAAAAGTTACAAACTGAAATCTCATATAGTCAAACATTTTATAAATGTGCAAAAGAAACAAAAATGAAAAGAAGTAGAATGGATAGAGAATCAATTTCAATGATAAATACCATAAATGAAAAAATTGAGTTCGACAAAAAAAATTGCTGTTAGACCAAATATACATTGCCATGAAATTTGATAAAATAAAAATAATCAATTGATTTGAAATTAAAAGTTATTTATTTCTTATTTTATTTTTCTTTTATTTATTTATTAACTAAAACTAATTTGTTATTGTTCAAATTAAATGAATAGTTATGTGTAATTTACAAAAACGAAATTAAAGAAATAATTATAGTTAAAAGGATAAAACTGGAATTATACATCACTGCTTAAATGATTAATAGGTTATATGAGTAATAAAAATATAAATAGGTTATTATAGCTATTTCTTATAAAAAAGAGGTTATATTAGTAATTTTCACTAAAATATTCAGTTTATTCTTTTTATGGCAATACTATTTAATATTATCTCTTTCTTGTCTATGCCAAAAAGAGTTGAAGAAAAAAAATGATATTGCGAAAATAGATGGATCGTCAAGAAAGAAAATTGTTTGTTTTTTTTTGGGTTAAAGTCAAGAAAGGAAATTGTGAAACGTGTATGTGGTGGACAAAACATTTTAAACAAAAAAAAAAGACAATGCAAGTAAAGCGATGTCCAATGTGGGAGCTTGAGAACATAATTTCAACCACTATGATTAAGCAGAGTCCAATGTGGAAGCTGAAGTAGGAATGGCGAACTTGACACACGGACTTGGCTCTCCAAACTCTTGTTCCTCAAAAAATATTACATAACTGTGATCATCTTTCTGCACATGTTAAAAAAAAAAAAAAAAATAACCCGTTAGAGAGTGCAAACCAAATAGAGGATATGGATATACAATATACAAGGCTTTGCACCCAAGTATAGGTAAAAAAAAGCAGTACACAAAAGTTGAGTGTATGTTTTTGGTAACGTTCTTGATATAGCTTTTGTGACTGGTAACTATTAAAACGGTATACCTTGTATATAGCTACCAATCAACCATATATATTTGAAGAGAAACTGTGTTCTTTCTTTCTTTGTTCCGTACGCAAAGAGTGTAAGAGTATAGAGTTACCTCAAGGTCAAAGTAGTCAACATCGGGAAGAGTTAACACAAATTTAGTGCCACGTTCGATAGGACATCTTTCACCCAGCTTACAGAGGTCGTAGGTTTTTATATAGGCAGTAGTACTAATACTTGCAATGGACAACACTATATTTCCTTTCTCAATTTTTTTGTCTTATACATCAAAAGATTTTAGTAAGAAAACATAGCAATGGCAAGAAAAACTGGCTCTTTACATTTAAAATATCATAATTTGAGATTTTCAACGGCGATTTCATAAAGAAAATCTAGTTCAACGACAGTTCTCGAAGAATAAACAATGGCTTCAGCTCGAGATTCTGCTGATTAGACAAAAAGAAAAAAACTCAATGGAAAAAAACAAAATAAAAAGTAGTATAACTTGGGAAATCAGAAAAAAATATAATGAATTTATCATATAGCTACAAAATCTATTTTTGTCTTTTTTCATCAACAAAATAATCTAACTAATTTAATTGTTGTATATATAATTATTTTTAAAAAATATATATAAAATGAAACTACAAACTATATCAGAATTGTCTTTTTTTTGTGAGAAAGTGAACAACTATTACGTACGTGCAGAAACAAATATCCATATTGTTGGCTTGTCGCCAATACTAACTGGGTTCGGATAAATCTCCATGCGAGTGACGTTTACGATATTGTCTTCGCCTTCTACAAACAGTCACATAGATTTATTATTGTGGCGGTTATATGTAAAATCATAGATGGTAGATCAAAAGCTTGGATCTTTGCATCTTTAAAAAAACAAAAACATCATGAAAGTAAAACCACAATCTATGGAATGGAGCCTACTGTATCTAATGTGTAAACAGAAACAAATTTTTTTAAAAAGAACGTTAATTATAAGTTTCAGAATTCTTACCATGGCAGTATTCGAAATCAATCCCGCGTGAAAAAGGTAAGAAGAAAATTGATGCGAGGAGAAGAAGCACAGGCGCAACGTGAGATATTGCCATGGATGATGGATCAGCTCGTTGATCTTCAAAGGGGGAAGTATTTTTTTTTACAGTTTGGTTTGACAAAAGTGTGTATTAGTGCCTACTATTTTATAGTCAAATGGTTATAGTAAATTTATATTTCATAAATTAGTGGACCGTCAGTGATTTATATTCTGTTTACAGATTATAATAATTTCCTAAACTATTTTATAGCCTTAGATAATAATAATTTCCTAAATTGGTGGATCTTGCAAGTGATTTTCATAGTCTATAGATTATAATAATTTCTTAAGCCACACACACGGCAAAATCCTAGAGTATAACTGACGTTTTACCGTCACGTCGGAGAAGCCCTAAGAAATCCCTAAAGCGCAACATTTGTAAGTCATCGTTTAAACCTAATTTGCATTCGTTCACTAACTGAATCGTGATAACAAAACTATCTTTATAATTTCGTACTAACTTCTAAAGTATACTATTAATCTCTATGAATGCGATATCAGAACAGGATAACTGTTTTATTTTGGGTAAAACTCTGGAATAAAAATTAATACCACATCAGAAGTAGAGTTGCAAAACGACCTTATGAGAGTTGCAAAACGACCTTACTGTTTTTCTATCCTTAACGGTCTTTCTATCCTTAAAAGGTCTTTCGGTTCTGCTTTAAGTAATTGTTTCTTCCCAAATAAGTACTGTAATAAAAAAATAACATGCACTGGACACGAGTATCTACAGTACTTGACTAACCAACAAAAGTCTGCATTAGGTTCTGCCATGCCTACTACTTTATAATCTTAGGTTGTACGTAATAAGTAATATCTATAGGTTGTAATATCTTCCTAAATTTGCGGATCAGATCATGTGATTCCTTTATATATTAGTCTCCACCACGGCACCACCTTATCTGTACGTGAGATTACAATATTTGCTAAGTTCATAACTGAGATGTCCCTAAATATATTAGATTCTCCCATGTCATTTGCGTTAAAATGAAATCAAGAGTCCCCTGATCCGGCTTTGACTGCCGCAAGCAATGAAGAGGAGCCACATGCATAAGCAAAAGCAAGAGAACATGGAGCCTTGGCGATAAGGTAGGGAAGAGCAGAGAAATGCCAAAAACCACATAGGAACCAAAACTCCAAACGCACGTACAGATGTTTCAATTCAATTTTTATACCAAAAAAACGGCCCACAAGACAACAACTTATATATGGGTCACATCACACCATATTCAAATAAATAATTCTCGTATATTGGAATCTATAAAAGTCTTGCATCCGTTATTACACAGCAAGGTTCATAAAGTTGAATTTTAGCTAAGTCTTTATTTGTTAATAAAGAAGTTGTGACATAGCTGATGTATAAAACCGCGTTGTTATAGAAGACAATAATTAAATCGTCGAAGTTTGACTCCATTTTTTTTTTTACGATACGTTTGATTCACTAATATATATACTCTAGTGTGTGTGCAAACATGAAAGAGAGAATCAAAACAATGATAATGAAGAAAGTAACACAAGCTTTTGTTCTTCTAATCTTGATTCATATACTTCTTTGTCTATCCTTTCTGGTTCCTCTCACAGAGGCTAGACTCCATCACCCAAGTCAGTCTTCTCCTATTTCAAAAGTCTATATCACAATTAAAATTTCATAAGTAATTATTACGAATTTTATAATTAATGCTTATAATTGATTTCTGATCTCGTGGTTTTTTTCCTAACATGTTAACTCACTCACTCGGTATTAAAAGATAAGGCTCAAACACCTGCGATATGCACAAAACCACCCCCACCATGTGGAGCTTCTCCAAAGGGAAGTCAAGTTGCGGCACAAAATGATAAGCCTTGTAAACCCATTCCAAGACCTCCTCGTGGAGGTTCGTGCTCTCCACCCAAAAGGTAGTAACCTTGAATATGAATTTATTACACAGTTAGATTCAACAAAGAGATTCCACACTTGTAAATTTTCTTGCACCCGTTTGATTGGTTTAAAAAACTAAAAACAATGTATGGATCATCGTAACATATGTATATGTGTAGATGTATAATTTATTGAGATAAAAGCTCAAAATAATATATTTGGAAACTCCTTTAAATCGTTCTAATCCGTAAATCTGAGATTATATGTTTTTTTTTTTTGGACCAACGGCTTGTCTGAGATTATATGCTCCCTTCAACAATCATACGGTATTGAGCAGATCCTGTAATGTCTGGCTAATAATTCACCCTCACCATTCTTCCGTTAATGCCGCCTCCAACACTTGGAAGTCATAAGTATATGGTCCCTAACCTACAAAAATATCAGACAACCTTTTATCAAAATAAAACTTACAAAAATATCAAACATTTGATGATCAGTACTTCGCTAAAACATCTTCTCAGCGACCCGTAAATGTAATCCCCAGTTTATTTCTCACCTTCGGTGTGATATGGACCATATGGTGGCATAAACAATTAAAGATAACCTTTTGAGTATCAGTTGAAGAACCAGACCGAAACAAGTCTTGGATTCCAGTTAATTTGTGAACAAAAATTAGTTCCAAGTACGTCTCTGTCAGAATTGACTTTAAAAATCCATTTTCTTTTTTTTTTTGTATAAATTGAAAAATCATAGTCCTAAAAGTCCTAACACATAAATGTTACAACTTACAACCAAACGGAAAACGAACTCTTGGACTCCAGCTAAACTTAACTTTCAAGTCAAACTGATTATATACGTTTTTGAAACTTTCGAAAAAAAACATTGCCTTAATTAATCAAAAAGTCAAAAAAACAGTAGCATAAGAAAAAAAAAAAACAGGTGAGAAGAAAGTAGAATGTTGCTAGAACTAAAATTTAATTAATTTCTTATAGGTACATAATTATTAAAAACAGTATGCTCTAATCTGACGGTCCATTTATGCTTTGTCCCTACACATGTCAACATATAAATTACACACCAAAGTAATGTTGGTATTTATTGTTGAGACTGAGAGAGAGAGAACATTATTTGTTTTTTATAATTTCCCGCTAAGTATTAATGAGCCTCTCACTCCTCAACTGTTATTTCACTTTAACGTACAGATGAGAGAGAGTGTGGAACAAAGCATTAATGGTCGCTTCACCTACCTATCTCGTGGAGAGAGATTAATCTGTCAGAAGAAGAAGAACAAGTGAGCGAGCGAGAGAGAGAGAGAGAGAGAGCAAAAAACATTTATCTACATTATACAATCTCTCTTCCTCTTCGATTCGATTCGACTTTCAATTTCTCTCGTTCTCTCTCTCTACTGCGCCGCCGGCAATGTGGAACTCGACGGAGAACGCGTTCTCGCGTTCGACGTCGTTTAGAGACGAAGCGGAAGACGAAGAAGAGCTTCAATGGGCGGCGCTGCAGCGTTTGCCGACGTACTCGAGAATCCGACGTGGCATTTTCAGGGATATGATTGGTGAGCCTAAAGAGATCAAGATTGGTAACCTCGAAGCTAGTGAGCAGCGTCTTCTTCTCGATCGGCTTGTTAAATCCGTTGATCATGATCCTGAACAGTTCTTCGCTCGTGTCCGCAAGCGATTTGACGCGTAATTAAATCTCTAAATCTTCTATATTTTTTCCTTTCTCAATTGCAATTTCGAATCAAAGCTTTTGTTGTGGTAAATTTTTGGCAGAGTGGATTTGAAATTTCCGAAGATTGAAGTTCGATATCAGAATTTGAAAGTGGAATCGTTTGTCCACGTTGGAAGCAGAGCGTTACCAACAATTCCCAATTTCATCATTAACATGGCAGAAGTAATTTTCCGAATTTTGTTTTTTTGTTCAGTTTTTTTACTCTCAGATTTAATTTGTAAAGTAAGATGAGTTTAATTTGGTACAGGCTTTTTTGAGGAACATACGATTATATGGAGGAAACAGATGCAAATTAACGATTTTAGACGATATTAGCGGAGTCATTAGACCTTCAAGGTATTTATATACATTTTTATTTTTTTTTCATTAGACAGACTTTCTATTTATGTATGTTGCATTTTTGTCAAATTGTTTCATTTTTCTTGATTTGCAGATTGACACTTCTACTTGGTCCTCCAAGTTCCGGGAAGACAACACTACTCTTAGCTTTAGCTGGACGCCTTGGAACTAATCTTCAGGTAAGAAGCCTAGAACTATTAGAAGATTAGTTCCTGGATTTGAGTTATTTATTTTCTTGATTTTGTCTCTTTTTGAAGACATCCGGGAAAATTACATACAATGGATACAATCTCAAAGAGATAATCGCACCGAGGACATCTGCGTATGTCAGCCAACAAGATTGGCATGTGGCAGAGATGACAGTGAGGCAGAATCTCGAGTTTGCTGGTCGTTGTCAAGGTGTTGGATTCAAATATGGTAAGTACTAATAAGAAATCAATGTGGTTTAGTTGTGTGTGTTCATGATCTCTTAATTTGACATTGAAAAAAAAACAAAACAGATATGCTTGTGGAGCTAGCAAGAAGAGAAAAACTTGCAGGAATAGTACCTGATGAAGATCTTGATATATTCATGAAGGTAATGAGTTTTTCTCCAGAGACCAATCCATTACATTTTCTAGGTTTAATCATCCTCTTGATTCAAATAGTTTTTTTTTTCTGAACGTTCCTCCAGTCTTTAGCTCTCGGTGGACAGGAGACTAGCCTCGTCGTTGAGTATATTATGAAGGTATTGTAATGCTTACTCGTAAGAAACTCCAAATGTTTGGTATATAGTTATATAAGTCAAGACTATTTCTTCAAACACTTTCTGAAACTCTCATACATTTTACAAAGATTTTAGGATTGGATACATGTGCTGACACATTGGTAGGAGATGAGATGATTAAAGGAATCTCAGGAGGACAGAAGAAACGTCTCACAACAGGTTTGTGTCTTCTGTGTTCTCCATTCTTCATTTCGATAAGATTTAACTAGTAGACATAGACAATTGCTAATTGAGTGGGATTTGAATTAACAGGGGAGCTATTAGTTGGTCCAGCAAGAGTCCTTTTCATGGATGAAATATCAAATGGTTTAGATAGTTCAACGACTCATCAGATCATCATGTATATGAGACATTCGACTCACTCCCTCGAAGGAACCACTGTCATTTCTCTGCTCCAACCATCTCCCGAGACATACGAGTTGTTCGACGATGTTATCCTTATGTCCGAGGGACAGATTATATACCAAGGCCCTCGTGAAGAGGTTCTTGATTTTTTTTCATCTTTGGGGTTTAGTTGCCCTGAGAGAAAAAATGTTGCAGATTTCTTGCAAGAGGTAAGTAAAGTTTTAAAGAATTTGAAGAAGAAACTTTTCACTTCTTGTTTCTTGATTTTTTTTTTGTAAAATGAGTTTTCTTCTGTTTATAGGTTACTTCAAAGAAAGACCAGCAGCAGTACTGGTCAGTTCCTTTCCGGCCTTACCGCTACGTGCCTCCTGGAAAATTTGCTGAAGCTTTTCGTTCGTTTCCAACTGGCAAGAAGCTGCAGAAGAAACTCGATGTTCCATTCGATAAACGGTTCAATCATTCGGCCGCTTTATCGACATCTCAATACGGTGTTAAGAGGAGTGAACTTCTCAAGATCAACTTTTCCTGGCAGAAGCAACTCATGAAGCAGAATGCATTTATTTATGTCTTCAAGTTCGTTCAGGTTTGGCTCCCAAAATTTATGTGTCTCTCTAGTTCTTGATTTACTTAAGTGCCTTGTTTTAATCTCACTCTATGCGTTTTGCAGCTTCTTTTAGTTGCCTTGATCACAATGACTGTCTTTTGCCGGACAACAATGCATCACAACACTATTGATGATGGCAACATATATCTTGGATCGCTTTACTTCTCCATGGTCATCATTCTCTTCAACGGATTCACAGAGGTTCCTATGCTAGTAGCTAAGCTTCCTGTTCTTTATAAGCACCGAGACTTGCATTTTTACCCGAGCTGGGCTTATACCTTACCTTCCTGGCTTTTGAGTATCCCTACTTCAGTCATAGAGTCTGCCACATGGGTTGCAGTTACATATTATACAATCGGATATGATCCTCACTTCTCCAGGTAAGTAACATTCTTGTATAAAGAAAGATTTGAATTGCAGAAGAATGTTTAACAGTTAAAACTCATATAATCTTTCAGGTTTCTTCAGCAGTTCTTGCTGTACTTCCTTCTGCATCAGATGTCACTAGGTCTTTTCCGTGTGATGGGCTCGTTGGGCCGACATATGATAGTTGCTAATACGTTTGGCTCCTTTGCAATGCTTGTGGTCATGACTCTTGGAGGATTTATCATTTCCAGAGGTCTCAAGTCTTCACACTCTTTCTTGAAGTCCTTAAAGAACTTCTTGTTTACTACATGAATATTCATTCTCTTGTCTAAAATTTTCTCAGATAGCATACCTTCCTGGTGGATTTGGGGTTACTGGATTTCTCCTTTGATGTATGCTCAAAACGCAGCTTCTGTAAACGAGTTCCTCGGCCATTCTTGGCAAAAGGTTGAAAATTCTATTACCAAAAGATATCTACAACCAAATCTTGCTCATTTGCCTCTAACTTTATAGAATGTGGAATATACTAATTGTTGTCAATGGTTGTTTTTTGTTCTGTCTATGAAGAGTGCTGGGAATCACACAAGTGACTCTCTTGGTGTGGCATTGCTAAAAGAAAGAAGTTTGTTCTCTGAGAACTATTGGTATTGGATTGGTATCGGCGCTTTGCTCGGATACACTATTCTTTTCAATTTGCTCTTTACACTCTTCCTAGCTTACCTCAACCGTAAGCTTCTCATTCTTTGTGCTGATCTTGGTCATAAGCTAATCTTGTAAACCATTTGTTTCTAATCTTGTTCATAATCTTGTAAAACTATTCACAGCTTGGGGTAAAATGCAAGCTGTTGTATCCAAAGAAGAGTTGGACGAGAGAGAAAAGAAGAGAAAAGGCGACGAGTTCGTTGTGGAACTAAGAGAGTACTTGCAGCATTCAGGCTCAATACATGGTGAGGGAAAAAAAAGTTTTATCTGTTTACTAAAATGAAAAGAAGCTAATGCTTATAGTTTCTTGGTTCCAGGGAAATATTTCAAGAACAGAGGAATGGTTCTTCCATTTCAACCGCTCTCTCTGTCTTTCAGCAATATCAATTACTATGTGGATGTTCCATTGGTATGTTAAACCGGTTTCTAAATTCTACACTGTTTCCGGATCAGATGAAGGCATTTTCTATGTCTATAAGCTCATGCAAATGAAAGTGTTTCAGGGACTAAAGGAACAAGGGATACTAGAAGATAGATTGCAGCTGCTTGTGAATATCACTGGAGCTTTTAGGCCAGGCGTGCTTACAGCTTTGGTGGGAGTAAGTGGTGCCGGTAAAACAACGCTCATGGATGTCTTAGCCGGGAGAAAAACCGGTGGGACAATAGAAGGCGATGTGTACATATCTGGTTTTCCTAAAAGACAAGAAACGTTTGCAAGAATCTCAGGTTACTGTGAGCAGAATGATGTTCATTCTCCTTGCCTAACCGTTGTTGAATCACTACTTTTCTCTGCATGTCTTCGTTTACCATCAGATATCGACTCAGAGACTCAAAGGGTAAAACATATTTCTCCAACATCTTTTTTTCCGTATGTTTGGTTTGGATAATGCTGACATTTATAAAACTTTGAAATTTCTTGAGGCGTTTGTCCATGAGGTGATGGAGCTAGTGGAGCTAACCTCGTTAAGTGGGGCTTTGGTTGGTCTACCTGGAGTTGATGGCTTATCAACTGAACAGAGGAAAAGGTTAACGATTGCGGTCGAGCTAGTTGCGAACCCGTCTATAGTGTTCATGGATGAGCCTACTTCAGGATTGGATGCTAGAGCTGCTGCTATTGTAATGAGGACTGTAAGAAACATTGTTAACACCGGACGAACCATCGTCTGCACGATTCATCAGCCTAGCATTGATATTTTTGAATCATTCGACGAGGTTGGTTTCTTGAATAATAAAATCAAACAGTCTGCATGGTTTTGTTTATTCATCATCTCTAACGTTCATTGTTTACGCAGCTTTTGTTCATGAAACGTGGCGGAGAGCTCATATACGCCGGTCCACTTGGACAGAAGTCTTGTGACCTTATCAAGTATTTTGAGGTAGCTTTAGTTCTTGATCCATAAATTCTTACTCAGAAAATGAAACTTGGTTTAAGTTCTTGCCATTAAGTCTTTCTCTGTTCTTCCCTTAGTCTATTGAAGGGGTGACAAAGATAAAACCTGGCCATAATCCGGCAGCATGGATGCTTGACGTCACTTCTTCGACGGAGGAACTCCGTCTTGGTGTTGATTTTGCTGATATTTACAAGAACTCAAATCTCTGCCGGTAATGAGACTTTCCTCATTTAGTCAAGAATTCAGTTTAGCTTTTTTCACAAGTTAGGTTTTAGCTTATATACTGTCTATGTTCTACTGCAGACGCAACAAGGAGCTGATTGAAGTCCTAAGCAAGCCAAGTAACGTTGCGAAAGAGCTCGAGTTTCCGACCCGATACTCTCAGTCACTCTACAGTCAGTTTGTTGCTTGCCTGTGGAAACAAAACCTGTCATATTGGCGAAACCCTCAATACACCGCGGTTCGGTTCTTCTACACCGTGGTTATCTCTCTAATGCTTGGAACAATATGCTGGAAGTTCGGCGCCAAAAGGTATTATATTACAATGTCCACACTTATGAGTGTAGAGTGGCACATAACTTCTTTAACCATTCAATACATTTCTTCATGTATTAGGGACACTCAACAACAGTTATTCAATGCAATGGGATCGATGTACGCTGCGGTTCTCTTCATTGGAATCACCAACGCAACCGCTGCACAGCCAGTTGTTTCCATAGAGAGATTTGTTTCGTATCGCGAGAGAGCAGCTGGAATGTACTCAGCACTTCCCTTTGCATTTGCTCAGGTCACACATTATGTTTATATATATGTTTCTTTCTTTGTTTCTCATCTTCATGTAAATGTTATATAAAGACAACAAGATTGGTGACTCTCGCAGGTGTTTATAGAGTTTCCATACGTGCTAGCACAATCCACCATATACAGCACCATATTCTACGCGATGGCCTCGTTCGAATGGTCCGCAGTGAAGTTCTTGTGGTACTTATTCTTCATGTACTTCTCGATCATGTACTTCACCTTCTACGGGATGATGACGACAGCAATCACTCCAAACCACAACGTTGCCTCAATCATAGCTGCTCCTTTCTACATGCTATGGAACCTCTTCAGCGGTTTCATGATCCCATACAAGGTAACTAGTCACATAATCACGTTTTCAAAACGTGTTAAATAAGTTAAGTATGTTATTGATGTTTTTTGATATTTGGACTGAGTGAAAACAGAGGATTCCGTTGTGGTGGAGATGGTACTACTGGGCAAACCCAGTGGCGTGGACGCTGTACGGTTTACTGGTGTCTCAGTACGGTGATGATGAGAGAGTGGTGAAGTTATCGGACGGTGTTCATCAAGTGATGGTGAAACAGCTGCTTGAGGATGTGATGGGTTACAAACACGAGTTCTTAGGTGTGTCGGCTATTATGGTCGTCGCCTTTTGCGTCTTCTTCTCCCTCGTCTTTGCTTTCGCCATTAAAGCCTTCAACTTCCAGAGAAGATGATTCACAAACTCTCATTATTTATAATCTATACATATACAAGAACCAGCCTATTTATTTATTTGTATATTGAAGAGCTTTTATATATTTTTTCTTCCACTCTTACAAGTATTGGATTAATAAGAACTTGTATCTTGTCTTACAAAGTACTAGCAGAATACCCGCACTTTTGTGCGGTGTGACGTTGAGGTTTTGTGTAGAAAATTTAAACTCTAAATTCGAACTCGACCAAAAAACCCTTAATCAAAAATTTTAAAAACTCAAACTTTTTTAATATGTTAAACCCGAAAATCTGAAATCAAAAAAATCCTGAAAACCCTGAATCAAACAAAAAAAATCTGGAAACTTTTTCACTCGGAACCCGACCCAAATACCCTAATCAAAATTTTAAAATACTCAATTTTTTTAATATATCTAAACCGAAAACCCGAAATCCAAAAAATCCGGAAAACCCTAAACTGAAAAAAAAAAAATCGAACCCAACCCGAACAGAAATTTTCAAAGAAACCGAACAATTTATATATATCTCTATATCTCTATAAAATTAGGTCTCAGATTTTCACCCAAACCCGAACTTGTCTATAAAAACCCGAAAATCCAAAAAGTATATTCTATTGATTTGGATTATCTTAGATTATGTTAAATTTTTTTTTTTTGCAGATTTTTAAGAGATGAAAAACGGAAGTTTTCTAAACCATCGGTTTGTTTTAAGTTATTATTTTTGTATCCAAACAATTTTTTCCATTTATTCTTCTATCCAAATAAACTTTTCTCTTATTCTTGTATCCAAACATTACAATGTACTAACATGACCCTAATTAAATCTGTTGCCAAACACTTTCTCTTCATAATTAGATTGGTTTTTTGGTCATAAATTTTTCATGTACTTCTCAATTAATAATATAAAAATTCGTTAATCTAAAAAAAAAAAACATTAGCAAATAACTAATAGGTTTATTTGTCCACTTCCTCTCTAATTTCAGTTTTCAAATAAATTATAGGTTCAAAACTTGTAATTAGATAACTTGCTAAAAGAGAAGATGAATATCAAATTGACTAAATCCTTTTTTTTGGGTAAAAATGTAAAAGATAAATTGACTAAAACTTGAATTGAACAAAAACAATTTTTTTGACTAAAACATGGAAAACATTTGTTGAATTACCTGTCAACAGTAATCAGTAGATAAGGACTGACTAGATTCTTGTCATTTTAATAGATTCTGAACATTTTAGTAGGATTCTCTTCCTTTTATGGCTTTCAAAAACTCCAAAGCATTAAATTCATTCATTATCACCATTTCTTCTGAATCCTTAAACTCTTCTATTTAAATCTAAAATCTCAGGCCATTGTAGCCGGAATGAGTGCGAGTGAGAATCACATTGCAGTAGAAAAACCACCGGAGGTGAAGTCTCTGGAGGCGTTTATCGGTGGTTCGTTCCCGGAGACTCTCTCGAAACTATCTTCCGCTTCTCTTCTAATTCCGGCGAAAGAAGATTTTCATTTCTTATACAATTTCGACGAGTTCAAGCGTCCGATCGACGAGATAGCCCGGAGCTCGCAGTCTTGTCTCGAGACCATCGGGAAATCGATGACATTACCAGGAGGCATGGATGGTGGTGGTGGTAGTGGTGGTGATGACTGGCTTGTCAAGGTGAATGATGAGATTCTCGAGAGAGTTGATGCTTCGTTGGATGAGCACAAAACTGGTGTGGATTCGGAGAGTGTGGAGAAGAAGGAGAAGAACGAAATTGCTGAGCCCAAAGTTGATGCTTCCTTGGATGAGCACAAAATTGGCGTGGTCTCGGAGGATGTGAAGATGAAGAAGAAGATCGAAATTGCTGATGAGCCCAAAGTTGATGTTCAGGAGGCAAAGGTTCCATTCCATGTAGCGACGATAAGGAAGCCGCAAGAGGAGTATCTGATTATGGTGAACAACGCTAATGTTCCATTTGAGCATTTTTTGCTGGAGAGGAGTGAGGATAATCTCCGGTTTATTCATCCACTGGTTAGTTTATTTCTTTCAAAAACATGATTTTTTTTCTGATCGAATTTTGCTTGATTTGTGGAATCAATGAAGTTCGTTTTTGCTTGATTTATGGAATCAATTGAAGTTTGGAAACATGATTTTGCTGAACAAGTAATTCGCTTTGTTTGATTATTAATGCTTTCGGTCTTTGGAAATTGGAAGGAGAAGAAGTGTATTGGCATAGCATTTAAAGTTTGGAACTGTAATTAATATTTGATCCTCTAAGGTTAATTTTTCTGGTTGTTTTATGTCTGTAATTCTTTTGCAGGAGAAGTTTTCAGTGAGGGACTTTGTTGATAAAGATGTAGGAGAGGTGAATCCTGTTAAGCCTCTACCATTGGAAGAGACTCCATTCAAGCTTGTTGAAGAAGTCAATGATCTGAAGGAGTTAGCTGATAAATTGCGTAGCGTTGATGAGTTTGCTGTAAAGTTCTTCCTCTTGTTTTTGTTTTACTGCAATCTTGCTTATTCTTTCTCTCTTAAAGTTGATTGTGTGTTTGTTCTTTGTGTAGGTTGATCTGGAGCATAATCAGTATAGATCTTTTCAAGGATTAACATGCCTGATGCAAATCTCGACCAGATCCGAGGATTTTGTAATTGATACGTTCAAGCTTTGGGATCATATTGGTCCTTACCTCAGGGAATTCTTCAAAGATCCTACAAAGAAAAAGGTTTGTGAAATCCTTTTTTCTACAGAATCTCAAGAATATATATTGGAATATGAAGAAATTGTATTTAATCAGGTAATGCATGGAGCTGATCGAGATGTCATTTGGCTTCAACGGGACTTTGGCATTTATGTCTGCAACCTCTTTGACTCAGGACAGGTTCTGATTATTTAAATAAACAGAACCTTTTGTTTTCTATGAGTTTTTTTTGTGGGTAGTTTTTGATTAGTTTGAATCTTTTCAGGCCTCAAGGGTGCTTAAGCTGGAGAGATATAGTCTGGAATTTCTCCTGAAGCAAATTTGTGGAGTTGCTGCAAACAAACAGTGAATAAACAATCCAGTCCTTGTTTTAACTTTTGTTCTTCTGCACTCTCATCTTCTCACTTTTTATTCAATGTTTTGGCTGCAGATACCAAAATGCAGACTGGAGAATCCGACCCTTACCAGATGTAATGACAAGGTCGGTCGATATACTCTCTGTCTAGTCTCTCTTCATTATTGTTTCTGCAATGGCTGAGTTGTGTTCACACTTTTTTATATGGTGGCAGATATGCTAGAGAAGATACACACTATCTTTTGTACATTTATGATGTAATGCGTCAAGATTTGCACGCAATGGCAAAGGAAGACGAGCAATCTGTCGCTCCTCTGGTAGAGGTAATAATCATTAGCTATTCACAAGATCTTTTTACTTATTTATGTTTGTGTAACAAATTTATTGCTTGGTCGTAAGTTAGTGCTTCCTTTTTGGTTGAATCCCACGGTTTCTTATGTGCCATATTTACCTATAGTTTAGGATGATTTGGAGAAAATAATATGGTAGCTTAATGTGGATTAAGCTTATATTAAATGATTTAAGAACCACCCACTATGCGGCTCAATTTTTTGAAATGAGTAACTAAATGAGGCCATGGTATTCTGTTGAATCCAGTGGGTGTATTGTTGTTCTTCAATTTTTGGGATAACCATTTTGACGAAGTTGCCAATTGTAACAGGTTTACAAGCGCAGCTATGATGTGTGCATGCAGCTATATGAGAAAGAGCTTTTCACTGTGAATTCATATCTTCACCTTTATGGGTTTGTTTCTTATTGCCCCTCCCTCTCATTAAAGATAATGTACTCTTTTCATATTTATTTTGTTTTCTTGCTTTTACATGGTAAGAATCTGTTGGATTTAAAACCTTATTCATGGGTAACCTAGGCTAATCTCTAGTATGTGTTTTCCATATGGCATTTTATTAGGGTTATGGCAGCTAACTTCAATGCGGTTCAACTTTCCATTGTTGCGGTATGTTCAGAGACACCCTTCATCTGACTTTCGTCTTACGGTATGGAGCTTAACATAGTAGTTTTTCTGGCTTGCAGGGGCTTTATGAATGGCGGGATCGGATTGCACGTGGAGATGACGAGAGCACCGGTTATGTATTGCCGAATAAAACTCTTCTTGATATAGGTACATGTTTTACACTCTCTGTCAGTTCTTGGGTTTTTTGATGGTTCCTAACCTGGTTTTTATTATCAAAAACAGCGAGGGAAATGCCATTTAATGTTGGCAGCTTGCGACGGTCGTTGAAGTCAAAGCTTCCTTACGTCGACCGTAATCTTGACGCGTTTCTCACTGTCATCAGACGATCAATGCGAAGTGCAGCTGCGTTTGAGCCAGTTGTTCAATCACTAATAGAGTCCCAACGTGGAACCGTAAGTTATTTTATCATGCTATGAATTGTAATTGTTACTCTTTCTGTGTTTCTTCTGTTTATTATTCATAGTGAAAAATTCTCTTTGTGGCTTTTCTTAATTTAGGTGGCTGAGAAGAATATGGAAACGACAGTTGAGGAAGCAGGCACCAGCAGCACAGGCTTGTTAGGCTCAGGAAAGGTGAAGTTTCTTCGAAAAGTATTTGTGTTTTATTCCTAAATTCAGACATATAAAGACATGAGATTATTATCTAGGTCTCTGTGGATCTTTCAAAGATACCAACCGTTGGTTTCGGAGGTTTATTACCTTCAAAGAGAAAGTTTGAAAGTGAGAACAAGGTGAGAGCTGAAATTAACATAAGAGATTTGAAAAAAAAAAAAAAAAACTTGAAATCAATTGTTTATTGATTACTAATCTGTTGAGAATGTGCAGGCAGATGAAGAGGGCAAAGTGTCCAAGCCAAAGCCAGATAAGGGAATTATAGTGGTTGATGATGATGAAGAAAGCAATGATGCTGCGGATAGAGTTTCAGAAAGGCCTGACAAGGGAAAGGGTATATCAATGACTCCTACAAAGCCGAAGAGGACAATTGGTCCGGAGGATTTTATAATTGTAGAAGATACTTCAGAGGATGAGTATACCTCAGAGTCAGATTCAGATGATGATGATTCTCACGATGATGGTGATGGCTCAGACGATGGAGATGGTAAGGAAGGGGATGATGATAAAGGGACGAGTATGAGAAGAGAGAAGGGGGGATTCATGGGCATGGGATCAGGCTTTTCCAACGATTGGGCGTTCAATTAGCTTTTACAGTACAGTTTGTATTGTCTTTTGTGCTAATTTTGTAGTATCTTATTTTGTACCTCATCTCTGTAGTCTCTCTTTGCATTTAAATCAATTACAATTACTTCATCAAAGCTTGTCATTCTCATACAAGTCTTTCACTCTGCCAATAATTCTTTCACACTTTAGATTAGATCCGGTGAAGAAAAACGGTTTGCAAGAACCATCAAAAGCGACTCCAAAGCTGTACACATCATACAATCGTGTTAACCGGAAGAAACAACACCGAATTTGGATAGAGAGAGAGCTCTTTGTTGATTTTGGATATATTACTTAAGGTCTACATGCTCTTCATGGTTGGTGTTTCGAGGATGAATCAACTTCTCATTGTCAACATTGAAGATTACTTGCTCTACACGTCAAAGTAGATAATACTATTCACTGATTCAACCAAAATACGTTACTATGATAGATCGAACATTTAATAAAGATTTGTAAGAAGAAGAAAATATACATTTCAATCACTTATAAGTTTGATACAAAGAACACATAAACACTGATTAAGCTTGTTTCTTCCTTATATCCGACGCCATCTCCTTCACTCTCTCCATCTCCTTCACTGTATTATGGATGGTTATTTACTTATTTTCCTAAACATTTTTTTTAAAAAAATTTCGAAAACAATTTGGGTTAAAATCTGTTTTTCATTTTTTAGTGTGTTTGATTCGGTTTCATTTCTCGATTTATCAGATACAGAAAAATTCCAGTTTTAATCTCCACTTCACTCATTTGGAGTGTTGGAGATGTTTTATTTTACTATGATCGTCGTCCTCTAACAAGATCAATTTCACAATTTTCATAAAACAATATTCGTATAGAAACTTGTGTTCAAGAAGAGATATATGATTGTCCATCATTTGTAGTATTTTCTCAGATTGGAACTCCAACTACGATTAGTCGATTACCACTGATTAGGCCAATACGTTGTTAAACTTATATACTGTTAGTGATAGAGTTATATTAATATTTACATTTTACTAGGAGTAGAACTCTATCAAATCAATTAAAGTAAATGTGGCGCAGTAATTTAATTTTATTAATATTCACATTTTCACTTCCTTGCCCAAATAAAACCCTAAAATCTTGTCGCATTTTCAGTTTCGTCCTCGAACAACGCCTTCTTCAACCTTTCATCGATCCCTCCACAGATCATCTTCTCCCAACAGGTCCTCCTCTTCTCTCTCTCTTTGTCTTCGATTTTGTAAACTTCTGTTAATTTGTCTTCGTTTTTTCCTCCCAATGGAATATCGATGATTTCGCTCGAATTTCGGATTACATTTCGTGAATTTGCCTTCGTAGAAGAATCAGAAGTCTCAGCTATGTCGATTGATTCATTTCCAATTTCCGGCTTCCCAATTCGCCTTTCGAATATTCATCCCTTTGCCCCTGTTTTGCTGTTTATATATCTCAACGTCAGTCACTGATGACTTCAATTTACATTTTCTGCTTTGATTGAATCGCCTGGAAAAAAAAAGCTAAAGTCTTTCGTAATTTTCCTCCTACAGAGTATGCAAAAATTAGTGTTTAAGCCTTCACTGTTCTTCTCTCATTCTGAATTTGCAATTCTCTCTGAAAAAGATTATCAATTGTTAGCTATACTTGCAGTATCTAACTATTTGTTTGACATTTTAGGGTTATTGATGTTCTCTGCAGAGATTTAAGGATTTATAGTTTATGTCTCCTTTGCAGGATGGTGATTCCACCGCCAGTGAGACCACCACGACTCTTCGACTACCTAAAACCATACGTCCTGAAGATGCACTTCACAAACAAGTTCGTTCACGCCCAAGTCGTCCACACACCAACGGCCACGGTGGCTTGCTCGGCGAGCTCGCAGGAGAGAGCACTGAGGGGAACAATGGAGGTCACAAGAGACGTCGCTGCTGCTTCAAAGATCGGCAAGATTCTCGGGGAAAGACTGTTGACGAAAGAGATTCCGGCTGTCACTATTCAGTTGAAGGAGGAACAGAGGTATCATGGTAAAGTCAAGGCTATGATCGATTCTGTCAGAGAAGCTGGCGTCAAGTTGATTTGAAGGATTGATTATTCAATAACCAAATCAGTTTCATCTTGTTAATTGCCAACATTTGTTGTTAGAGAAGTCTTGCCTAATCCATGTTTCTTCTTCTTCATGGTTATGGAGAAAAATTTGTTCAAAAGAGCATCAATGTTATAAGTTTTTGAGTGTTGGAATCATATAGATGATAGCCAATAGTCGATTGAATAATTATAACTATTTTGCTGAATAAACCATAAGAACATAAATAATTATAGTTAGTTTAAAAATTCGTATAAAAATTGTTATTATAAACTATAGTTGGTATTGAATACGTATGATTGTGAGTGTTTGATTCGTCAACCAACGATTGGGGACCAATCAATTAAAACCCTCCCTAAATGTGCCTTCGACCACTTCATAGGATTGTTAGCAATTTAAGAGTAAAATTAATATTTTTCTGTATGCAAATTTGATTAAGTTACGTTGAAAAAAACAGCACACAAGAAAACGAGAAATACAAGAAAGTCAGTGATGACATTGGTAACATATTCATTGGCTTACAAATATTGACAAAAACACCTTCCATTTCCATTTTCTCTTCCTCTTTTTCCCTTTTTCCTTCTTCTCTCCCAAACAAAACCCTAAAAAATCATCTCTTTCTCGCAGATTCAGTTTCCTCCTCCAACAAACTCCTTCTTCAACCTCTCATCGATCCGAAAAAGGTCCTCTTCGTCTTCTTCTTCTCTGTGTGTGTTCGATTTTGGAAAAAGTCTGTTAATTTTCTGTCGACTCTCGCTTTTCGTGATTTGTGTTCGTTTTCTCGCCAACGTAATACCGAATTTGGGATATTTCATGAATTTATCTCGTTGAAGGATCAGAAGTTTCAGCTACGTCGATCAATTTTAATAATTTTGTTTCCATTTTCCACTTTTTTTGCTTCCGAGTTCACGTTTTACATATTTCGTGTTGTGAATGTTCATCTCTTTGCCCTGTTTTGTTGATTATAGTTTCAACCTCAGTCACTGATGATTTTACTTTTCATTTGGTTCAAATTTTCCTTTTGTACCAATCTGATCTTGTAAATAGAAATGACCTGAAAAAAAGCTAAAGCCTTTCGTAGTTTCTCTCCTTCAGAGTATGCAAAATTAGTGTTTGCAGATGATATTAATCTCCACTGTTCATCTCTCATTCTAAATTTGCAATTTTTCTCTGAAAAAGTATGAATTTTTAAAACATATGTGGTTGGTAATATTGTTATGTTACATTTTCGAGTATCAAATTAACTGCTTGTTCATTTCCATTTGACATTTTAGTGATATTGATGTTCTTTGCAGAGATGTCTCCTGCAACAAAATCAAAGTCTAAAGATAAAAAAACTGGAAAAGAAGCTTCAAAGGCGTCACCAAAGCCTGCAGTGTCTATGAATGGGAACAGCAGCAGTGCATATAATCCACTTCTAGGAACGTTTCAAGTTCTTGATTCAGTCTCAGTATCTTCCGTCTCACCAATACACTACGGTCGTTTCCGAAGTATAGACGAGGCAGACGTAAACGGGATCGAGTCTGATTCCGTTTCCAATAACGGTAGCTGCTCTGGTGAGTCGGAAGATCACAAGGAGAAAGCAACTAGTCTTCCCTTAAGGCAGGAGGCGACGATACCAGGAGCAGACAACGACAAGCGAGAGAAAGTCCGGCAAAAGAACGAGAGGAAACACCAACGGCAGAAGGAGAGGCGTGCTCAGGAGTTGTATGAGAAGTGTAGCACTTACCTCATGTCAAGAAAGCTCGAGGCACTTACACAGCAGCTTGTGGCAATGGGAATATCTCAAGAGCATGCGACAACGGCTTTGATGATGAACGAAGGGAAAGTAGAGGAGTCTGTTCACTGGTTGTTTGACAGAGGCGAGGAAGAAATCGAGAAGCAAAGCACTCAGAGTCCTGGGAATTTGAAAGTAGACATAACGGAAGAGCTAGCTAGGATCGCACAAATGGAGACACGGCTTAAGTGTACAAGGCAGGAGATAGAGCGTGCGGTTGTTCAAGCGGAAGGTGATTTGGATAGAGCGGAAGAAGTCATGAAAGGCACAAAGATTGATGAACTGTCTGTGCTTGTGAAACAAGAAGAATCACAGTCTGTTGCGTTACCAGTTTTACAGCCAACTAGAGATGACAAGAGCTTTAACTATACGAAATCACCACCACCCTCCACTGCAGAGCCCGGGAACAGAATGGTTCAGGCTATGAAACGACCGCAACCGAAGCCTCAACAGTCTGCTGTGTTGGTTGATAAAAGATGGACAAATACAGGACAGGTCCCTTCTGCTTCTTCTTACTCTCTGCCATCATCGCCATCACAGTCACCTCAGCCTTCTGTGAGGGTCGAAACCCGTTACATAGCTAGTGGAAACGAGTTTAAGAACGTTCAGCAGCAGCCATCAAACAGGGAACCAGTTGTGGCAATGAGACAGCGGCCACAGGTTCCAACTTCGAGCATGAGCGCAACACCTACCAGTTGGCTTCCTTCAGCAAGCATAGAGATCATGAGGTCGAATGGATTCACACAAACACATAATATCCCTACTGTGCGAAGTCCGAGTCCAAACAACAATCAACAAATCTACCAGCAGCTGCAGTATCAAAACCAGAAGCGACTCAGCAACAACAACCTAATGGATCCATATGGTAGTATGGTTCAAGGGAATGGCAACTTATGGACCAGAAACAACAACACTGCAACATCATCATCTCCACCTATATCTGCTGCGTCTTCGCTTGGATTGTTCTCTGCAGTTGGCTCAGCTGGAACATCAAGTCCATCTTCACCGATAGATTGGAGCTTTGGTGGTTCGGTTGACTACACAAGCATAGACTGGAGTCTGGATCAAGGTTTATCCCAAAACGCTAGATTCAATGGAATCTGGTCAGAGTCTAAGAGCAGCAATCACATGTATGATCCGAACATGAACAGGTACAGTCTAAAAGGTTCCATGGGAGGCCGAGTCAATAGCTTTAACGGTGTATCGATGGAGAATGGTAATGTTGGTGTAGCCGTGGAAACAAAGCCAGCAACATCTCAGGATTGGACTTCACCATTTGAAGGACAAGATATGTTTAGCTTGTCTAGACAATATGTTCCTCCTTCTCTGTAAATGGAAGTAATAAAACAAGCGAAAAGATAATGGTTTTCAGTTTTTCATTACTCAAATGTGTGGTTGATTCTCACAGTTTGGTTATCACTCGTGAATATGTTTTTTCACTTTTTATTTATGTCAAGTGCATCCAAAAATCAAATCTTTTAAACAATTGAAGTCTCTACCAATGCAGAACAGCCTCAAAAATCGAAACTTGTTACATCTCATTTGAAATCTCCAAGCGAGACTCAGAAGATGAAGTAGTAGCATTTGCAGAAGCAGGTTCTTTGTACCATTCATTAGCCTCTCGAGTCATAAAGTTTGCCTCTGCAACAGATTTCACTTCAAATTTAGTTCCGTTACATGTACAAAATCCAAAAGAGTTAAACCAAAACATTTGTAAACTACAAGAGAAGAGCATACCAGACAGGAACACATTCTTGTATTCTTCATCGTCATATATAAACTGTGGAGGATCTGGTGAACCAATACCAACAATGGTGCTTCCACTGTAACAGCACAAGTACAGATTCAAGGTTCTGATTTATAGCAGATGTTCTTCTACTAGCTTGTTTAAGATTCATTTGTGAAGAAAAATACAATAGTAGTAGCAATAGTGTTTACTCAACACTAGACGTGGCAATAGACAGATATAGTTTGAAGAAAAGGCATACCTCCCAGACATAAAGACAGCATCATATTGGCCACGACCAGATGCTATTACGCGTTGCTTCAAGCGTTTAAGAGATGGAAGAACTTGAAACGCTGGCAGTTCTGAAAATGTCAAAAAAAATTGTAGAAAATGTAAGTCCTAAATCTTGAAAACATGAGACTGACTTTCTTCCCAAATTGCATACAGATCTTACCCAAATCGTTTACGCAAATGCTTTGAGACACACCATTGCTGGTGACATTCTCCAGTAATGTCAAGGGATCAATGTTACTCGTCTGATCTAAACGAAGACGCTGAAAGAAAAATCAAAAGCTTAACCCATGAAAAAGTTTCAAGAAGTAAAATATCTACCATCAGTTTTCAGTTGATTTACTTTGTAAACTTCAGCAGTCGAACACGCTTCTCGTGGCTTAATGAGCACCATTGGAAGATCAATAGGAAAAGGAGGAGGAAGGTCTTGAACAATCTGCATTAGCAACACAAGAACTGGATCATATTTTACATCACCAAACCCCAAAACTAATGGTTCCAAGAAAACGAAACAAAAACATACCTCGCCTCTCCCTGTACAATAGGCAGCTCCATGAGAGAAGAAGAAAGGAATATCTGACCCAATCTCACTTGACCAATCTTGAAGTTCCTTCTCAGAGGCAACACCTCCATTGAACTGATTCGCCGCCCAGAGTGCGGTTGCAGCGTTACCACTTCCACCACCGAGTCCAGCTCCGGTAGGCACCTTCTTGTCTAGATGAATCTGTTTCAAATCAATAAAGACTGTAACTTTTGGTAGAATGGTCACAAGAAAATGTAAATCATTAGTGTGTGATAGTGATTCTTTACCCAAAAGAACTTGTTACTACCAGTCTTCTTCCTGTAAAGGTTAAGTGCTTTTATAATCTGCAAAGATATGAAAAGTTACAACACAAACCAGAGAGAGTTTAGAGTAATGCTTCACCACAAACACACAGAGAGTGAAAGTCATCTCACCAGGTTTCTTGCATCGACAGGGACTCCAGAGACGTTAGTAGAGAGACGATCTTTGGATTTAGATGGTGACAACGAGAATTTAATTGTGTCTCCTAAGCTAATCACCTAATCAAAAGAGACATCAAAAAACACAATGAGAACTTGGAGAAAAAAAAAAGCTTGAAACTTTGTGAGGTGTGTATAACTTACATGAAACAAAGAAGCTAAATCATGGAAACCGTCTTCTCTCTTTCCGGTTATCCTCAAGAAAACATTGATCTGAAGAACAGTCATAAGAGGTGATGTCATTGATGCTGAAAAAGAAGAGAGGTGGTTGAAGAAATGTATAGAGTATGAAGAAACCTTGCAAGGAGAGAAGAGCTTAAGCCTTGATAAAGGAGCTTCTTTGTCAACATCATCGCCAATCTTATTCAGCCTCTCGTCAGGATCATAAACTATCTAACAACATGACCCATCCATAAAAAAATTAGCCCAGAATTATGAGAACTAAATGACGAAATGTGAAGAAAATCAAAAAGTTCAAATCAACAAACACATGACATTTGATGTGTAAAACCCAGAAATTCCGAAATTCGCAAAAATTGATTCCAAGTTATCAATTGGAGAGGAGAATGATTCAGAGAAACACGAAAAACACAAAATGTTCCAAATTCGGACAAGAATTTGATATTACCGGAAGAAAATATCGGATATCATTACCTCCACTTGCTTTCTGGAAGCTTTCACTGAAAAACGCACAAGGGGACGAAAGAGGTTCGGGTTCGGAGTAAATGAAAAAGATGAAGAAGGAGAACAAGAGAGAGTGGTTTTGAAAGAAGTGCGAGTGAAGTTGAGAGATGAGATAAATGGAGGAGAAGCCGTTGCCATGGTTTGTGTCTCTACCTGATTTTTCTCTTTGATTGGGATATTGCCAGTTTTTTTTTCAGACAATGAGCTTTAAAACATTGGGCCTAAACGGATAATTTTCACCATGATCGCAGCGTTGGGCCGGGAAATAGTATTAACTAGCCCAGTTGTTATCCAAATCCTAGGTGTAAGTAAGCACGCAGACGTAAACGCCCGATAGAAAAGAAACGCAAACGCCAAACGCTAGCTAGAGAGAGGCAAAAACGATTTCTTAGGTAGTTCAATGTTGTGATCAAGTAGAGGCGCCAAGTGTTCTAGTAGTTTGCACACATCTTGCTTTCTTGGCCTCTAACCTCTTCTGGTCGTTACTGACCATAGTCCTTCTCCTAATCTTATCAAGCATCTCAACAATCGGTTTTAGTGATAGCAATCTGTATTGCATCATTAAAATACTATCTCAAGTTGTGCTCGACAGAATCACACATAGTAAAAAATATGAATTTTGAAAATGGATGAAACTTAGTAACCACATTATTCTTAACTAATAATTACATTATTCTAAACTACTAAGAGAATGGACGCAATGATATAAATGAAAGTAGCACTACCTTAACCAAAGGATAAGCAAGATAAATATTCAAATCAGCATGTGTAACAGATGTGCTCTTAGAAGTGGCTCATTGACTAGCAATAATACTTGGAAAAGAAAGAAAGAAAAAAATTGATTGAGATTATGAACGCAACACGTCAAAAAAATGTGTGAAAACTTGCAATGATATTGATACTTATATGTGTGAATACTTGAGGTGCATATGGATATCATATGTATATGAATTAGTTTCATAGCTTGAAAGCGATCAGTCCTGCGTTATGAAATGTGCAGTAGATCAATCTATAAAATTGATTTTTCTTAGACAAAAATGTTAAAGAAATCTTCAAGAGTGAAACTAACAGAAAAGATAAAACAGTAAAACAATTAAGAAGAAGAAAGTGAGCAACTAAAACAAAGATTTCATTATGTACAAAGCTTATTTAGATAACACAACGCATCGTTGTCAAAAAAAAAAAAAAAAAAAAAGATAACACAACGCATATAGATAATTCATTGACCAAATTCCAAACTAGTTTAATCGAAATTGCAAACTAAACTAGTTCCAGTAGGAACAAGGATAATCTTCATTGTAAGGCTGGTTCAGATCAAACCCTAAAGACCTCTTAGCTTCATCATCTTGAGGACTATTCACCTTCACCCCAATTTCCATCTTTATCTTCACATCTACATCCATTTCACCACCTCTCTCTCCCTTCTCGTTTCCTTTACGAAAAAAACTCGAACTTCTTACCTCGGAGTTTGATGTTTCCATGGCTGCTTTCTTCATCTCCACCGCCGCGCAATAGATCATCATTAGAATGCAAGCAGCTTCTTGAACATCCTCCGTTACATCACTCATCATCATGGATCTACTCATCACATCTTCATACTCATCATCATCATCGTAAGAATTATCCATAAAGCCGAGCTTCAACTTTTCCGATGGAGGAGGAGGTCGTATCCCTTTCCAGCTCCGATCAGGATGTCTCCTCATATGTCCAAACAAAGAGTGCATTGTCTGAAACTCTTTCCCACATAGACAACACCTAATCTTGCCTTCCAAGTCAGACTTCATCAGATCTGTCTCTTTCTCCTTCTCCTTAATCACCAAACCAATCTTTCTCTTCTTCTTCATCTTCATCTTCATCTTCTTGGTCTTTCCTTTGGTATTGTACTCGCTCGAATGGATTCTCACATGGCCACCGTAAGCCTTACCGGAGCTAAACTGTTTGGCGCAGATCACACAGAAGTGCTTCCTTGGCGGCGGCGACGGCGGCTGAAACTCTCCAGATTCCAAAGAGGACAAATCATCATCATACTCATCATCATCATCATAAACAGAGGACTGTTGGAGAAAGTGAGAAGGGTCGTCTCTTGTTCTCTTCATGATGTTTCTCTCTCTCTCTCTCTCTCTCTCTCTCTCTCTCTCTCTCTCTTTACACAACCATGGAAATGAAAAACAAAAGAATGGAATTAGTGTTCTTTAAATTTTTGCTTATGGAAACAATAAAATCTGAGCGAGATTTACGCAAGGGTTTTTAAGACTAATGGTATTCTCTTTCTCTATTGTATGACTATGAGGAGAGTAGGGATTTGTAAAGATAGTGATACCTAATTAATTGTGATTAGCCTTAAGGCGAGGTCAAGATAAACAAGAAGACTTCGCATTTTTCTTTTTCATTTTTGTATCATTTAAACCATTTTGCATTTATCTATAAACCCCATATAACTATAAGTTTACAGAAAATATTATTTAAATAACCATTTACCTATTTTGGATGTCAATTTATGGAATAAACTGAAAAAATGTAAACGTATTTTCCTTTTTTTTTTGTCAATTAACATTTTTATCATCATAATATAATTAATCAATCGTCAATTTAATGGACATTATCTTAACTAAAATTCCGTTAACTTTTGTAACAAACAAAAAAACTTCAAACGACGTTACTTTTAATAATTTTCATCAAATCTTAGATTTAACATTTACAACCATTTCTACTCCCAAACAAATATGTATAAGAATATGATTTTAGGTTTTCATATCATGAGTATCGTTTCTTCAACATTTAACTGGTTAATCTTGATATCAATAAATATTGTGAAGATATTTTTTGATAGATTTCTTAAACTGAAATATTTGAAACTTTCCAAACCAATATGGTTAAAAATTAATGGATTGTAGGAAGATGATTGACTCGCAAATCTTCGGGTTGAAAAGATGCTTTCAGTCAAGTTGACACTTTGTACTGATAGATTGATTGCATTTGCAGGTCTAAACATAATAAATAGATTTCAGAAAACAAAGGGCATGGTAATTATAAACTTTTTATTCTTATTTGAAAACTAACGTTTCAAAGGACAAATTATGCTTCTATTAGTTTGACCAAATTCCATTCACATACCGATTGAATTGACCATGTTCACCGTATTGATTCGTTGTTGTGTTTGTCTTGTTTCTGATTAATTTTTACCATCTCTGGGTTTTCAATTACTTCTCTTTTCAAGATCACAACATGATCTCAGGGATCGGATGGACTGCATACATTTAATTTCTCAAAAAAAGAAATAAAAAAAAATGATCTCAGGGATGGTTAATATAATAAGATGCCCAAAAAATGTTGTTGGATTTGGGTTCAAATGATATTTGATGTGTTGTCCTAGCTTTTGTAGATTTGACAATTGATTGTGAATATGCGAATGTCCTTCTAACTTTGATGGGTCCTTCTAACTAATTCTGGATGAGATCTTTGAGCAACTTTTAAAATTTAGAGTTAAAGATATGTAGCAACTGCCTAGCGATTTACTCGTTCAATATTTTTCAATCTATGATTCCAGTGGATGTGATGTATTTACCAAACGACTTACTTCAGCCATAGACAAAACCAAAATATTGAGAAAGTGTGGTTTTCATTTTAAAAGAAAACATACTCACTATAAAAGATTTGTTAGTAAAAATCACGAAGTTTAAAAAATGCATATACTCTTGGTTTTTGTGTTTGTTTTTGTGCACTGAAAATATAATTTAACTAGGGGACGCGCAGGTTATGTTAGTTTCGTTGTTTTTCCGCAAATTTAATATTATTTCAAAGATATTATACACATATTACTTAAATATAATTAGATTTAAGCAAAAAAATTGTACCCTCATTGTTCTATCTCGTCCCATTTCATTTATTTTTCGACTATAACATGTAAAGGAACGAAAAGAATGAGAAGGAATGGAATGGAATGAAGAGGAATAAAATATATGGAACTCATTCTTTCTCATATTTTATAATGAATATTTTAACATTAAAATTCTCTAACTAATATGGAATGGTAAGAAATCATATGGAATAGTAAGGAATCATATGAAATACATATTCCTTATGAATGGTGTAATTCCCGTCTCGTCCGCCTATACGTCCCATCTCGTCCAGTCCTATCTTATCCATTATGATTCTTTCCATTTTGTTATGTCCTATTTTGTTTCTTCTCGTCTCTCTCCTTAAATATAATTATAGGTAGACAGAATTCTGTTCCATCCCGTTCGTTCTGTCGCCTCATCCAGTCCCATCCTATCCTATTATGGTCATTTCCATTTTGTCTTCTCTCTATCTCGTCTATAAATATAATTAGGGGTAGGCAAAATTTTCTGTCCAGTCCCTTCCCATCCCAGTATGTCCTTTTTCATTTCATCCCATCCAATCCATCACATTCCATTTCTTTTCATTTTGTCCCATCCAACATTTCTGTCTTGTCCTCTTTCATCATGTTTTTTTTTCGTTTTTTCTGTTCCATCCCTAAATATAATTAGAACTAGGCGAAATTTCCATCTTGTCCTATCCCGTTTTTTTCCGTTCTATTAGATCTCGTCTGGTCACTTAATATAATAATAAGTAAACGAAATTTCCCTCTTCTGTGATTCTAGTTTTTTTTCGTCTCGCTACATTCAATCTCTTCTCATTTCATCCCAAAATATTAAAATAAAAACAGTATTTTTTGTATAATACATTTTTATTATTATTATTACTAAATAATAGGTTTTTAAGATCTATATACAGCATTTATTTTCTTTTAATAAAAATGACTTTTCAAATTATTCCATAAACTAATATCTTAGATATAATAAGAGGCCAACTCTCTTGAGTTGATCGACCGTCAACATCGGGGAGAGTTGGCCACATGTCTTCTTCACATAATTTCTAACACTTTTTTCAATTTATCTTTGCTTTTTTGGATTATTCCTTTTCTTTAATTCACGCATCGCCTTTCATCTCCCTTTCTTTCTCCTCCAGCGATTTCCGATCTTCTGAGCCACATCTCGCCGCTTAGACCCTCAATCATATATCGCCGGCAATTGCCTTTCTTCTTCTATGGTCCCTTTGTCCCTCACTTCTTACTCACCATTCTCAACTTAATCTTCTCCGATCAGAATTTGAGTAGTCGTGTAACTATCAATTACTCTTCCAACAGTGGTTCAGCTCCCGAGTCCATGAACGGCAGGTATTAATTTTATGCCCACTAGGTATTTGTTAAAATTCGAATTGTTGAGAGATGCTAGATAGATATGGTTTTTAGTGGGGGTTGATGAGAGAGTATGGAACACTCATTTGCGGCGCTCCATCTAAGGAGACAGCTTTCCATCGTATTTAAAAGGACTTGGTTCTAATAACTGGGTTAATTCATTTGTTAATTGTTCTGGTTTATTTATCATTTAATCTAATTTAAACCACATGAGTTAAACGATAAATAAACCAAAACAATTAACAGGTGAATTAGCCCGGTTATTATAACCAAGTATCTTTAAATACAATGGAAAGATGTCTCTTCTAAGGGTCGCAAATGGGTGTTCCATACCTGCTCACCAACCACCACTAAAAACCATATATATCCCTCAGCAATTCGCGTTTCTCACATACATCTAGCATCCCTCGGCATGAATTTTAGTGGCTTAAACGGCGAATCATCGTTTCCTGGAATGGCTTCCTTCGATGGAACATCAAGGAGAATGGTTTTGCTCAAAGTCAGTGGAGAAGCTCTTGCTGCCTTGCTGGAGACGAAGAACGGAATATTGATACAAAGGTTTTTGTGGTCCTTAGAAGTGAATGAAATGGTTGACTCTATTTCCAAAGCCAGGAGCAAGGACGAAGGAAATAGGTTTATAGAGCAATACCGCTTAGCTTATGGCTTACACGAATCGCTTAGCACGTGAGAAAAAAAAAAAAAAGCTTTATATAATTGTTGTTGCTAATTTTATTTTTTGTTTAGATATTATTCTACATAGTATTCATCAGTGTGTTATTATATACTCCTAAGATAGATACTTAGCTAAAAGTAATTCCTAGCGTGATGTCGTGTTATAAGATTGATTTATCCTTAGTAAAAGAGCTCGAAGAGAAGATGTATTAACATAATTAGTTACATAATGAAGAAGCTCGCTAAGTGACAAGAAGTGATGTGATGTCCGGTTCATATCAAGATATTGGATTATTCTCGTAATTACAACTTTATCGACTTGATATTCTCAATGAGCGTCGAATACTCAAGATTCTTGAATTTAACCCGTTTTCCATGTTTCCTTAGTATATCTATTTCTTAGCTCAGGTTTACACATCTTCAAGTGAGTCTGGAGGACAAGGTTCACCGGACACAGCGAGAATTTTTAATAGGATATAAGAGAAGAAGCCTGTGGCAGGTCAAAACATAGTAAGACCTCGTGGATGGTCACTTTATCACTTGATGTGAGTCAACTCGACTTCGTAACCATAACAACAGATATTCAGTTTAACGAAGTCTTAAAGACCTAAAGTCACGACCATTGCATGCATAAGGACATGCGGTAGTATTTGCCTATGAATATTTTGTTGCATCCGCTTACACATGTGCATTTTTCTTTGATATGTTGTTACACATATGACAGGTTTTGTTGGTGTTGTTTTGCAATTGGAATAAGAAATGTGGAATTCTTGTTATTGTTATCTGATGTTTGCTTTGGATTTGGATGTGATTATTTGGTAAAAGCTTGTGAAAAAAAAAAACACTATCCGAGGATCCAAAATAGCTTGGAAAGATGATCAAGCTGCTTGCTCAAAATCCTTAGAACCAACCCCTACTTAATCAAATAGATACTGTGCTTATAAAGCACAGGAAAAGAAAAAAAAAAACTAATCGCTCATTATTTTTGGTAGCCATTGTAAGAAGACATGACTAATCTAATCTACTCAAGAAGTAAGTCAGAGATTAGACGAGAGGAAAGAGAAAGAGAGCTCTTTATGCGTCTGTGTGCCATCGAGAGACTACTTGGAGTAATAGTCCCTATCCTCACCAAGAAGTTGTCTTATCCAATCTCCACCCTCAAAGGATGTGCGTCTCTCATTCGGAACAAAATGACTCAAATCTGTTTCAAAATTGGAGTTGTGTCCTGCATATGTACAATGAATTATGAGCTCTGTTCAAATGAAAGCGACTGTAATGCCTTAAAAGAGTAGAGAATCTTTACCTGTTGTGTTTGCAGTGGCTGGTGTAAGCTCGGTATGGTGGTCAAGCAGAGAGGACTGAAGCAGCGGTGAGTCTGAATCAGTGTTCGACGTCCGTTTCTCCCCTGAAGATCCATAGACAACGGATTCCAACAACCCGTCGCAGAACGATGATGGACTCAGAGGAGACTGGACAAGAGTATTGTCTGACTCAAGCGCCGGCATTGGGTTGGATTCTTGAGTTCCTCCTCCTCCCCAATCGCCAGGCTCTTCTTGAGGTTCAAAACATTGGAATGAAGGGAGCTCCAACTTCTCAGCCGTCTCGTGATAGAGAGGCCCAGAAGGAGAAGAATACGTAGCATTGCCAAACAAATGGCTATCAGGCAACTGTTGTTCTTGAGAGCTATCAACAAAAGGATAGCTCCAAAGCTGACTACTTTGCTCGTTTGTGACATAACCGTCCATGATTTCCGGTTCCCTAAAGCGTTTCCGGTTAGGCAAGTAAGGAGGAGGTCCTATCATGTTGTACATGTTAGGCTGATAGAAACACTGTCTCTGTCTCATAAGGTTACCGGTGGGGACGCTGCGGAGCATTGACTGGTAGTAGGAGGAGCATTGGTTGAGCTGCAAGTACTTGAAATCAACCTCAGGGATCTCGAGAGTGTCCGGCTCCAATGACTCTTGACTGTGATGACCGTCCATTGAATCAGCGTTGTGACCAGACTGAGCAGCTGCATTCATCGCTTGCTCACGGACTTCATCAGGGTAAATAGGTAAGCCGAGTCTCTGCAGTCTCTTAAGCCTCGTGTTCCAGAAGTTCTTGATCTCGTTATCCGTTCGTCCAGGTAGTTCAGAAGCCATTCTTGCCCATTTGTTCCCCATTGAAGCATGGAGCTTAATGACTCGCTGCTCTTCCTTGTCGGTGAAAGCTCCCTTTTTCAAGTCAGGTCTCAGGTGATTCACCCAGCGAAGACGGCAGCTTTTGCCACAGCGAGAGAGGCCAGAGTGTTTTTGAACAGCGTTCCAGTTTCCATCGCCGTGTTTGTCAACGTAAGCAATCAGAAGCTGATCTTCCGCTGATGTCCAGGGTCCTTTGTGGAATGTCTTCTCTACTGAGTATTCTTCGCCTGATCCAGAATCATGACGAACTTTACGCATCCTGTGTTAGTTTCATCTATCATTCTATAACTCTTCCTCAGCTCTGAGAAATGTTTCTCTGTAAAATAATGCTGAGAAAATATCAGAATCTCTCTACCTAAATCAGATAGTCTCTAACAATTCAGCAATGAGCAAAAGTGGAAACAGCAAATTCAGGAGTTGCATCAATTTATGAAAATCGAGAATCTTAATCAAGAGCAAACGAAAAAAAAACGTACCTCACTGAATCTGGAAGAAGTCAAATTTGAAAAACTCAGCTCGGAATCTGTGAAAAACCCTAGTGATTGGAAAGCGGATTTCTCAGTGTCTCTATAGAAATTGGAGGACTGAAGAGCTCCCTAGTCAAATCGGAAACTAAAATCGAATTGGAGAAAGCTGGAAAGAGGAAAATAAAATAAGGATGTTAATGGAGGTTTTTGGTTTTTCTTCAGAACCCTAACCACAATCGATTAAGAAGAGAGGAAAAGAGTTAAACATAGAAACAAGCGAGAAAATGCATTTCGAGAAGACGGAGCTCTACGAGAAGAGAGAGAGAGAATGCGAGAGAGAGAGGAATCAACAAGAAAATAGGAACGAACTGTTTAAATAAAATTAAATAAAGAGGAAGACGAATTTATTAAGCAAACAAAAAATCAGATTTTTTTTTGTTTTGCCGGAGAAGATCTGCAAAAAATCGGAATTTAGAGAGAATGATAAAATTAAACTCGGCGATCGGAGAGCGAATCTAGGGGAGATAAGGGTGGAGATTTAAACACCTCTTTGGGGATTTTTTTTTTTTTGTTTTCTCTCTTCGGCGAAGATCTCTGAGGAAAAATAAAATAAAAAAGGTGTATGTTAGCGTTTTCTAGTCACTTTCTAGCACCTGAGATTTAATTTTCTTGGTATCCAAACAAGCAATCTGAAGGAGAAAGACAAATTGATTATTCTCTTCTATCGCTTTCTCTATTTAAGATTTTAAGTAACCCCATTTAATAACATAAAATGTGTTTAAATTATTAGCGATAGGAGTCATATGACCAAATCAAATCAAAATCTTTTTATTCGAAGGTATCTACAGAAAAAAATCAGCCTATATTCTTTCTGTAGTATATAATTTTGGGTTAAATGTTAAATTTTATTTATAGAATTTTCGGAATACAAAATTTAAAATTGTCCTCCCAAATTTTTTAAACCCTTGTTTAAACTAAAGTATATCAAATTTTGTACATTAATAAGTTTTAGAGTCTTTTTTAAAAAGAAAATGTATTTTAGCAAAAAAAAATATAACACTGCACAAGGCCCATTGATTTTAAGATCCGGGCCCGAGAAATTCACACACAGGTTAAACTTGCAAATTAAAATACACATGAGTTATGGGCCTATGGCATGTCCTGTGTGGTATAATAGTATACAAACCTAGTGGTTGAAGGAATTTAATGCTTATATATATCAGGAGATCTGAGTTTCGAATCCCGACGGATGCGATTTACTAATAATTTATACAGATTATTGGAGACAAGCTTACAGAAGGTCTAATAAATTAGTCAATCCAATGTTAAAAAAAAAAAATCTAAAAACATAAATTACAACCCTAACAAATTTCTACATCACAGTATACAGTGTCTACAACATTTACCACAAGTTTAAAATCACAACTTATCTTAAGGGTAAAATTGTCTTTTGCATTCGATCTTTACTGTTTTTTGGTAAAACAAATTGCTGTGTGTGTTCTTTGCTGCGTTCCCTTGGAACAATTTTATGGGGAAGAAGAAAAACCATATGGACAAGCTCTCGAATTCCTTTTCTCTCCTCGATTTCGCCGACGAAGATGGTCCCGTGGCGTCCTCTTCTTCTTCTTTCTCCGGTAACTTACGATTATATCGTACTATTAACCATCGATTTATAGAGTTGACTTAAAAAAGGATTGACCTTTCAGTTTTAGGTTTTGGACCATAAATTAACATGTCATTGTGATTCGATTTCCTGTGAAACTTTGTAGGGAAACAAGCAGAAAGAGTAAATGGGTCACTTGAGGATGGAGGTTACAAGCAACCCCTTGTCTGGATTGACTTAGAAATGACTGGTATGCTCTAAACTTTTTTGTTCATGAGCTTTTAAAAATCCTATCTTTAGCTGCTTATTTGTAAGCTTTTAGATTGAATCTTTGGTTATCTTAGTTTAGTGTTCTTGAGTTGTTTTCGTTCATCCGTTTTCTTGTTCGTGCTTGTATATTGTGTAGGTCTAAATATTGAAGTTGACAGGATATTGGAGATTGCATGTATAGTTACTGATGGATCATTAACCAAATCAGTGGAGGTATATTCGTCTCTGCCTTTACATACTAAAATCCTCTGTAAATTTGTTGATTCAATATATATTTGCTTTATTCGGATTTGTTATTTGAGGAAGTTTATATGCTGATAGGGTCCAGATTTAGTTGTACATCAAACGAAAGACTGTATGGATAAAATGGGTGACTGGTGTCAGACTCATCATGGAGCCAGTGGTAAGCTTCTCTCAAGATATTCGTCCTTCTTGATTCTCTGTGTTTACCATTGATTTTTAACTATGTGACATCTGGACAACTGCTTTTAGGACTGACGGAGAAAGTGCTCCGTAGTCAAATAAGTGAAAGGCAAGCTGAGCAAGAGGTATTTGAAACATTTGATATTGTGTTGACCTGTTATTTTATTTGGCTAAAAGCATTCAAGCTTTTTGGGAATTTTGGTGATGGTAAATGTTACATTCTGGTTTGCTTTGCAGGTCATTGAATTCGTGAAAAAGCATGTTGGTTCTGCAAATCCACTTTTAGCTGGAAACTCGGTTTACGTGGACTTCCTCTTCTTAAAGGTAGCTCAGACTTGGATTGTTTCCTCTCTATTCAAAGCTAGACAGTTGCATCTTGTCGTTATTAATCTTATGTAATTTCACAGAAGTACATGCCAGATTTGGCTGCTCTTTTCCCTCATGTACTTGTCGATGTCAGTAGCGTCAAGGCTTTATGCTTCCGGTGGTTCCCCAGAGGTAAAGATATTCAAGAAACTCTGTGAAAGTGCATGTCAAAAATGAGAACTTAAGAATGGGAGTGTTAGGCAGATTTTTGATGTGTTTATTATGGGTTTTGAGCACAGAGAAAAGCAGAGCTCCTGCGAAGAAGAACAATCACAGAGCCATGGATGATATAAGAGAAAGCATCAAGGAGCTTAAGTACTACAAGGATACCATATTCAAAGCAAACAAAGGAAGGAAGTGAGTGGAGACAAGTCCTCTGATATTGTCTACTTAATTAGAAGGGATTCATTTTTGTTTTGAGAACATCTCTTTTGAGTTGTTGTATTATGAAACCTAGTTACAATATGTTCTTCAGCAATGATGCTATTAAAACGCTTAGCTAACCTTAGATATGACTTTATAAGTTGTATTGCAGCACTTTATAGCATTATGCGGTTACATATTTACACCTTTCTTACATAAACCAATCCCACTCCCATTCTCATCATCCACACAAAGTAGCCGGAACAGCAAAAAAAAGAGCTCATAAAACAAACAAAGCAAGCTTATCTCCCAAAAGATCAAACATTCATACATCACTTTCCAGTTTCTTTCTTGGCTTCGTTGTTCGTCCAGACTACATTCTCTAGAGAGTTAGAGAGCTTCTTATAGAACTGCGCGCAAACACACATTACCTCTGCTTAGCTCATTAAACTTGTCATCATATAAACTTGAAAACCAAACTATGAAGTTAGTTTACCTTATGAAATTCGAGAGTGTCTCCTTTTGATTTTGATACTTGAACCATATGTAGACTTGGTGCTACTTGGAATATCTGCTTATCCAAACATACAGATACAAAAACACATTGAATCAAAAACTCATAAACCATCACCAAACACTTTCTTTAATGTCACTGTAATGAATATACCTCTGTTGAAACATTGAGATTCCCTTTCCTCCCAGCTTTCACATTTTCAAGCCTCATCTGATTTTGTTAAAGTAATACCAAATCTTAGTTTATTGCTTTTCTCACATTTCATTTCCTTTCAAGAGTTTTTTCACTAACCTTATAGTTCTTCTTTTGAACATCAAAACCAAGAGGCTTTGCAGCTTCTTCTATCTTGTCGATGATCTCATTCGCGCCTCCTCTCAGTGTTATCCTTGTTTCTCTCTTAAATTCCTGTTTTGGTCAAAAAACAAATTATCAGAATACAAACAAAAAAAATGGCAGTGTTTTTGAAAGAACACAGAAGACAAACCTGTTCTGGATCAAACAGATTCTCGAGGTTAAGCCCTCTTGACATTGAGATGATCTCAAAGGCATTGATTGCTGCTGGCTGCTCTTCTTTCTTCTCAGTAACAAGATGCTCCTGTACATGATCGTTATGTCATGCTGTTCTTTAATAAAAAAAAATATGAAAGAACACAAGAAAACACTATTCTCACCTCGGATTCTTTGAAAACAGCTTCAACATCGTCCATGTTTGAATCACCCTTCTCCTCAAACACTGGAGGCTTGTAATCTTTCTTGAACCATTCATCTTCAAAGACCTCTTGTGGCGTTACACGCTGACACACAAAACCATATCAACTCAGTTTCTTGACCAAATTGCATAAGCAACACTTGAGAATCCATACTCTCATGTAATGTAAAGAAATGTTTATTTTGATTAGTATGATTTAACCACATCAACCGTCCTTTCAAACTTTGTCGATTTTGCCAGAAAACACATAAAAGTGAGCTATTAAATGAGAGATGAAGCAGAAAAGAGTTGTACATTTTAATATGTATAACAGAGGTTCTCCAACCTTTTAATCTCCAGCCCTTTTGTGCTGGATAAAATGGAAAACATGATTGAGTAATACAATAGATTATGGTATAAAGGAATGAACATAGAGCTCATTGTTTTTAAAGTCTTCTTTTTATAACGAATATTGATGTCATAAAGTTCATGTTTGAGTGAAAATTCTTAGCAACAGACAGATTCTTGCTCAAACTAGTCATATCAACAAGAAAATGCCTTTTTTAACCGTATGAGGCTATTAAATTACTTACGGTCATTGGGTTTGGATCTAAGATTCGAGTGATAAGTTTCATGGCGCCAAGTGAGAGCCATGGAGGACAGTTGAATTCACCAGATGAAATCTACACACACACACACACACACACAAAATGCCAAAAGGAGTTACAAAACCTGAAATAAGGATTGTTGAAAAGAATCCATCCAAACAAAGACTTTGTAAAAAAAAAGAGTTGCTCACTTTCTTATAAAGATTCATTAGATTAGAATCATCAAAAGGCAAGTAACCTGCAAGCAGGACATAGAGTATAACACCACATGACCACATGTCAGCCGTTGCTCCATCATAGCCTCCATCATTAAGAACCTTAAAAAACCACAAAGATGAAGAGATTTGGTTATGAAATCCATACAAAGTGTAAAAACCAGAAGAGACTATGATCAGAGATAATGAAAATATGTTGTTTAGGAAAACCTCAGGAGCAACATAGTTTGGAGTTCCACAAGATGTATGAAGGAGTCCATCAGCCTGATACCCCAAAAGCAACATACACATACACCATAGTTTAAGTATACAAATTCCGACAGAAAAATCCGTAAATTCTTGGAGAAAGTAAAGAAGTTTAGTACCCTGACTTGTTGGGACAAAGCACTTAGTCCAAAATCTGAGATCTTGAGGTTACCATATGCATCCAATAGTAAATTTTCAGGCTGCAAGATCACATACACACAACAGAATAGTGAATCAATTTGTTACGCATAGATAAAGTGGTCCATAAAGAAACTTCTTGAAGTGTGTGTACCTTGAGGTCTCTATGGTAAACACCTCTGCTATGACAGTAGTCCACAGCATGAACAAGCTGTTGGAAATATCTCCGAGCCTCTTCTTCTTTCATCCGACCGTCTTTTACCTTCATGTGTTACGCAATCACATTTCAGTTCAAAATGTGACACCACTCACCATTTATACAAAAAGAAATATTGTGATAATAACTAACTTACAATCTTATCAAAGAGCTCTCCTCCTGTAACATACTCCAAGATGATAAATATCTTTGTCTTACTTGCCATCACCTACAATTTCAACTTCAGTCACATGAATCCTCATAGGACAAATCAAGAATCAAAAAGAGTAAAGATAATTTTTTTTACCTCATATAGTTGAACAACATTTGGATGTTTTATCAACTTCATAGTTGCTATTTCTCTTCCGATCTGTAGAAAAACAAACAAATCAAAGAAGGGTAAGCAAGATTAACTGATGAAAAGGAGAAATGTGATGCAGGTTTTCAACTGACCTGTTCAGCCATCTTATGCTTAAGGACTTTCTCTTTATCAAGAATCTTGAGAGCAACAGGTTCTCCAGTTTCAGAGTTTCTTGCAAACTTAACTTTAGCAAAAGTTCCTTCTCCAATTGTTCTTCCCACTTCATACTTACCTACTCTACGCTTTACTTGCTGCCTCCGATTCATTTTTTCTCCTTTCTTGAATTTACCAAAATCACAGATTCAGAAGGTAAATCTTCCACCAAAAAATGCTAAGAAATAAGAAAGCCTCTCTCTGAAATCACCACAAGAAGAGAAAGATTACTTCGAATCAATACAAACTTTGGAATCAATGAGGAAAGAATCAAGAAGGATTTGATGAGTGAAGAAGAAGCAAAGATAATATCTTCCTTTATATAAGCCAGCTACAAGATTTAATTTTTCTTTTTTTAAATCTAAAAAAGAACCTTAAATCTTGTTGGGATCAGTACAGAAAGAAAAGATCTGAAAGCTGCAGAGAGAGAGACTGGAAATGGCTTTTGAGAGAGACGAAGAGGCAGGTCGTGATACACGATGAAGATGAAGAAGAAGAAGATTAATAATATAACTCTTTTAATATTTATTTTTGGAATAATTCGTTTTCTTGGTGTTTGAAGTTTGCAGTTTTTTTGTGGAGTTTTACTAACGGACAAATGTTCTTACAATAGAAAGAAACAAAGAATCAATATCTTTCGTAAAGCTAAAAACCATTACAAGACAAAACCGATTCAAAGTTTTGTGATGAACTCAATTCAGATCTTTTTTCTCTTTTATTTATCCTCTTAAATAGTGATTTTTTATTATTATTAGATAATGGCATATTCCATTAGAGTAACGACGAATTGCGGCCAACTATTATATTGACTGATAGATTTTAAAAAGATATACAAAAACTATATGTTAAAATAATTTTCAGCTAACTTGAATACTAAACATGTGTATTATGATCTATATATGTTGTTTCTCTAAAATTGTCGGTTATTTCTTTTGATTTTTTTAAAAACATTCTGACTGTGATTAAGTGATCTGAAAACATAAAATAAACAGACGTAAATGATAGATAAACTGTGAAAAAGTGTCTGAAACAAACGTGTATAAAGCGTAAGATCGACACTTACATTAAAAGATTGTTTTGAATGGACTTTGAGAGAATTAATGGTCTAAGAATGGGAAATTTTATATTATGTTAGCATTGCTTTGACAGGATCCATTCCATCGTGGGAACAAAGAATTTTTTTTTTTTATAGATTTACATAAACATGACTCAGCGTCGATGTTTTAAGAGATCCGACTTGAGATTGGCAAGGATCCTAGTTGGTGAAACATGATGTTGATGCATGTGATTGTCAAATTATTGTTGTTACTAGACTGATATCCTCCACAATGTTTGGTAATAACTCCAATACATATCAATGTTGATACATCAATTGCAATATAAAATTTGTCAACGCAAGGACAATGTGTAACGAGTGTTTGATTATGGGTTAACGTCGAGCTATCGGGTGTCTCATACGTCAAGATTCTCTCGTCTTTTTTACTTTACTTTTTATTTTCTTGTGAAGGTGAACAAAAAAATCAACTCTGGCAACTTTCCCTCCACCGTTTTGTCGGAAATGTGTAGGTTAAAATTTAAAAGTGTTAGTCTCGAAACTCGAAAGAGTTCATGCTATTGGTTAAGCCCCAATAAGGCTCATGTTCATGGCTGATTCTCGTTTTCAGATGTCTAATTTTTAAAGGTTTACGATCTATTTTTATAAGATTATTGTAGCTGTCTGTTTTAGTTTGTTCAGATTCCGGAGATATAATCTTTGTTAATGTTGGCTTTTGGCTTATGGCTTTTGGGAAGTAGGATTCTTCCACTAGCTTTTGTTTCTGAAAGTTATTTGAACTCGTCGGATTTGTTTCCACTTTCCAGCTCAGTGTAATTCTTGTATCAATCTCTCAATATGATTTACAGTGAATAAAAAGATGTAGATATAGCAAAACTATGAATATTAAAAGCAAGACTTGATAAAATCATAGATTAAGTCTGAAGTCGTTTCATGATATGCCAAAAAATTATCAACTTTGAACACTCTTCGTTTATTTCTTTAGTTTCGTGGGGTTGACTCCAATTTTTTTTGTCTCTTATCTTCATTAGAAGACTATGCGTGGATATGGCTGTAAATTACCTTTGACTTCACTTACTTCCACTGTGAGATAAAAGTCCTCTTTCAATTAATACTAAATAATTACTAAACAGACATGTAATTAATTACTAAAAACATAATTTAAAATACAAACACAATTAAATCAATCATTGGCCACTGGCCCACTAGCCAGTGGGTAACAGTACGATATCCTAGAAAGATTGACACATTATAAAGTGATTAAATTATTCGAACCTAATCTTCTTGTTCAGATTCGTTTAATTTTTTAAATATCCATAGTTGTTATTTAACTATACAGAAAAAAAAACATGAAATCAGAACAAGAACAATGCTGAGTTATAACATGATCAAATAAATATTGTCATAAGTTAAACTGAACCATACGATAGAAACAACCATTTCAAGATGCATGCATCTGTTGAATTTTGATTCCCTCGATTGTTTCTATAAATATTTATCCATAATATCTGCGTTTTCATTTGAGATTCGCATGCGACTGTTCTGGTTTGTTTCAGTGTCTTGAATGTCTTAGATGTTGAATTAATAAAATAAATTTGTTCAAAAGAGAAACCAAAAAACCGTCAATCACATAACTCCCATCAAATCCAGGAATGTGATGAAACACATAAACCACAAAATATCAGTAACAAAACCATAACTATCCAAAAGAAAAGAGGATGAGAGAGATTAACAGACTCGGTTTGTGATACTAAGAGAAAGAGACTTGAGCTGTGTGTTCCATTTATCAACCGCCTTGTGAAGCTTCCTTCCATTGGCACTGTCACCTCTCAGCAAGTAACGGTTCATCTCGTCAATGTGCCCGTCGATTCGACTGTCCAGTATCAGCGACACGAGCAGCTCCGTCACATCCTTCTCCGGCACGTTCAGCTCCTTTGATATGAACGGAATCCCAATCTTTGTGTACGGCTTGATCAGCTTCAGCAGCACCTGTGTTCTCACCTTCTTCAGCAGGTCTTCCATGTAGTTTCTGATGAATGGATCGTCCATGATCGTCTTCCGGTTACTCTGCATTGCAAACAAACCATTTCATGAGTGTCCTTTCTAAGATATATGTGGATGAAAAACCTAAATAAGTAAATAGCACTTCACTTATTTACCTTTAGGATTCTCTCAAACTCTATGATCTCGTTTCTTTGGTAGGCTGCTATCAGATTCGTCATTGCCAAGATCTCAGGGTCGTTCTTGTACGGCTTTGCCTCTTGCCCGTCAAATGGATTCACTTCCGACTCCATCAGCATATTCGCCAGAACCAGATATCTTTGCAAAACCAAAAGAACAGAGCAAAGATCAATAACTCGAAGATGAAATATTGAAATGCTCATGTGCACCACATGTCCCTGATGTCAAATCTAAACAACGGCATTGCTTTATTCATTCATGAGATATCTTGTTTGTATGCTGTTAGACCATGCTAATAATCAAATGACCAGCCGTTATCAGATGGGAATGGATAAAGAGATGAGAAGATAACAGGAAACGTACTTTAGGCACTGAATACGTCTGTGGTTACCAGCTTCATCGTAATTTTTGAAAGCCTCAAAGAAGTCTGTGGCAGCTTCTGCCCACTGACGCTCTGCCATGTGCATCTTTCCACCACACTCTCGGATTATACCCATGATCCTTGGATGAGGTATCGCAGATTTGATGGCAAGTGCCTTCTGGTATAGTTGCTGCATCCATTCAATAAGTGCTGGTTATACATCTCAGTCATAAAAGCCAAAAGAAAGTGTAAAATTGCAAAATTTCAAAGAAAGGCAGATGATCTTAACCTTGAGCTTTTTGTTGTCCTTTGTTTCAGTGTAAATCTGAATTTCAATCGCATAAACCTCAAGCAGCTGACTTCCTTTCTTCTGATCATCAGTTCCATCTTCCTTTTGACAAGATTTATGGAGCTCCTTCAGGATCTGGCAAACAGTAAAAGTAGTTGCTATTGTCTACCCTAAGATATATAAGCAAAATCAACTTCAACCAAAAGATTTAGCTTAACCAAAGTTATACCTTACTCATCCGTCTGTATTCACCAATGTCAAACCAGATGTTGCAGAGTTTTAGATTCGTCTTGAACCAGAGCCTCTGCAAAAGAAACCAATATGTCACATCTCCAAGCCCATTGAGAAGAAGCGGTATACACATATACAAAACGAAAAACAGTTTTCAGACCTCATTCTTAGCCTCTTCAAGAGCTTTCAAGGTGGTCTGATAGAACTCTTGCAACAGGCCAGTGTTCTGGCTAGCATTTCCAGAGACGAAATCCATGATATTGTTTATACACTTTTCGCTGTAGTTCCGTGTCACTGCTGACTTGATGTATGTAAGCATCTCTCTGTACGCATCCATCATTTCCTTGTATTTACTTAGACGATAATAAATCTTGACGGTCTGCTTAAGCGCTTTGAAACCCCTGTCAAGAATGATTTAACTTAATCAACAAAACTTCAAATAAAACTTTCACACATATTAGACGAATTACAGAGGCAATCAATCTGATGAACAGGACAAAGATAAACCCATCATACACCAGAAAAATCTCACAGGTAAGCTCAAGATCTTAACTAGAGAAAAATATGAACTTTAAACGAGTCTCTATCTCTTCAACCATGGCTACATTCAAAATCCGCTTCAACTGCAGACAAACCCTAATCTAGTATTCTCTAGAGCTACACTACAAGCTTATGGCAACAGAACTTTTTCACTTACCATTCAGCCTTGTCTGGTTCCATCTTGACAACCTCAGCGAACCCAGAAAGTGCCTCTTCAGGCTCAGTCTCAACCATACCTTTAAGAAAGAAGAAAAATCATTACGAGTTAAGATTTGAATCAACAGCAGAAATTGAGAATACGAAGACATAGTCGAACGCAAAAAGAAACCTTTGGAATTGTAATACTGATTCTCAATGTCAACGTCTTGCTCCTCTTGTTCCTCATCGGAATACTCGAATCCATAGTCCTCCATATCAGCATCTACAAAGTTCGAAAAACCCATCAATAAACCTTCGTTAACGATAAGATTAATGGCTAGTAAGTAGTCCGATTTGAGAACTACGAACCCTAAAGGGTCTACAGTTGGAGATTAAACCCAGAATAAAAAAGATGAGAAACAGTAACAAGACCTGAAGCCATAGTGATCAGATGAAGAAGAGCACAAGATCGATTAGAAGATTGAGCTTGCGACGGAGTAAAATCGGAGGCCGGCGGAGTAAGACTCGACCGGAGATGATATTTCGAGAGAATTTAGGGCACAGCAAAAGAAAGAATAAGAAAGGATTTGCTTCGGCTTTTGATTTTGGTTTGCCTAAAGGGTTTTTTGTGGAAGCGGTGATGATTTTGGTTTTTGGGCCGGGTTTAACCAATTTTGTATTGATTTGATTTTGTGATGTCAAAAAGGAAAGAGATCTTTTTTAATCTCTTAAATTTCTATGTAATGTTTTATTTTCTAGAATATATAATTTGGTAAACTAACAAATTTAATTTTGTAAAGATAGGTTAGAATTAGCACTGCAAATATTTTTGTGACATGTGTGTAGTAGATATCAACTTTTAAATAAAGAAAAAATATAATCTAGATATCACGCATAATATAAACATTATTAAATCTTAGACTCATAATAATTTATTAAAGTTTTAATCAATTATTAAAAATTGATTGATGATTTGGGAAAACTTTCACATAAATTAAAGGAAGATTTACGTAGTTAGACTCAAAGAAACATATATTCAAAACATGAACAAAATGGAAATTGGTTACAAACCTTTCTATTTATGCTTCAGTAACTCATTCTCCTCTTTCTCAGTAATACTAATACACCCTGAATTGCAAATTGAGAGTAAACTTGAAAAGAAAACCCTCCTAAACTTGGCTTCTTCTCTTTTAACTTTTTTTTCTTGCGACTAAGGAAGCCTCTTGATATACGATTACGAACCATCGAGTTCGTACTTAATATCACTACACTCAGTCTCAGAATTATGACTTTTGAAATAGATGTACTGAATCTTAAACGTGATTAAACATCGTTTTATATGTTTGAAAAACCGCAACTCTTGTGCCTCGAAATCAAGTGAAGGAGTTAGTGAAGCAACTGTGAAATAGCGATAAGATAAACAGAGTCGAAAGGTTCATAAGAAGCTGCAACAGTTGCCCCTCGAGACAAAATTCAAGAGAAACATTCAAAGTTACAAAACAAACTCCGAACAAACGACGCATTAAACACATCTAAAAATTCAGTCAACACAACACACTTCCTCAGTTTAGTCAGCATCCATCTCCTCAAGCGCAATTTTAGCTGCCGTCTTTGCCTCTTCGAGAAGTTCATCAGGAACCTACAATGAGTCCAACATATGGTTTATGAACATTTCTTTAATTCATCATCAATAAGCAATCAGCATTTACAAGTTTTCTTTTTTGGTTACCTTCTGATGCTCTCGTTTTGACTCCTCGCATATCCAGCTCATCTCTAGTTCGAAGGCCTTGTCTTTGGCTTCATCGTGTAGCTTGTAAATGCTGCACATGAATGAAATCTCACATTAGATCTTCAAAATGAGGAATCAGAAGCACATGGTTGCATAGAGTTTACTACTGAGAACGAGTTCATAGAGAAGCAAGCAATACTCACATTTTCGCCACCTCAATAACACCTTCTTTGCATGTCATCTCAGACAATTTCAACTTCTCGATTTCCCTGCAAAGGTATCATCTGATCCATCAGAACACTTGTATTATCCTTTCCTTTCTGATAACTAAGTGACATACTACACAGGTCAAAGACAGCCAAAAGCTATACAATCTAGAAACATCTGTTGTTAAGTTCGTAGTTCTTAACTCCATTAAGTCACTGAATCAGAATGATCAATCCCATCAACCATGAAAGTTTAACAGATCCATAATGTCAATCCTAGTGGTGCTAGGATACCTTAGTAACTTACTACACATATCACTATAAGAGCACTCTAATGAATAATGCGACTAGACCAAAAATAATCACGCAGTAGCTTACGTTTTAGCAGCTTGCTTTCCTTTGCCGATTGCTGCACCAAAATATCTCTGCAAACCGAGATGATCACAGAGAGAAATTATTAACCACTTTAAAAATAAAGACACAGATCTTGGTTAAAATGACAATGGCAAGCAGAAAAGACTTACATATGCTATGCCCGATGGTTCAATCATGTACAATTGGGGTCCATCTCTGTCATAACCTCCAAGAATGACTCCACAGCCAAAAGGCCTTCAAAGAATAAAATCAATTTCTTATAACTCAATTCATTCAAGTAGGCGAAATGCTTAGGAGATTATCAACGAGGTAGATGAATTCGGACAAACCTGAGCCACCAATACAGGGTACATAGATGTACATAGCTTGCAACACGCTCTGAAAGTTCCTTCACAGGTACAGCATCGCCATAGACACTAAATTATCACAAGTGAAAGCCGATTTAGTTGCACAATCAGCAAAAGATTAATAATGCAAACCGATGCAGGACAAAATGGAAACATTCCCTTGAGAAAAATTATAGGAGTAGAACAGTCTTTTCATAGTTATAAATCTAAGATGTGCAACTTTAACAGCAGATGCTAAATAGGTTCAATCTGTTGCTTTCATTGAATACCTCTCATAACTTCTTGCTTCAGATTTAGCCCGTGCAACAATTTGCCTCCCATCAGCTGCAAGCCCAGCAACAGCCTAACATCACAGGAGGAGAAATGCTCAATTTAGAATGTTTCATATCTTTAAAGAAGCTAATTTTCCTATAAGATAAGTGCATACCATGCCAGCATGACGATGAACAGAGTGAATTCTCCGGTTGGAACCCGGTAGCATCATCTTTGATGCAATAAGTTTCTCCACACCCTGAAACCACCCAGAAGATATACACTCAGTAAAGGCTAACACTTTATCGAATCTGTGTAAACTTCAGACCCAACTATCAATATTTCCATGCTTTATGTAAAATCAAAGCTAACAAACATGGACACAGCAGAGGAAAAATGAAGATTACTTCATTTAAACTGAATTTGGAGGTTAAAATCAAATAAATCTCATCTATCATGTTCCAGGTATGATCCAAGTCCGAGCAAATCCGAAGACGAGAGACTAAATCCACTAAAGTGACAAAGTAGGATTAAGAATAAAAAAGAGGAGGAGAAGAAATCAAACCATTACAATCCCGTCCTTGCACTTGATTCCAACAACAGTACTGCAAAAGAAAAAGCAAGCTTAAGAACCCTAATTTCCTGAACGAGGATGGAATTTGCCATAGCTCAATCCCAAAGTTCGAATGCGAAATCCGATCTAGGTAACAGAAATAGGGAAAAATCGAAGATGTAAACACTAACCCACTGTTGTCGACAGCTTTGGCGGCGTACTCGATCTGGAAAACACGACCATCGGGAGAGAAAGTCGTGACGGAGAGATCGTATCCTGTTCCAATGCTACTCATTTTTGTTGATTTTATTCTGCTGCTTCTTCTTCTTCTTCCTTGAGTGGTTTTAAGCAGGATCGGAGAATGGGGTTTTCTTTGTTCTCAAGCCAGAGAAGATAAAGCTCTTGAGTGCTACGACTCTGGCCTGGATATCAAAACGATCCGGGTCGTAATGTTGGGTGGGTCGATTCAGTTACTATTGGGCTTTATTAATAACGAAATGGCCCATTATCTTTGTACCTTCAACGTTGTCTCATGTAATGTGAAATAGTCTCAAGAACACTTCGATTAGCTGTTAACTTTTAATAATTTTCAAAAATCAGAGTAGTGGAAAAAAAGTAATACCAAAATGCATATGCCAGATTTTATCCATGAACAATTAACTTCTTTGCTCATTTCTACTTGTTATTGGTGTGCCAGTAAAAAAAAAAATTGGCAGAAATATATTGCTTCACAAATCTTAACTATAAACAAAGGTCATTTTAATTTTCAAAAATAACTTAAATTTTGTTTTGGAATTATATTACACCTTCAATATCTGTTGTATTTTCTTTTTATTAATAATTTGTAAATGCCAACACATTTTAATGAATTTTCCTTCTTTTTTTTGACAAAGTCCATTTTCAAAAATTCCAAAAAAGTCTTTAACTATAAAATAAAATAAAATACTTTTTTCACAACTTTCCACAATTTAGATGACTTTTCAACCCATAGTCATTTTTCTACGCCCATAATATTTATCTAAACAACTGAAAACGGGTTGAAAACCATCTAAAAGTAACTAAAACATCAACTATGTGCATGCTCTTAACTTTTAATCTAATAAAAAGACATAACATCGTATGTTTGTTCTTCTTCAATCATCATTTAGTAACATAGTTACATAGAGAGACATAACATTCATTATTTGATGTTATAAATTATAATAAACGTTTCCAAATCCTCCTTTTCTTTTCCAAAGCCGGACAGGTTAGCAAAGCCGCCCTTTCAAACGCAAGGGATGTCAATGTTTGATACTCTATCTGTTATTAGACAGTGAAAAGAGTGACTAGTAATGAGTTTGGAAAGGTAATCAACCTCATGTTTTAGTTGACCAAAGTTATAATATATGTCATATCAAAATTCTTGGTAGATTTCGTAACCATAATTATGATGTTCTTGTTGTGCTTGTCAACACTTATTCCACAATAAATGATCTATTGTTGATTCATCTCCAACATCCAACTTCGTATTACTGAACTGCTGATGATTAATCGTTGGATGTTGTTTAATATATACTGCATTAGGTGATATGGATGTTTTAGGTTCACTTGTACATTTCTGTTTTGCATATAAAATAATATGATAATGACTTTGAGTACTAAATATAATATGTTGGGCTTATTCTCCTCATGTTATAAGCATTATGTACAAAATCAAACATATCACGACAATAGATGAAAGTGTCATTGGACATATAATGGGTTTGAATCATCTTATAGTTTAATTTTAAGTTACAACTATACAAACTAGATTTCGTAATTATTCAACCAATAAAAAATTACTTAATAATTTTGTGAAACTAGTTCAATTATTTGTAAACATTGACCAACAAATAGAAAGATACATAGAAACGAAGTTACAATCAGAAAAAGTTTTGGAAACTGTAAAATAAATTGTGTTGAAGATATTAACACTCTATAGACACATCATATCTCATTTGTTTTTCCGATTGCACCAATGCACAAACTTTTTGAAGAGCATCATGTATTCCAAATTCAGTATTCAAGGGAGTGGAGGAAAAATGAAGAATAAAATATTTAAGAGAATCGGATGCGAAAGCTAATGTAATTGGGCCTAATGGGCTTTCATTTCCTCTTTCATCAGCTTTATATAATTCGCACTTCGTCCACTCCACATCTTCATCACATTACACACACCAACGTTGATATTTCTCTTTCTCTCTCTCTCGCTCTCTCGCTTCCTCCTCCATTTTCGTTCACAAAAAATGGCCGATCAGCTCACCGACGATCAGATCTCCGAGTTCAAGGAAGCTTTCAGCCTATTCGACAAGGACGGAGATGGTTCTCTTCTCTCAGATCTCTCTTATTTTTAATTTTTCTCATCATAATTTTGATATACAATGATTGCTTCACTGGTGATTTTTCTGTCTTTCTTCTTCTCTTTTCGCTTCAATCTGCGCTTGATTTGGCTTCGATTTTTGTTAGTTATTTGATATCTCGATCGTTATGTTCGCGATTTGATTCTGTCTCTCCTGGAAATTGAATTAGACTTTTAGTTTCTGATCGATTTTATAGTGACGAGGAATTTTTGGTTTCTAAATTTGTGCTGGCGTCTCCAAATTCGAAGCAAATCTTAGATTCATTTCCAGTAAATCGATCTTTTAGGGAAAGGAATTTGAAGAATCGTTGTTGAAATTTTGATTACAGGTTGCATCACGACGAAAGAGCTTGGCACAGTGATGAGATCACTAGGCCAGAATCCAACAGAAGCAGAGCTTCAAGATATGATTAACGAAGTTGATGCCGATGGTAACGGAACCATTGATTTTCCAGAGTTTCTTAACCTCATGGCTCGGAAGATGAAAGACACGGATTCAGAGGAAGAGCTCAAAGAAGCTTTCAGGGTTTTCGATAAGGATCAGAACGGTTTCATTTCGGCTGCGGAGCTGAGACATGTGATGACCAATTTGGGAGAGAAGCTGAGTGATGAAGAAGTTGATGAGATGATCAAAGAAGCTGATGTTGATGGAGATGGTCAGATTAATTATGAAGAGTTTGTCAAAGTTATGATGGCAAAGTGAGGGAACATTTCTCAATTCTCAATCTCCCTTTTCTTTTTTCTTTTGGCTTGAAAAAACAAATAGTCTTTGTGCTTTGATTTTGCTTTTCTTCCATATTTGACTGTTCATGATCATCATCATTCTTCCTCTAGTGTTTGTCTGTTTTTTTATCATTCTTTGAAAAATAATTTCATGTTTGTGAACTATTCGTGACTCCGGCTTATTTTATTTGTTTGGAAGATATTTTAAAAATGCAGTTTTGTGAACGTTGTTGAAAAGTTATATCTTGATATTTTTCTATCACTACAAAAAATCCAATTTACAAACTTACAATGCAAACACTCCTAGTTATTAAAAATAGTGATATTGATAACCTATACAAAACACAAAAATAAAAGGGGGAAAAAAAGAACAAACACAAAAGTGTATTCTTGTTGTGAGTTAGCTGTAAATTAAGAAAACTAAATTGTTTAACTTAAAGCCAAATATGCTTAGGAGAATAAAATCAGAATCTGGATGGTAAGAAGCGAAAGCTAGATAGAAGAACCTTTATTCTCTTCTTTTGCATTACTTATTGTCGAATCATATTTGATTATTACCATTACAATAACTAACCATTTTCTTTAATTTAAAATGTGTGGGGGGCTTTAGGAGAAGACGGAAGAGAAGTATGACGACGAAACGTAGTATCGCTTCTGAATTTAAAGAAGAGAGCCGTCGCCGGAAAAGTCATTGTTGTGTTCTCTAAACTCCAGCATTTATCCTTAATCCCCACTTTTTATATGCTTTGTGAGAAGAAATAAGAGATTTGTAACTCAACCCAATAACGAAGATCTTATATTATATAAAGTTTGGTGTGTTTTCACAAGAGCCTAATACATAGCAAATTTGCAAATAATGGAATGGCAACATGTTTATTGTAGTGTTTCAATTTCTAAATAAAATATTACAGGATTTTTCATTTATAGGAGTGTCTTGTGACGCACGTTAGGGGTTCTAGTGTTGTGTATGAAATTGTAAGAAATTATATTCCACCTCTTTTATATCTTGGAATCAAGGAACTACATTACTTCACTTCCTTTTCCTCGGAAACTCGTTTTTACTAAACTTTACTTATTTGTCTGTTTTCACTTCACCACACAAGTATACTAGAGAGTTTCCACAAAGACGCAAAACATATTTTCACAAGAAAACTTAACTAACGGAGACTCGTACTATCTAATGTGATCTTCAATTTGCCATTATTGTTCTTTATCGTCATCTTAAGCGTGTAAGTGCCTTGTTTCAAAGAGACGTTCTGTTAGATCATGTTAAATTCATTTGTCACTTTCATTGTTATAAGAGAGAGACGATTTTCCTTTCTCTTTACTTACATGAGAAATGACTAATTTATCTGTAAATGACTAGACTAGTTTTTAAAGCCATATGACAATATCCCAAGATAGTAAAACAATCCAATATTCAAAGCCTTTGCTTTAGTATTTTGAGAATTCTCCTCTGATGCAAGTAATTCTTTCCTTTCTCTACAATGCTTGAAAATGTTCTTTCAACGGGGCCAACAAATTAAAGGATTAATAAAAATAGTGTGTTAGACAATAAAAAGAAGAAGAAAAAAAGAGAGAGGTGTGTGAACAAAGCTCATGCATATACAATGAACAAGACTGAAGGTTTAGGGTTCATGAAAATATTATAACTCACGCTAATGTTCATGCTTTTTCGCTATATATATACATAAATAACAAAACAAACCCATTCAAGAAAACAAAAGTTACCAAAAAAATGGGGAAAATAACTTTCTCAGCAATAATGTATGTAACAGTGATGATGATCATTGAAGTTGAATCAAGTCTTCACAGAGTAGGCGGCGGAAAATACAATTGGAATCCCGATGTCAACTTCTCCGACTGGGCCAACCACCAACGCTTCTATTCCGGCGACTGGCTCTGTTAGTAATTATATATCTTCATTTCTTTTCACTTACTTTTTATTCTTAAAAAAGAACATTAACAGTCGTTTAGTTTAAAAAATATTAACTTCTACTTCTAAAGTTTGATTTATTTTGATAATTCTGATGTAAAAATATAGCCTGTCTCAAACTAATTTTCTCATTATAAAACTGGCAGTTTTTGGATTCGATCGGACAAATCACAACATCCTTCAAGTAAACAAGACTAGCTACGAAAATTGCATCGACAGTGATTTCATATTCAACATAACACGAGGAGGAAGAGATGTATTTCAACTTCTTGAACCAAAGCCTTACTACTTCATTTGCGGTAAAGGTTACTGCCTCAAAGGCATGAAGCTCGCCGTTAACGTCCTTCCTCAACCACCGCCTTCAGCTCCAGCCGTTCCCATCACCCCCGCCTCTACCGCCACTACTATCACAATACTCTCAGCCGCTTTCACGGCCATTCTCACGGCATTCACTTTTAAAGCCTTCATATTTTGACTAGTCTATGTGACTATTTATGTGTTTCTTTGTTTGATTTGAGTTTTGGTGTGTTTTTAGTTGAAACGAAAAATACCACTTCCTAAAACTTTAGAATATTATCATTCACTACTTTTAATTATATGTCGTTTATTTGGAGTATTTAGCCAAAAATGCATCTTAATGGCATATATACTTTGAGTCTTTGAGTCTTTAAAGCATATATACTTTGTTCCTTAGCAAATCTGGGTTCTGGTATTTTAGTTTGAACAAACAGAGTCGACACCTAAATTTTAGAATATATTTCACGACAATGTCGTTTGCTTGTATTTAACAGAAAAGGTTACTTCTTTTGTGCAAAATACTTCTTAAAACTCCGAAATATTCACTACAAAAGGCATTAATTTGACTAGGTTATGCATTCTTAACTCAGAGAATTCAACTACAATAAGTCACTTTCAAAACAAACCACCACCGATAGATACTTAAGGGGGCAAAAGCATATTCAAAACCCTAAAGACAACAAGGCTGGCGATAATAGTCACAAAAAACATACCAAGCCTTTTAGTTTTGTTGCCTTAAACACTTAACCGATAGATCCTAAGATTAAAGTCAGAGAGAGATAGCCGATTACTACTACTTACTTAAAGAGACTACACATTCTCTTTTCAGCTAACAGAAGAACATGGAGTTGGCCACATTGTCCTTCAGTTTCGGCATCTGTGGCACTGAGACTGGTCCTGGAGCTGTCACGCTGCCACCGTGGCTTGAAGACGTCTCAGACTGATCCTCGAACTTCATGAACGTCCCTAGCTGAGCAGCTGCCAAGTGAGCATAGCAGATAGGCGCAACTGCACAAGAATACACATTGTCAGATATTAAAAGAAGAGATCAAAGACTTTTAAACATCAATGGACTAGAGAAGTTAAAAGTATGATACTTACCAACAGAAATGGCACTTGTGCTTCTTTGGTACCTGGGAATTTGACAATGAAAGAAACCAAATCAGTTCTATTAATCTTCACATCTAAAGTGGTCACACGACAAAGCAGTTAAGGTTAAGAGTTGAGACTACATACACATAGGAGAGCGAGTGGACGAGTTCCTGAAGTTCATCAGCAGAGAAATGGATCTCATCATACAGGACATGGTAATGTGTAGGACGACTTGTTCCCTAATTCACAACACAAGAAAGATAGATAAGAGTAAGAAACAAACAACTTGTACTAAGCACAATCAACAAGTGTAGTCTTTTTACAGAGTTGTGATGACGATACTTACAATCATCCCAGCATGAGCACAGAGGTAGAAATCGTTGTTCTTCGGGTGACAGATGTTGTTATCAATGATGGTCCCTGTAGAAAAACAAAACCAAACACACCATGAGATGAGATCATGTGTGTGCGTGGTGTGGAAAAAGGTTGTTATGAAGATTTATTGATTAAGTTAGTCACCTGGGGGAACGTTATCAGGAGAGTTGGGCTGGAAAAACTTGGTGTGGTGATTCTTCTGAGCCACCAACAAAAGGAACAGCGGTTTCCAATTCGCATCAAGAAGCTTGCAAGCCTGAGGAAAGAGAGATGTTATAAAATTACTAACAGAGTAGCAAAACAGTACACTAAGAAACAGTTTTTGTATCTTTGTAAATTTCAGTTACCTCTATGATCTGATCAAGTTCAATGTTCAGGACCTGATTGAACTGAGACTCACTAACACCATCCCTAGAAGAATTAAAGACATTGAAACAACCGTTATTAGAAAAGAAAACAATTGAAGAATAGCCAAAAGCTTTGATTTAACAAAGTCATTACCTGAAAATGATGATATGCTGGGGCTTCCTCCCACCCGAGCTAGTGTAGAAATCAATCAGCAACTCCCTGCAAACAAAGTTACATAAATACTTCAAAAACTGGAGCAATCAGCAAAGAGAAGAATAAAAAAAAGTCCACAGAGAGTTAGTATAAGCACTTGATAATGCCATCGTCTTCCTTTCCATTTGGCTTGACAAGGTTCTCGATCATCTCAGCCTTAGAAGGCTGTGTGCGAACAGATGCTCTGTATTTGGAGATTAGAGGCCACTGCCTTGAACTCACCACCTAAGTAAACCATAATAACGGAGACAGCTAAATATCAGTATCAATGATATCATCTAAGAGCAAAACAATATATGGAAACAATAAGCAGTGAAGGGTAATATTACAGCAGCAATGGAAGGGACATCAGACTGTCCAGGAGATCCGTGAGAAACATCCATCCCAAGGATGATGGTTGGAACTTTGGAGATGATTGTCCAGGCAGGTGTACGCTCAACGCTCAAAATTGAGTTCAGGCCTCCAAGCTGTAGTGTACATGTATTAGAGATTGCATACACTTAAGTAAATATATCATCGGTAGAAAACAGAGAAAAAAAAAAAGACATATCACCTTTGCATTGATCTTCAGAAGAAGGTTTGTAAGGTACTGATCATTAGGCTGACGCGTAGGAGCCATGCACTGATTAACAATGCCGAATTCAGTTAGGCACTTCTTCTTCCACGGACCTGAAGAGGAATTACCAGTTTTTTATCAAGGGAAGATTTTGATTTATGCAACAAGAATATCTTTAGGACTGGAGTGGAAAGATATCTAACCATAGATGTCGGAGTTCTTCTTATCAGGGAGCAGACACAGTATGAATTGCGGAGCACCTGGGAGCTTAGACTGGACATCTTCAAACATCTTCTCTACACGAATCAGAGGGGGAGCACGTCGGTTCTGATGGTTCTCTTCAAACACACTGAATGGACCATTAATTTCCTGTGAACAAGTACAGAGAAGCAGTTAATTTTTACAGTGTTTGATGATCACAAACTGTATTCAAGAAATACAAAACAAAAAGAATCCTACTTACAATTCCTTTTGATCCTCCAATTCGAATCAGATCATCCACAAGTTGACGTGTGTTACAACGAGCAGAGAAGTTTACTACAACCCATCTCTCAATCTTGGTAGGCTCGAAAAATTGCTGCACAACAAAGGGAATCAGACTATCTGAAGAAGCAAGTACAAAGAGACGCAGAGAGAGTTACTGCACCTTGTTGTTGAAATTCCAGCGACCGTTTCTAGGAAACAGTTCATTTCCACCTCCCATTTTCAGCTGCCAGTCAGAGAAAACAAGAGAAACATTACTGTAAGCAAAAGCTTTAACACAATGTATCAAGTCAAAACTAAGAAACTATAACATACCTTGGGAGCTGGCAGAACACGACCCTCCACCTGAGTAAATTTGGAGCTGATTGAGATGCCACATGAACGCAGGAGTGGTTCAGAGTCATACTTGCTCTTTTCCAGAGCCTGTAAACATGAAACCAAAGATAATATCAATTCAAGTTCTCTGACAAAACAGAACAGTTACGAACCAGTCAGGGTACTTTACGTTAGACAGGGCATTCATCCGCTCTTGTGGCTTCTGTCTAGATTTCTCAACAAGGGCAGATCTTTGGAAAGTGTTCAGCCCTTTCGTGTACCTCTGAAGGGGAATCAAGGAGCAGTGCTGAGAAAATTCCACCAAATTGCAGGTGTTAGCATGAATATCGAAAGCAAGCTACTACAAGAGGCAAAAATAGAGGCAAAAAAAGAGGCAAACCTCAAGAGGAATATAAGTGGGTCGCTTTGGCTTCCCAACATTGATGCACGGCGCATCCCCAGAATATTGCAACGGTATCTTACGAACCTTGTCGAAGTATTCAGAAACAGTCATTACAACCATTTTGAACTCTCCGTTTTCATCCCTCGAGTCCCTTGACTTAAACTCAAACCTAGACAAGGTAACAAGCAACCTTCAGAGAACTACTTATCTGATCACAATGTCAGCAAACATCAAACAGAAACATGCATCTCACTACAAAGCCAAATTGAGTGAATAGAAACTTACGTCTGGTCCCTGCAGAACAATTCGCTCAGGCCGGTGATCTTGTACTCCTGGTTTGAGGGGCTGACTACAATCCTCAGGTTCTTGATCGCCCTCTTTGCCTGTTGAAAACATCATGTTAGAACGTTTAGAGCTAAAACAAAAATAAACCTGCTTAGACCATGACATAGCCACATATCATATAATAAGTTAATTACCTTAGGCCAGTCAACTTGACCCAAATCATTTACTCCTTGGTTAGCCAGAATGAAATCAACAAGCGCACCAGGCTTGATTACCATTGTGGTTGTGACGTCTGACACAAAAAGAAACAAAAAAAAAGTATTAGTTACCAAATCATTGCAATATAAATGAGAAAGAACTACCAAATCATTGCAAAAATAAGTATTAATACCCATGTTAAGTGACATGCCACCCTGTGTAGTTCTGAAGCTCGAATGGTATCCTCTAGCCCCCAAGATGTTACCACCAACAGGTTCCTGGTTAGTTGGATCGTTGTGAAAAAACGATTGTCGCACAAGCAAGCAACCTCTGCAAATTTCCGGAAATCATTAGAAACACAGTAAAGGATATCAGATGAAAAAGATTCTTATACACTTCTCACTTACTGTCTAGCAGCATGTTGTCTTAAGATGATATCCAAAACCCTTATAGCTTCCTGCGAGTTCTCGGATTCTTGGCCACGCATGGCATTAGCAAGAGCCTGGAGAGGGATCTTTGCCGCATAGCTGATCTCAACTCTAAAGTTTTTGGTCCGGTTAGGCCGACGCATTCTTTTCCTAGCACCTTCATCTGGATCCTCGTTTCCATTTGGGCTTGAGTTTCCGTTAGTCCTGCTCACAATATTCACAATTAGAACCAAAACAAAAAAAAAAAGCACACAAACAAAGGAAAATAGCGACTAATTTTACCTAGCAACAGATACTTCTTCAAGGATAACAGAGAAGTCCAGCTTGTTGCTAGGAAGGGCTCCAAACGTGAAGAGAGTCTTCTCGCCGTCATAGGCAAATTCTTTCCCGTCTAGATCAGAACGGTACGTCTCGTGCACCTTGTCAAGGACTTTCCGGCCAACTCCTTTTTGCTCCACAGGGCGACCATCTTCATAGAACAGAGCCACCTGTTCAAAACCACAAAATATTCCCCATTCGTTTAACATCATCCAAAACCAAACCACGGAAAAGAAGAATACAAAATGAACATAACAGGAGCAAAAACATACACTGTAATGATAGAAATGGCCTTGAAGATTAGCCACGTTGACTTTGAAATGGTTAGTCAACAAAGGTATCTTCTGTCCCTTTGTTCCAAACCCACTCCGAGCCATGGGGACTCTCAAGTTTTTCTTCTCAACTGGTTCGGTTTTCACCTTCACTGGCTCAACATTGGGAGGTATAACTGGTGGAGGTGGAGGCAATGCATCAGGAACTCCAATCCCATTTGCTGATTCAAGCTCAGGATGCTCAGCACCGTTACCATTAGTCGAATCCATCTCCTGCACAAACGAAGCACACAATAAAAGGCTTAGATTCCAACAATCAAGCAAATATCTGAGCAATAATGGCTATATTTAACAAAGCTTTCAACTTTCGCTCATAGAAACCCAGAGAGAAGTCAAATCTTTGACTGACACTAAGAAGGTTTAGGTTTCAACATCCAAGCAAATATTTGAGCAATAATGTCTACATATTAAAGCTTTCAACTTTCATTCATAGAAACCCAGAGAAAAGTCAAATCTTTGACGGAGAGTAAGAGCGATTAGTTTTCAACATGTAAGCAAATATCTGAGCAAAAATGGCTACAACAATCAAAGTTTTCGACTTTCTTCATAAAAACACAGAGAGAAGCCAGATCTGTGACTGATACTAGAAAAGTTTAGGTTTTAGGAGCAAAAAACACAGTACTGTCAAACAACCAAGCAACAATGACCAAAGTTTTCACCTTTTGTTAAGAACAAACCAGAGAAAAGTACATAAAGACGCATGCAAGTGTAAATAAGCATGTATGAACAAAAAAAAATGTTAGCTTTCCTCACATATCTGCCAAAATAGTGTGACGCGGTTAAGATTAACAACTTTATTTCAAGGAAAAATGAAATCTTTGAAAGAAACTTACGAAATCAGAGAGGTATGTGAAAAAGAAAAGGAAAAAAAAATCAACTTTTGAAAGATGACCCAATAAAAAAGGAGAGCATGTGTGACCCAAAAAAAAAAACGTCAGCTTTCATCACATAATAGCAAAATCCAGTCACGCAGAAAACATTTACGGCTTTGTTTAAGAGAAAAAAAACCAGAAAGATTAAATTTTTAACCAAAAAAATCAACAAAAGTTTCACACAGAAAATAAAACACACAAAATCAGAGAGGTATGAACAACCGTTTCAGTAAAGGAACAAACTTTAGAGGAATTTCACTCTCAAATCTGCGAAAAAAAAACCCAGAAGAACACTGCATGCGAGAGTAGCTAAGTCTACAAGCTTTGAGGTAGAAAAAAAACGAACTTTCGTGGTTTAATACAACAAAAATCGACAGTTGGTCTACAATATGCACAAACCCAGAGATTGAAGAAGCCACATTTCAAATAAACACTCAACCTACGAAGCTAGAAAGCATAAAACCCTACAGACCCAAAAAAAATCCCCAAAAGTCTAAACAGAAGAAAGGTCTGAAGAACCCTAAAATCAAACCTGTGAGTGTACGGATGAGAGAAAGAGGAAACCCTAGCTGAAACGAGAGAAAACTTCTCACTTTCCCTTTTTTTTTTTGGGTTTTTGCTTTTCTGCTCCGAGCTGAAGGGGATGCAGATCAGTACACAGACGAATATATCGAGTATTCTTCGACCTACAGCTATGTTTCTCTACAGTGCGAGACATCACAATTAAGCTGCTTATGCAATCTAAACCGTTCGTTATGTTAACTTTATTTAAAGACTTCTCTCTGACCTATAATCTCGACCGTTCGTTAGGCTGACTTGTGTTACAGACTTAATTTGTGTCTACATATAATTATTTCAAAATAAATTCATCCAAAGCAAAGCTGCTTTTTAGGATCCTGACCGTTGGTTAGAGTGACTTTGTTTAGTCTTTCCTTCCAAATACGATCTTGACCGTTCGTTAGAGTGACTTTGTTTTATATACTTTTCTCAAAAACAGTTCGTATCCCCGCTACGATTATTTTAAACTTTTGAAGTAGTAGACAATGTCAGTTTCTTAATAAATTGAATGTGCGCATTAATGGACACGTACACTTACATAAGTATGGAGTTAACATCTGTTTTACACTATAGTTTATAGTAAAGGTTACTATAGATAACAATATTAAAATAGAAAAGTGTATACTAACGGTGATTAATGGACCAGTAGCATACATGTCTCCTGAACTATCTACTTCTTGTGAATAAGAAAGTTCTTTAAGTTCTTTAATCATCTTGTGTGTGGTTGATCCTCGCTGGAATCCATTTGACAAACGTATTATCTGTTTTAATATTGAGGCTCTGATCCGCATTTTATAATTCCCCGAAGGCTAAACTGTAGTCCAAGTGCATAATCTAAACTTTTCTCCAGTTTGTTTTAAATAAAAAACGACATTGTAAGCACTTGAAAATAACATTATTTTTTTAGTGCTGACATGTGGAATTTACGGTGCTGGAGAACAAGATATCTACAACTATTTTCTAAAGTTTTATAGATTCCAATATTGGCAAAGCTAGCTAGATGGCTAAGTTATGGAGAGACACTTGGAGTCGAAACTAACATGAAAAACTCGAAACCCAGTTTCACTATATATTGTTACATAAAAAGAGGAATATCTATATACAATACAACTTCCTGTCCAACTTTCTTGCATGCCTTTTACAAAAAAAAAAAAAAAACTTTCTTGCATGCATGTTTTGCCTCGTATTTTTTTGTTGGTTTTGCAGTTAAACGAAACAAGGTTTCATGAAAATATAGAGAAAAGAAGATTCATGATTTCGTCCATGATTCATAACGAGATATCATGCATTTGATTCCTAACTTTATATGTCATGATAAAACTAATTCATCTACTTTGATCGACACGAACAAATCATGGACACATGAAAATGTTTTAGTTTTCTAGAGAAGGTGATTAGAAGAAACCAAAGATGAAAAAGGAAAAGAAAGAGATTGGAGAACAAGTCAATGACGTAAAGAGGAAAAAAAAACTATTCATAGAAGATAGATATTTTTCTATTTTGTATTTATTCATAAACTTAAAAAGAAAAGAAATTATTTTGATTGAAAAACAAAAACTAGAGACGCATATCAATTTTTACCATATATGGGAACAATTTCATTATTTCTTTTTAATGACACGAAACTTAAAGCTAATTTGAAGGTTTTATGTGTAAATATAATTGGTTTGAAAATTAAAAATGCAAGTGAAATACTATTATGGTTTTAAATATTAGCGTTAGTCATCTTGAAAATTAAAAATGTGGCTTTCCTAATTTCCATTCTGCAAGGCCCAATTCGAGCATCGGATTAGCATTTAGGGAAATTCTGAAAATGGGCTAAAACACATTTCCATTCAAATGTCACTCAATGCTCAGTTTTTTTTAATAATAATTTTGGAGAAAAACAATGAAACGGTGCGACTTTAATCTTTAAAATCCCCCCACCACCATCACCAAAGCATCTTCCTCTCTCCATCTCTCTTATCTACGGACCCAACAAACCCAGAAAAACACAGTAGTAAATGTCTCTTTCTCCCCATGTGATTTTCATTTGACTTTTCTTCTTCTTCTTCTTCATCTTTTGATTATTGGGTCTTCAACAAATCAAGAACTTCTTGAAACAAGAGAGCAAGAGAGAGACCACTTGTGGTGTTCTTCTTTATTTGCAACTCTTTCAGGCAACTCTCGAGCTCTCTCTCTTATTGTCTCTGTCTATATTTGATGATGTTTCTTCCATAACTATAAATTTCCTCTGTTCTTCAATTGTTTTTTTTTCTCTCTTTTCTTCCAGATCCTTGCTTGTATTACTCATTTGACGATCTGGGTTTAACATATGACGATACTACTTTTCAGTCTACGAATTTGATTTGATGATTCTTCTTTTAAAAAAATGTTTTTTTTTTCCTTCTTTTCAAATCAAGTAAAAATCTTTTTGATTCTCATTTTTGGTCAAATATTTCATCCTGTATCAGTTTCTATTGAAACTCATAAAAGTTTAAAAATTAAAACTTTATACGATCTGATTGAAAAGCTTAATAATTTATATTCTTTTGTTGAATCATTTTTTCCAGGTGGATTTGAGCTCTGTTCTTGCTGACATGATGATGTTCAACGAGATGGGAATGTACGGAAACATGGATTTCTTCTCCTCCACACCTCTCGGAGAAATCGACATGTGTCCACTGCCACAAGCTGAGCAAGATCATCCATCTGTCGAAGACGATTACACAGACGACGAGATCGACGTGGACGAGCTCGAGAGAAGGATGTGGAGAGACAAAATGCGTCTGAAACGTCTCAAGGAGCAGCAGAGCAAGTGCAAAGAAGGAGGAGGCGTCGACGCTTCTAAGCAGAGACAGTCACAAGAGCAAGCAAGGAGGAAGAAGATGTCAAGAGCGCAAGACGGGATCTTGAAGTACATGTTGAAGATGATGGAAGTCTGTAAAGCTCAGGGCTTTGTCTACGGCATCATCCCTGAGAAAGGGAAGCCGGTGACCGGCGCTTCCGATAACCTCCGGGAATGGTGGAAAGATAAAGTCAGGTTCGACCGTAACGGTCCGGCCGCGATTGCGAAGTACCAGTCGGAGAACAACGTCGGAGGAGGGAGTAGCGTAGGGAACAGTTTGGTCGGACCGACGCCGCACACGCTTCAGGAGCTTCAAGACACGACTCTCGGCTCGCTTTTGTCGGCGTTGATGCAGCATTGCGACCCTCCGCAGAGGCGGTTTCCGTTGGAGAAGGGTGTCTCTCCGCCGTGGTGGCCGAACGGGAAAGAGGAGTGGTGGTTTCAGCTTGGCTTGCCTAGTGAGCAAGGTCCTCCTCCGTACAAGAAGCCTCACGACTTGAAGAAAGCTTGGAAAGTGGGTGTTTTGACGGCGGTGATCAAGCACATGTCGCCTGATATTGCGAAGATACGGAAGCTTGTGAGGCAATCCAAGTGCTTGCAGGATAAGATGACTGCGAAAGAGAGTGCCACTTGGCTTGCTATTATCAACCAAGAAGAGGTTGTGGCTCGGGAGCTTTATCCCGAGTCTTGTCCTCTTCTTGATTGTTCTTCAGTGGGGAGTGGATCGCTTCTTGTTAATGATTGTAGCGAGTATGATGTTGAGGTTTTGGAGCAAGAAGAAGAGAGAAAACCGGAGATAGTGATGATGAATCATCCTCCAACAAGCTTTAGCACCAAAACGCAGCCACATTTTACTGTCAAAGAGGAAGTCACCGCCACCGGGAACTTTGAGTTCGTGAGGAAGAGGAAGCAGAACAACGATGTGAATGTTATGGTGATGGAGAGACAAAGCTTCACCTGTGAGAATGGTCAGTGTCCTCACAGCAAGACCAGTCTTGGATTCCAGAACAGGCTGTCAAGAGACAATCACCAAATGGTTTGTCCATATGGAAAGTTTCATATGAGTGAAGTGAAGCCAGTAGCTCAATCTTTCACTCAGTCAGTCCAACCGGTGGATCTATCAGGGTTTGGAGTATCGGAGAATGGTCAGAAGATGATCAGTGAGCTAATGGCAATGTATGACAGAAATGTTCCAAACCAAAGCATGACCATTGATGCAAAAGCAGCAGCTCAGAGTCTTCAAGAACAGCAGATGATGATGAGTTTCAACCGGAGTCAGATGTTTATGCAACAAGGGAACAATGGTGTTAAGCTTGATAATCATCATAATAACAATCAGTTTCAGATGGTGTTTGATTCGACACCGTTTGATATGGCTTCGTTTGAGTACAGTCACAGAGATGATTGGCAAGCTGGAGTGATGGAAGGAATTGGGAAGCAGCAGCAGCAGCAAGATGTATCATCAATATGGTTTTGAGTATAATGATCTCTTCAATGTAACATTCTTTCTTAATAACAACTTTGAAGTTAAAACTCTCTGTTGTTACTTTAACTTTTGGGTTTGTATTCTATTGGCACCATTACACTCATCTATATTGTTGATGATGATGAAGCCATCTATTTTTTTTTTTCATTTTCTTTGGTGTGTGAAATTCGTTAACTGATATGAATAAGCTCATTATCCATTTGACCATTTTTTCATGCCATAGTTATTTTTCAAGAACAATAATCAGTTTTTTGAACATGTTAAAAAGTTAAAAGAAAATAGTTGGAAAAACCGTTTGAAGATTATTTTGCTAAAAAAATAATCATTATCGTTTTACTAATTTTTTTAATTTAATAAAGCCATTTTAGTGGTATTAGCTTTGTTTTAATATTGGTCAAGGTCCATGGAAACCAAAATAACAATCATGAGACTAATAAATTATCTCATTTTAAGGAACAAAAATGGTTTTATTAACATTTCAACAGATAAAATTAGTTAAATGCATGAGTAACCAAAATGAACATATAATTCTGTCATTTCTGTTGGTTGTTTAGTCAAGTCAATTCAACAATCAATATTTTAAGCAAGAAAATCACATGGCTTAGCCATATTGTGAGGGTTATAAAAAAATCATATTTTATAAACTAAGTTATCTTCCTTTGCTGTAGAAAGTATATTCTCTTATAATTTGTTTGGTCAAACATCTATTTAAATAGTAAATTAACAGGTAGTGCAAGGTTGCCAACAATTGTCGGCTGCTGTGGCTTCTCCTGCTCCACAGGCAAAAATCTAATGTAAAATTTTATTCACATTTGTTTGGATGGTTTATCTATAAAATAAGGGTGAAAAGGCAAAATGGTTTTGGGAGGAAGAGAAGACAAACGTTGTTGTCTCCTTTAAATTGTGGACGCATCTTAATTTGGAGGACAGGCCATGTGGTTTGCCTTGTGAAGCCCCACCACTCTTTTAGTCTCTTCATTGCCAAAGCTGACCACATTCATCCACCCATTTTTGTTTCTTTATTATATTTTTATGTTTTTTATGCCATAAGAAAGATAATGGAGAAACAAAGAATATGATTGCCAACTTTCAAATCCTAATGTAGCTTCTAAACGTGGAGAAAGAATTGAACAGTGTATGCATCAAATAGCCTAACTTTGAAGTACTTGTTTGTAAAAATGATGCAGTAACAAAATCGTAAATAAGTGGAAGTTAATTTTACGCATTACTGTAGAAGTTTGTAGTTCTAATTTCACTTTTTGGATTGTTAAGATTTGTGGATGACTCTCAAGAGGATTAATAACTTCTCGTACTTAGAAGATATCAAAAACTTACTCATGTTTGAGCTTTATAATTCAAAATTAATCATGTTTCTTTTACACGTACAGGAAAATATAGATATCTAATATCTACTCTTTACTGTTTAGTCAAACTTTTGACTCAGGAGATTAAGATAGGGAGTTTAACCTTAGCTTGTCATTGTCTATATTTCATCTCCCATCTTTCGAATAACATGTTAACTTTCTGTTTTTGATCATTGCTTACGTTAGGACAAACTACAAACAGCAATCCAAATCCACCATATGATGTAATGTTTTACCTGTTCTTCTAAGTTTTAATCACATAAGTTATACATTTAAATTTAATGTATTGACCCGGCCCTATTAAAGATCAATCACTCCTCTAATCAACCGTCACGGCGTCACCTATACTTTTTTTGTTGTTGAAATTTTTCATAGCATGAATTGTCCTCATTTGTTTATGATTTTGTGTATATTCCTATTCCACAAGGCCAAGATTCTAACATAATCCATGGTTTTACTTTCAAAACATAAAAAAGAACTTTTTAAGATCTCTTGCATGTTTTAATTATTCTTCCGTAAACTAGACTACATGGATACATAAATGGTCTAATGGATATGTGGAAACAAAGTGTATCCATGTAGTCTAGTCCTAATCCGGACCAAACCAAATGTTTTGAAACCAAACCGGAACCAAACCAAAACATAATTTTTAGAATCCAGTTCCATACAAACTGACTCATCCATCACTCATTTATAAGATGACGTCTGCACATCACTCGTTTACAACTGTGGCACACAAAAGGTCATCGCAAGAGAGCTTTGACTTTTGACTCACTCTCACTCCACTCACTCACTAGTCACTAGCCTCTGCCTCACTATAGTTTCCTTGTACTTAAGCTGCTGCTTGATGCTTTAGCAAATGTGTGAATTAACATAACACAATGCCTCTTTCTGAGTTTGATTTTCACTTATTGCAACCAAGCTCTAATTACTGTTTCAGCCATTGGAGCATCTGCGAACTATTCTAGTTTTGGATAAAAATTCAACCTTTAGGAAGAAAAATCAACACTATACTAGTAAGTAGCAAAGTACTAATAAATGAGCTACACAAAATTAAAGAGCATCAACTACTTTTTCTGTCTTGTTCTATCTCCGCCATTGATTGCGCTTTTTGATTGGAGCGCCCACACAAAAGCAAAGATTCTTCCACATTAGTTACTCACTCCTTCTCTTCTTCTTCCCCGCACGTCCTCTCCTTTCTCTTCCCAACTTCCATTACAGAGCTTTTCGCTTCACTCTCTGTACTTCCTTCCCATGGTGGTTTCGTGTTTCTTCCCCAATTTCCCCAATTCCACTCAAATTTCGAACCTTTTTTGTCCTTGTTATCAAGAAATTGACAATGTCGTCTCCATGACTCGTTGATTCCTGGAAAAAACTGGGTTTTGGGTTCTTTTCTTTTCGGTATCAATTGGTTTTTGAAGTCATGCAGACAATATGTTCGATGATATTCCTCTTAGTGATAAGCGTTTCAGGTTTCTCCGACTTTGAGGCTCTTTTGGAGCTGAAGAAAGGGATACAAAGAGACCCTTCTGGTAAAGTGTTTACTTCTTGGGATGCAAAGGCTTTATCTTCTGACAAGTGTCCTCAAAATTGGTACGGAGTTGCTTGTGACAGTGGATATGTTACATCCATTGATTTGAATGGTTTAGGTCTGCTTGGGAATTTCAGTTTCCCAGTCATTGTTAGTCTCCAAATGCTTCAAAACCTGTCGATTTCCAGTAATCAGTTCGCTGGAACTCTCTCCAAGATTGGTTCTTTCAAGTCTCTAAAGCACTTGGATGTGTCTGGTAACATGTTCCGTGGCTCGTTACCTTCTGGGATTGAGAATCTGAGGAATCTTGAGTTTGTGAATCTCTCTAGTAACAGTGACTTGGGAGGAGTGGTTCCTTCTGGTTTTGGGAGTCTTGAGAAGTTGAAGTTCCTTGATTTGCAAGGCAATGGTTTCTCAGGGGAAGTCATGAGCTTGTTCTCGCAGCTAAACAGTTTAGAGTATGTAGACATAAGCAGGAACAAGTTCTCTGGTTCGTTAGATTTGGGTCTCGCAAGGCCGAGCTTTGTTTCCTCGATCAAATACCTGAGCGTGAGTGAGAATTCTCTAACGGGACAGCTGTTTGCTCATGACGGCATATCGTTCTTCGATAGCTTAGAGGTGTTTGATGGTAGCAGTAATCACTTGTCTGGCTCTCTTCCTCTCTTCAGCTTTGTTGTCTCTCTCAAGATCCTCCGGTTACAAGCCAATCAATTGTCAGGTACTATACCACAGAGTCTTCTACAAGAGAGTTCAACGATCTTAACCGAGCTAGATCTCAGCCACAATCAACTTGAAGGTAAAAACAAATCTCTATGAAGAGTGATACTTTGGTTTTCACTTTCTTTGCAAATCTTGTTTAATATCTGTTTTTACACTTGTGGCAGGCTCTGTTGGAAGTATAACCTCTTCAACACTAAGGAAACTCAATTTGTCTTCAAATAGACTTACCGGGTCATTACCTCTGAAGGTAGGGCGTTGTGCGGTTATTGATTTAAGTAACAATAACATCTCAGGAGAGTTCTCAAGGATACAGAGTTGGGGAGATTCTGTAGAAATCATCCGGTTGAGTTCAAACTCACTCAGTGGAACATTACCTGGCCAAACTTCTCAGTTCTTGAAGCTGACTTCACTAGAGGCTGCTAACAACTCGTTGCAAGGAGCTCTACCATTTGTTTTAGGAACTTATCCTGAGCTCAAAGGGATTGATCTCAGCCACAACCAGCTTAGTGGATTCTTACCGAGAAATCTGTTCATGTCTGAAAAGTTGACGGATCTCAACCTGTCAAGCAATAACTTCTCTGGTTCAGTTCCTCTTGGAGATGCAACTACTGCAGGAAACCTGAGCTTGACTAGTATTGATCTGTCACATAACTCTTTAGGTGGGTTTCTATCAGAGGAACTAACTCGGTTCCGGAATTTGGTTTCTCTTGACCTCTCTTATAACAACTTTGAAGGGAATATCCCTGATGGCCTCCCTGAAAGCCTAAAGGTATTCATTGTCTCTGCTAATAACCTCTCTGGGAATCTACCGGAGACTCTTAGACGGTTTCCAGATTCATCGTTTCATCCAGGGAATGCGTTACTGATTGTCCCTGTCTCTGCAGAAACACCAAAAGATGAAGCAGGTGTGACCTTAGGAAAGCATGGTAGTCATATGAAATCTTCCATAAAGGCAGCTTTGATTATAGGCTTGGTCGTTGGTGTTGCTCTGCTTGCTCTTGTCTTTGCGTTGTTATATTTTATGCTGAAGAAGCAACATGATGATGAAGAGAGGATTGATGTCACTGGAGAGAAGACCAGTCTGCAAAAATCTGAGCCTTCTCCTTCCAATGTACAAGAAACTGAAGCTTCCTCTTCTGTTACCTCTACTCCTACAATCAAGTCAAAGCAACCGGTTAGCGACTCTGAGAATTCTTCATCATTGAGAAAAGGTGAAAGCTTGTCATCATCCAAAGTTTCTCTGGTATCTTCTTCTTCAACCCCATCCATGTCAAAAATCAAGAACTCACCAGATGATAATCCAAGGCCTCGCCAGACTTCTGTGAAACTAGATGGGAACCTGTACATTTTCGACAGCTCTCTTACGCTCTCAGCAGAGGAACTCTCTCGTGCTCCAGCTGAAGCTATCGGAAGAAGCTGCCACGGAACGCTGTACAGAGCAGTGCTCAGTTCTGGTTCTGTGTTAGCAGTCAAATGGCTGAGAGAAGGGACTGCTAAAGGCAAGAAGGAGTTTGCAAGGGAATTAAAGAAACTTGGGAACATCAATCACCCAAATCTTGTTTCTCTTCAGGCTTACTATTGGGGACCTAAAGAACACGAGAAGCTCATCATTTCAAGATACATTGATGCACCTTGTTTAGCTTTCTATCTCCAAGGTAAAACACATTCATATCACTATCACTCTATCAAAAATTTGATTGTTCACTCATTATCTGTTGTCTGCAGAAGCTGGACAGCTAAGCCTCCCACCATTGTTGCTTGAAAACCGTCTGAAGATAACTCTGGACATAGCCAGTTGTCTTAGTTACCTGCACAACGAGGAAGCAATACCTCACGGGAATCTGAAATCAACAAATGTTCTCCTGAAGCCTCCTGAGCTCACTGCGCTGCTAACAGATTACAGTCTTCACCGGTTAATCACACCGGAAGCAACATCAGAGCAAGTCTTGAACGCAGCCGCTCTCGGCTACTGCCCTCCAGAGTTTGCCAGCTCGAGTAAACCGTACCCTTCCCTGAAAAGCGACGTGTACGCCTTTGGTGTCATTCTGTTGGAGATTCTAACGGGAAAAGTGTCAGGAGATATAGTTTGCAGTGATCCAGGAGTCGTTGAACTCACTGAATGGGTTGTGATGCTTGTGAAACAGAACCGCGCAGCAGAGTGTTTCGATCCATGCATTATCGAGTCACAAGAAGGTGGATCAAGGAAAGCTTCTAGAGTTGTTACTGATGTTCTGAAGATTGCTCTGAGCTGTATATCTCCGGCACCGGAGAGACCGGACATGAAGTCAGTCTCTGAAGAGCTGTTCAGAGTTGTTCTCAAAAGAACAAAGTAGAAGAAAGATCCTAACTTTGGCTTCACTCTGCTTTGTGAATGTTGTTTCTGTTGTACCATAAAAGGAAAGTGTATATAGTATTATTCATCTAATGATACTTTACAATATGTATTTATAGAAAGATCTATGTTATAACAATGAAACAGAGTATCAAATACAAAGCTTTGCAAAAACAAATTTAGTACTTTAATACATCAAGAAGAGATTAATAAAACTGATAAAATCTCTAATTCTCTACTTAGGTCATGATCATATGATCTGATTGATGAAGCATCATCATACTCTTGAGTCGATTCTCTTCTTTAAACCTTGCTTTCTCTTTGATTGCTTTCACTTGCTTCTGAATCTTGTCACTTCCCATCTCTTCTCTCTCCATCGTCACCAGTCTCTCCACTGATCTCACCAGTCAAGACTTTCCTCCTTAGGTCAGGATTGTTACTATCTCCGATGTTGAACAAGATCGATCTGTATTTTGGTTTTTGCTTTCCCTCGAAACAACCGAATCTCTCAAACATGGCAGATTCCACGGAAACAGCCACATCCCAAGGATCACAATCAGCCACTCGTTTCTTCATCTCAACACGAACCTCATCAGCGACTTTAGACAGAGACTTTTGCAGAATCTCACGCACTTTGTCTCTCTTGGAATCTCCTGTCGAATCATCTTCACCAGATTTTGACGATCTCTGACATGATCACGACGGCTCCGTTTTGGACCGGTGGCGTAAAGGTACCTCATCCAAGTGTAAAGAAGATCGTTTGCTTCTGATCGGATTTTAGGGTTTGGGTGTTCGGTGCGAACTCTGGCCAGTCTCCCTCCGAGGGAGGAGGTGGTGAGGAAAGCGTCTAAAGCGAGTGACTCGGGAGCTTCTTTCAAACGATTCATGGCGTCGACACACCTCGCGACTTGTGGAGAAGAATTGCTTTGCTCTCTCGCAGACTTAGCTGCTCGAAAAGCTCTAAGAAATCTTGCTTGTTCATGGTTTCTCGTTATCGATTTCTCTGTATCGAATTAGGATGGAGAGAGTGTGGTCGCTTGTTGCGGTTTATATAGGCAACACCTGATTATGTTATCAGGTTTTGTTGTCGTCGCTTGGTCCACAAGACTACTCCCCGAAGTTTCCCTAATTTCCTTTTTTGTTATGCTCGTTAAAGGAATTTCCTTTTTTTAATGTTTGTCAAAGTAATTTCCTTTTTCTGAATTCAAAAATAATTTCGTGAAAAACAAATTTAATTTCTAATTAATTTCTAAGAAGTCTCAAGACAAAGACTCAAAACAGAGTTCCTTACTTAAAAACTCTCGGCTTAGATATGTCTTCAGAAAAAGACTATAATGGACTCAACCACAAGGCTGCAAATTTTTTTTTTTTACGCAGACTATATGGAAAATACGACCAATAACTTACAAATGTCATTAGACAAAGATTATGAATCAAAAACAGGTCCACCCAAGGATTATGAACCAATAGCTTGAAAGACTAGGCAACCGATTCTTTATACTACCTCATGGCATCTAAGTGAAGAAAGCACTTATTAATTTTTATTTATACAGGTATGTGCTTCAGAAGGTGTTCAAGTTGTTAGAGACTCTTGAAGAGATGTATCAGACTTCAATGATAGGTATGGTGCTTTTAAAACTTGCTTGTAATTAGTAGATACGATTATGAAATTCACAAGTAAGAGAAACATACTAGTTTTGCAGACTATGGTAGTATTTCTTTGAATCTTAAATGTATTTCACTCTCTTAACTAGTTTGAAAATATTGTATTATCTCTGTTTTGGTACTTGTATGCATTGCGTGTCTCTCACTCAATGAACTGAATATGTCGTAGTGTTACTTGTAAATGTCAGTTTCTCTCACGACTTGATTTTTGATTGTTATTGCACTTTTAAAACTACAATTTGGATTTTTATTGGGTAATGCTGCATGGTTGATCGTTGATTATTGCATCTTTTGAACTACAATGATGCTGCATTAACCAATAAAATCAAACTGCGAGTTCAGAGCCTAATACTATAATGGGGTTGCTTGGTTTATACCTCTTTTGATTATGATTTGAGCCGATAACATGTGAACTGACATCTTCACAATCCTAATTATAAGTAGCTTTTCATTCTTGGTTAAGCAGATTGTGATCTCGGTTTTCCGATACATTGAGATGGTAGAATCTTGATTATTTATTTTTAATTTAAATAATAAGTAAAAGAACTTAATAAATATAAAATTAGTGAGAAGTAAATGTCAATATATATGTAGCACAGCCTGAACAAATTAGGGTTTCGACCAAAGATGGGGAAACAAGAAAAGAAAGAAACAAAAGGCAAGAGAAGAAGAAGAGAAAGAAGACAGTGGAAATCAACTTCGCCTTTTCCTGTCGATCTTACCTCAGAGATACTCTCAAGGCTGCCTGGGAAATCTATTGCTAGGTTTCGTTGCGTCTCCAAGCTTTGGTCATCAATCATCACCGATCCATATTTCATCAACTTGTTCGAAACTAGGTCATCAACAAAGCCTAGTCTTCTACTCTGCGTCAGAAGAGATGACAATTTGTTTGTTTCCTCGATAACACAAGATAAGGCTTACTCATCTTCTCTGCCTATTATTGATCGTTATCATATGAAACTCCCGGATAAACATTGTTACTTACCTCCTGCGGAATCTGTCCACGGCTTGATCTGCTTGCGTGGACCAACGCCAATAGTTTGGAACCCTAGCTTGGGAAGGTTGTTAACTTTACCCGATCCCAATAAGCATCATAAGCTCTGGAAAAAAATAACAGTCTTTCTAGGATACGACCCCATCCAAGGTAAACACAAAGTTGTGTGCATTCGCTATAAAAAGGATTCCTACGTATGCCGAGTTTTAACATTGGGATCAGCTCAAGAACCATCATGGAGAACGGTCAAGATAAATCATAAGCATCGTGCTTACGGTTATACTTGTGGACGATGCATCAACGAGTTCATATATTATCTAGCCGATGATGGTGAGACGGTTTTAATGAGCTTTGATGTTAGATCTGAAAAGTTCCATATGATAAAACTACCATCGGATATTGATGAAGATGTGCTGATAAATTATGAGGGAAAGATAGCTTGTACTGATAGAGACAATGATAAAAGATTGTGGATTTTGGAGGATGCAGAGAAACACAAGTGGTCGAGTCAAGACTTTCTTGTACCTTTATGTCACTGGGATCCGAGTTTGGAAACTGATTTCAAACTAAAAGGTTTCACGCATGCTGGTGAGTTCATTTTTGAAGAAGACACGTTTCAAAAAACGTCATATATTTTATCTTGTGATCCGGTGAGAAACAGCTTTAGAAGGTTTGTGTCTAAAGGAGTTCGAGTTGGAGACGATGATTATGAGATCCGTGCTTTCCCGAATCATGTTGAGAGTCTTATGTCTTTGTAACAATTTGTTGATTTCTTTTGTTAGTTTTTTTGTTTTTCCTTAAGAGTGATACTAATATATGCAGCTTTATGATTTTAGTTTTCTTAGTAATTTCTCATTTCTTACGCTACTTCTATCCCCTTTCATCTCTTTTCTTATGTTGGTTTTCTTTGAGATTAATTCCTTGAGTAAGAGCTCCAAGAAAACCACTGAGCCAGTCAATAACAAGATTCAAACACAATATTTTAAAACAGTTTGGTTCTTAAAAGTATGAGGGGTTTCGGTAAAATTGTTGTGGGCCAATGCCCTCGGTAAGACTCAGCTAATTCGGTCTCAACTCAGCTTAACTATATAGTTCTCCAATCAGATGGTCACTAAGACCGATCCGATCTCAGAAGAAAGTGTACACACCTCTTGTCTCATAAGCACATGTACGCTTTTATCAGCAATAGTCGCTGGACATGCATGTCCTGATGCGTTGTAACACTTAAAGATCATTCTTGCTTCAGTGACGTTCAGCTCACAATTGTTTTTCTATAAAGAAAATTAGGCGTCAAAGCTGTTGCAACTTTGAAGAACAAGAGCTTTAAACGTAGGACAAATTATAGATTATAGATTCATTTTATTCTTTGCTTTGAGCCTCATTATCTCTTTGTAAATCTCCACTTCGTTTTGATTGATCAACTATAAAAAACAAAAAGAAGTTTATAATATTAAAGGATGTAAAATTATAATTATGTATATATATATATATGTGTGTGTGTGTGTGTGTGTGTGTGTACATATGTATAATTGGGAGAAAAGTTACTTTGTATTTGTCTGTGATTACTTCCAAAAAAAATTTACAAAAATGTTTTCATCCGAAAAAAGTATGGTTTTTCTTGTCATTACGTCTTAAGCTAAAACCTTGATTTAGGCGTCAACCAAGGAAGATCCTCCTCCCCACCAAAACCGTCGGCAACCATCACCTCCTCCGCCTCCTTCACCGACCGGATCCTCAACAACGGCCTCCTCGCCGGAAGAACAGGCAAAGGCGCCTCCCCACGTATAATCCTCACAGCATCCTTCACACTTGGCCGCTTCTCACAATCAGGATGCGAACACACCATCCCAACCATCAACACTCTCTCCATCTCCTCCGCATCAAACTCTCCCTTCAACATCACGTCAGCACCATCCAAGACCTTCCCTTTCTCCCAGAGACTCCACATAAACTCTATAAGCACCGTCCCATCATCACCAACCGGTCTACGACCCGAACACACCTCAAGAACCACCACACCGAAGCTGTAAACATCGGTCTTCTCACAAGGCACACCTGTGTAGACGTACTCAGGCGCCAAGTAACCCATAGTACCCGCCGGTAGCGTCGCGTCACGTCCTTCTATCATCGCACTGTGCTCATAAACCTCAGCTAAACCGAAATCACCTAACTTTGCGTTGAACTCAGCGTCAAGCATTATGTTACATGTCTTGACGTCTCGGTGAATGATCTGTCTCTCGCACTCTTCGTGTAGATAAGTAAGCGCAGAAGCAACCCCGAGAATGATGTTCACACGCTGCTTCCAAGAGAGAATGGTCAACACTTCTTCTTCTGACGAAGGTTTCTTGTGGAGGAAGTCACTCAAACTTCCATTAGGCAAGTACTCAAACACCAGAGCCGTCTCTGTTCCTTCGCTGCACCAACCTTGAAACTGAACGAGATTCTTGTGCCGCAAGTAACCCGTCATTGTAGCGAACTCTATAGTGAAAGGGTTGCGATTACACTCTGTCCAGTGAGCTCTATCGAACCGTTTCACAGCAACCGATCCGATTTCAGGGATCGAGCCTCTGTAAACAGTCGCTGAAGCTCCTTGACCAACGATTGTGCTCTCGTTGAACCCTAAAGTTGCAGACTTTATCTCATCCAGTGACAACCTTCCAGGGATCTTGTTAAGCCTTGGATTCGTATCGTATTCAACAATCTTCTTCTTCTTCTTCATTTTCCCTCGGATCAATGAGAAAGCGATAAACGAAGTGAGAATCACAATCGCAGCTAAACCGGGAATGAGACTCCAAAATGGGATCTTTAACCCAACAATCGAAACTTTAAAGTCTCGAACTTTCCTCGGAGGAGGATGATCCTCGAAGCAATCTTCATCGTCTTCTTGGATTGAGTCGGAGTTTGAGGTAAAGGTTGTGAATTTCCACCGGTTGATGATGTGTAGAGATGACCCAGCGGCGGCGACGGCGGGGTTCGAAGCCGAGAACCCGACGTGCATGTACTCTTTGAGTTTTCCGGCGAGATCGATCTGCGCGGCTAGAATCGGAGACTTGGGCTTGACCCGCGAGTACCCAACCCAGACTCTGATGAGTTTGAGGACGTCGCTGTACTCGATCCACGCCGTCGTCTCTCTCCCGCTCCTGAGATTGATCCCTTTGGAAACCGCGCCGACGGAGGCGAAGGAGGAGACGGAATTGATATCGATTCCGATGTGGTTGTCGTTGATGTCGCCGTGAATCGGGTCGAATCGTGTGTCGAATTCGACGGCGATGAAGGATCCGTGCGGGTCTAGAGACGGATCGGGGAGACCCAAGAAGCCGTTGGAGAAGGAGAAGGAATCGGGGTTGGAGGTGATTAAGAAGGCGAAGCCGTCGCCGAAGGGGCAAGCAGGGGAGGCGATGATGGTGAAGGAGAAGCGGCAGGAGAAGGAAGCGGTTGTGTTGGTGGAAGTTTCTAGAAACTTGATTGGGTTGGTGTAGAGAGCGCGGCCGATGCCGGAGGAGCAGGACGGTTTTGAGACGGCGGAGGGGAAACAGGGCTGTTGCTGGGTGAGGGAGATTGTGTTGTCGCGAATGTAAGCGTCGCCGTAAAGGGTGAAGTTTTGCTGTGACGACGGCGAGAAACGGTGAGAAAGCGCGGGAAAATCTTGGGTTAGGAAGAGAATGAGGTAAAGGAAGAAGAAGAGAAAGTGATGATTCATGGTGGTTCTTGGATCATCGGTTGTTTTTTTTATTTGTTCTTCTTGAAATTGATTAGCTGAGTTTGATAGAGAATTTGAATCTTTGATTGAGAGAAGCAGAGAGTTCAATAGCAGAAAAGTTGTCTGCTCTGTTCATTGTGGAGATGTGATACGAGAAGAAGATCAATATCCTTAATATATACGTTTGCATAAGATAATAAAATAAGTCTTGATTTGTTGATTTGGATTTAGAACATTTCTCACTGTTTGTGATCAATCAAACTCCAACTGCACTCGCTATTTAGCCAAAACAAATGTATCAAATACAAAAAGATAAGATTTTTACAAGCGCATTGTTTGTTCACTTGTTGTTGTTACTTGTTATACATATAGTCAAGAGTCAACAGCCAAAAATGACATGAGGATCAAGAATGGCTTTGGTATAGTCATTTTAATCTCCCCACCAAGCGAAGCTTATCATTTCATTTATAAGAATTAACACACTATAACTCTTTCTAAAAAAGAATTATATCACAAAAACGAATGGTTTTCTGAGTAATAATACATACGTTGCAAAACGTAAAAGAGATATTTTCTTAATGAGGCTAGTGATAATACATTTATATGTAAATACTAAATACGTTGTGAAACGAAAACATATAGTATGTGATAGTAACGTATATGAAGAATCTCAAATCCTTAATTTCTCACAAAACAAAACGCCTCAGTAAGACAATAATAAATGTCATTTTACCTATAAATACTATTTTATTCCCCAACTGATAATATATTAGAAGAAGAAACAAAAAAAGAACAAAGAGACAATGGCTTTCTCAAGAAATCAAAGTTTCATTTTCATGTTAATCTCATTTCTAGTCGTCATCCTTGCAACGACATCAGTTGAGTCTGCTCAATCTTTGCTCTTCTCATCCAAACATGTTACAATTATCAACAAACTTGTGACGAGAGCGAGATTGACTGTGCATTGTAATAACAAAGAAGATGATTTGGGCACAGTATATCTCGGGCCTGGTGATACTTTCGATTTTACATTTCGTGTTAACCTCCGCCATACAACGGTCTACACTTGTAATTTTGCTTGGCCTGGCAATACAGCAACGTTTGATATATTTAGAGCTGATCGAGACGATAATCCGAACAGTAAAGTTGGAGTTTGCAGCGAATGTATTTGGTCTATTTACGAGCCAGCACCATGCAGAGATAGACGTGATGGAGGTCAACCTAACTGTTTCCCATGGGCTTCTTAGATATTTTAAAATCTCTATGTGGCATCTATTTTTATGTCTTTTGTGTTACAATGTTAATTGTAATAAATAAAGAAATTTTGGTGTTTCAAATTATCATTACATCATTGATATTTGCATTTCCAATAGTATAAGATTCTCCACATCTGAATAAAATATAGGAAATTATTAAAGAATTAATAAAATTATAAACGATTGTGACTTTTGTATAAATTCAAAATAAAACGATGTGAATTTATAAAATTTTAAAAATATTTTTATTTTTATCATGAATTAATTATATTGATGCTAAATCGTACAAGGAAAAGATGCTGAAGATCATTTGTTTTGATTTAATTATACTATGTAAACCGTTCTAAGAACAAAAATTGTTGACACATTTTGTTGTTTTTGAATATGATCTAATGTAAACTGTTAGGGGAATAGGCAAAACTTGTTGAGTTGGGGCCTGAGCGCAATCAGTTTAACTTTTGGAGTTTTGGAAATATCTAACACATGATTAGAAACTGTTGTATTTTCTTTGCACCAAAAAAAAAAAAAGAACTGTTGTTGTTTCAAAACTACCGTGGATGAAAATCAAATTACTCAAGATAATAGGTTGATATGTCTATATATGTAAAACACTCTTAACAATATTATTGTTGACTATAGCGTAACTGTAAAATCAAAGTTTTACTTGCTGTAAAAGTGTAAAATCTGCAACTGTTGCTGACTAAACTGTTTTAGTTTCGGCATCAGTCAATAATTATTTAATGTTATTGTTGAGTGTTGACTAACACCTGGACTAAATCGGATGGTCAACAAAAGTAAATGATTAAAATGATTCTTGAACAAAAGTTGAGTATGTTTGTGGTTCAAGAGAAAGTTAGTGCTTTGTTTGGTAGATATTTGAAAGCGAATGATTTTCTTGGCTTTTTTTTTACCAATTTAAATTTATCTTCTTTGACCATATTGTTTGGTTTTTTAAGGTGAAAGCTCACTGATATCTTTATATAGTCTGTAAATTATCTTTGACGACTCTAATTTTGTCCGGGATAAGTTTTCCGTTTGAGAATCACCCATTAGGTTTGGGGTCTGGGAGGTCAATGTCGTAAAAAAGATGTGTAGTTCTGAAAATTGTGTTCAAGAGGTAATCGTTGCCTGTATTTTACCCTTTAAACACAATCTTCAAAGCTACACATCTTCCTTACGACATTGACTTCCCAGATTACAAACCTAACGGGAGATTCATAAACGGAAAACTAATCGCAGCTAAATACGACATCAAACTGTTTGTTCCTTCCTTCTTACAACCAAATCTCTCCCACCAAGAGATTGTAACCGGAGTGGTTACGATGACAAACCAGTCTCTCGACTCAGGCGATTCCTGTTTCACAACAACCTAAGATGTTCAAGTGCTACATTGATCGTCTTAAGAGTACCGTGGGAGACAAGAAAGCTATGGAGATTATAAACAATGCGTTGGTGGTTGTAAGTGCAGGACCTAAAGATTTCATCTTGAATTATTACACCATTCCTTCAAGGCATCTTGAGTATCCTCGCATTTCTGTTAATCTTCTCTAGTTAAAAGAAAGTTATACATATTATCACTTAACAACTTGTACAATCATATGATAGTTTTTTTTTTTAAGATTGCATTATTGTAAGATGGGCTATATAAGTATTTTCATTTCATTTATCTCGAAACAAAATCAACAAATACCAAAAGCTTTTTCTGACCTAATCAATCCAATCCAATCGTAATCAATACAAATACCAAAAGTAAAAAACACACACAAGTAATAAGTTGAAAACATTGTCTTCTCCTAAGAGAGGGCTTTGGGAGGAGCTGAAGAAGGTGGTCCCTGGTACTGAGTAACATTAGTCTCTGTATTCCAAAAGTAACCATACCGAGTGCTACTATCCACAAGACATTTCCACGTACGGCTTAGGGAGACTTGGATCCTCAGGTGCGTAGCGGACTGTCGAAGCAGGTTCTGAAGAAGAAGGTGGTCTCTCGTAGAGTCGTAGTGATGGATATCCATATTGAATTGGCCAACATTTGGTACATGCATCCCATGTTCCTCTTTAATTAATATGCAATGTGAAAAGAATTATTTTATTTAGTATGTTTACGAATTGGTCAATGCACTTCCCAATCTGCTTAAATGGTAAAGCATGAACTCTACATTTTATATTTTAGTAACATAATTAATATTAGTTGAAAACTACATCCATATTTATTGAATGTTAGAAACGAAAGGTCAAGGGTGGCATTTCCTTGTCTCGTTCTATTTTTCTTAACGAGACCTCAATTCTTGTGAGAAGAAAAAGAAGAAAGACAATCTTCAGGTTTCTTCTCTTTTCAAGGTATGTGCTATCTCTTCTATTCAAATTCTTGATTTCCTTTAATCAGTGATTATAGATATTGGGAAATTCTTTTTATATTTGATCCATATATTTTGCCATCTTCTGTGTGTTATATGGATGATCATAAGGAAATGAAAAGTAGAGAAATACATAGCACAGTTTATAATGATCGATTCCTGTTTATTTCGTAGACAATATTGATTGAAAACAGCGTGTGATATCTTTTATTTTTGTAAATAATTCGGAGTGAGAAAATTCCATAGAAATATGGTCATGACGATATTTGTAGTATAAGATCATATTCTGTATTTTCTCTTTGTTTGTTTTTTTTTTCCTTTTCTAAAGACAAAGTCACGTATATGAATAACATTCTGCATTTGATGTTTCTTTTAGTCTTTCTCGTTGCCATTGTTTCATACGATTAGGTTGAACCACTGAGGTTGTTTTCTGATCCAAATCAAATGCTGTGTTGACCAATTCTGTTTCTTAAACTGATAAGCTTTTGTTTGATTTTTTTTTGGTAACTAAGAATAAATCAACCTATTAGTTTTTTTGGTATATATACAAATAAATCAACCTATTAGTTCTTGGAAGCATAGTAAATTATTTTATGCCACTTCTATGACTAAATGTTTAAAGTTTAAACCACTCAACGAAATGCAAAAAAATGAAAAAGAAAATGTTGAAAAAGTTACTTATTTTTATATTTACATGATCTTAAAAAATGTGGAATAGTTTGTATGTCCATCGATGACTATCATAAATATATAATTAGTTTTTCGTTAAAGTCTAAAATAAAGAAATTCCATCTAAACAATATAATAAATCTGTTTCTGTGATATATCCTATCGTGCACTCCACAATGGCACAAACTTAGTTCGTGATCTCCGCATACAATTATTTGGAGAATAAGTATTTTGTGTGAATTGTGTGTATACATATGCATCTTGATGTTTTCAGAAAATATTCGATTGGCATATGTTTCCCAAGAACACATACATCTGTAAGAAATTAATACATTCATATGCAACGTATCAATCTTTAGGTAGTGGTTTGATTAATGCGAGTACATATAGAAAGAATCTATTTTGAATGTGTAGTTTGTAAATGATGTACACTTAGGAGTTAGGAGCCAGATGCATGTTTTGATATTTTTTGGAAGAAGTTCCATATATGTTCATCAAATATAAACCAAATTTTATAAAGGACACGACCTTTTTTACTTTTAAATTATAACAATACCATTTTTCTGTTTTATTTTCCACAACTACGCCAAAATCATAGAATCCATTATATAATCGCTTTTTTAAATATGTACCTAAAAGGTTATTTTTGAACTTTAAAAAAATACTTATATTGTGATATTTCAACATATTGTTCTTAAGAGGAGACTAATTTCTTAATTTGTAAATTAATTTCTATCTGTGTTTTGTTTTGACTTTGACAATTTAACTAACCTTCTATGTTTTGTTTGAAATTTCGAATTGTCATTATAACACTCTTAACAATAGCCTTTATTCAAAAAAAAAAAAAAAAAAAAAAACAATAGCCGATCGGTGAGCAGTTGGTGAGTATTTTTCATATTTTTTTTGTTGAGAGTATGTTAGTAAAATGCATGTTAGTTGAAAAATTAAACACACTAGGTATATGCTTAAGTTTTAATTTCTTAGTAACTAAACTTGAAAGACTAAACCGTTTGTGTGTGTCATTTTGGACTCCGCGGGTAACAAAACCGTGTTCTTGCTTTTCTGCCTCTTAGCTGTATAACACACATTATTCTTTAACTTGTGCTTCATAACTTACTCGTGCGCACGTAATTTTTTTTATTGTCTTCATTCATTTATTGTTACATATAATATTTGTATTAGGCTTAAGATTCATTTTCATGTTTTATGTAATCTTGAATATCTTTTACTTGTTCAAACAAAAATCTAATATGATAATATGCTTAAGTTAGAGGATACTCTCTTTTATTGGTTCGTAAGAAAACGAGTTTTTTTATTGTTTATATTATTATTACTTTTACATAGAAATTGAGGTCTAAAGAAGGCCATATTCTTGGCTTTTGGACAGATTCATCACTAATCACGTCTTGATTTACTTACTAAACAATTTTATAGAAAAAAAAAAGTTTTTGTTGACCAAAAGTTTTTTTAAAACACAAAATTTATTACTATTGGATTTCGTGTGGGCCCAGCGCGTGATATCTATTATCTTTCTTTACGCGGCATCGCCAGCTTTTGTAGTTTCAATTTTCAGGCGTTCTTATTTACAATAGAAACGTTTCTCTGTATTCATTCACTTGTCTGCGTTTCTCCTTTTCAAACATTTCAATTTCAATCACTTCTTCTTCTTCTTCTTCTTCTTCACTCGTTTCACAAATTTTGCAGTGTAGGATCAATCTCTCTCTATCTCTCTAATGGCTGAACGAGTCCATCCCGCCGATTCACCACCAGAGAGCGGTCAATTCTCCGGAAACTTCAGCTCCGGCGAGTTTCCCAAAAAACCAGCTCCACCACCATCGACTTACGTGATCCAAGTCCCTAAAGATCAGATCTACCGTGTTCCACCACCGGAAAACGCGCATCGTTTGCAATACCTCTCCCGGAAAAAAACCAATCGCAGCAGCTGCAGATGCTGTTTCTGCTCTCTCCTCGCTGCGATTTTCATCCTCGCCGTCCTCGCCGGGATCTCCCTCGCCGTTCTCTACCTCGTCTTCCGTCCCGAAGCTCCGAAATACTCAGTCGAAGGATTCTCAGTCTCAGGTATCAATCTGACTTCGTCGTCTCCGATTTCCCCCAAATTCAACGTTACCGTTAGATCACGTAACGGTAACGGGAAAATCGGGATCTACTACGAGGAAGGGAGCACGGTGGATGTGTACTACAACGACGTCGATCTCTGTAACGGCGTTTTACCGGCGTTTTATCAACCGGCGAAGAATGTGACGGTGGTTAAAACGGCGTTAACGGGATCGAAGATTCAGTTAACAACTGCTATACGTAAAGAGATGCGTAACGAGCTGAGTAAGAAAACGATGCCGTTTAAGCTGAGGATTAAAGCGCCTGTGAAGATTAAGGTTGGTTCCGTTAAGACGTGGGCGATAACTGTTAAGGTTAACTGCGATGTAACGGTGGATAAATTGACGGCGCCGTCGAAAGTTGTGTCAACAAAATGCAGCCATGACGTGGACCTTTGGTAATGAAGTTACTCTTCGTTTATTTTTGTTAAATTATAAAATAAAAAAGAAATCACAGAAGAAGAAAAAAAAAAGAGTACAGAGGTTGTTTTGGATTGTAGAATTTTTTTTACTGATTCATTATGTTTTTGGTTCTTGACTTGGTTTTTATTCTTTTTTGGATATTGTCTTTTGGTAAAACATATACATTGTGAATTTGTGATTGGACCGGCAAATATTTTTTCAAATGAGGAAAAAATTCCAATTTGAACTTATTTTATTTACGTTGAAAATTTCTTTAACTATGTCACGGAAAGAGTCAAATAGAGAGATTATAACTGGCACTCAAATTTTGTCAACATACAGTGACATGTGATTTATCAACTTGATCGATTTAGTATAATCCAAATATTCATTATGTTCTCAAGCAATTGCAGAAGTGAATACCATATTTATTTTGATATGACCACAAAGGCACAAGCCTTGTAGCAACTAAATCCTTAACCAATCTTTTTATGTAATCTCTTTTGCATTTACAAATGCCAACCAAACCCAATTTTCCCTCCAAAATTGTGTAACTTGCCAGAAACTCCATTTTTTTTTCACAAAAAACAAAAAAAATCAGTTACCCTGGGACTGTGAAAAAGCTTTCATCTGCTCATACTTATCCTTGGCTTTCTTGGCTTCTTCAATCCCCTGCTTAAGTTCTGCATACATTTTCACTGACGATTCTGCAAACTGGTTGAGCTGTCCAACAAACCCCTCCAAGCTCGTCCTAAACCGATCAAAACCCGGACCACAATCCTCCAACGTCTCATCCTGCAACAAGTGATCGTTTTTCTTCTTGTTCCGATTCTTCTCCTGCCTTGGCAAGAACCTGGCGACATCAGAAGCAAGTGCTTTCACGGAGCTAGAAACCTCTTTCGTAGGTAACTCTTCGAGCTTCTCTAGCCAGATTCCACACGTTGCGTAGATGGGAGGACCAAAGTTTCTCAGAGACGGCGGTGGCGCACGCCGTTTCCGCTTGGAGGATTGTTTTGGCAAGGCGACACATTTCACCAGCCACTCGTTTATCGCTTTGATATACGTTTTCTGTCCTGTGATCCACTTTGTGAAGCTTGAGGCCAACGCGCTTAGCTCATCTTCGAGATGAGATGTTACTTGTCTGTGCAACTCCGACTGCATGTTGAGTTTTATGTTGCCGCTTCTGTAACACGCTGAGATCAACCGAAACTGGACCTTGTGGCATTCCAACATCACTTCCCACATTCGACTCAACCTATTTTCACATCCAAGAAAATGATAAATATGAAAGGTTCAGGTCAAAAGTTGAAACCAGAAGTGACTCAAACACATACCCTTCAATGAGTTCTTCAAGTTGAGGCTGGAGCTCTTGGTCACGGAGTTCTTCAATCCGTCTTGATATTGAGTCGATCCTATGAATCGCCACTCTGATTCTTGAGTGAAGATCCTTGACAACCGCACGTGTCTTGTCTATTCTCTGTGAGCCTTTACCTTCTGATTCAAGCTCTCTCAACACTCTGCACTTTTCGTCATACTCTCTCCGCACAGTCTGACTCCCCTGAAACCGAGAAAACAAAACACATTAAATACTTTGAGTGCAATTTCTTGATTCGTTAAGGAACTGTTAAGTACCTTAACTTCGTCATAGAGCTTCCGCTCCCAAGCATACAGTCTGTCTAGAGTTGAGGCATGGCTTCCAGCAATCATGCAGATGTTTTCAAAGAGATTGCTATTGAGCTCTTCAACATCATCACAATTCAATCCTCCAAGAGGATTCCGAGAAGATGAGGATCGTGAAGATTCAGTCCTATGCCAGGTCAAGTACTTCACCGAGTCATGAGCAGGCTCTGCACAAACAGCTCAAAATTATAACCACTCACTCCATACAATCTACAACACAGTTAATCTCCACAATGTAAACAAGTAAAACTTACCTTCTGGTACATCTACGCGGTCTTCCCCACAAGAGAGACAGGTTTTGAACAGTGATGATGCACCGGCGCCACCTGCAAATATGAGTCCCAAACAGTTAGTAATATAGAAACAGAGAACCAATAGGTTCTGGAGTAAGCCTTCAGGCTTCAAGAGATGAAGATTATTACTTTCTTTCGATGGAACTATTGGACGGAAATGTAATTTATTGGCTTCAAGCATCCTAGGAACCTCCTTCCCAGTCTCTGAAGCTTTAACAAAGTGCAACTCTATCTCTTTCATGCTTGACAAGAAATCCCTCGGAGGAAGCTTGTTCTCGGTGTGGTCTCTCTTGTTCGGTGTCTTGTTCACTGGAGTAGCAGCTGCTAAAGGCGTAACTGGTGGTGACAACTCTGGAGTTTTACTTTTCTCAGCGTCTGAGAACTCATTTTCCACTCCTTCTCTTTGAGGCAAAGCACTGTGATCACGACGCACTCTGTTGAAGTTTTCAAAGCTTCTCACAAGTGTATCACTCGTCGGCTCATCAAACTCATCATCATCAGAATCTCTAGACTCTTCCCTTTCTTGAAAAGAAAAATTCTCACCATCATCCGGAGTTTCATCTTCTCCCTTAACAGATCTCGACACATGACCATTCCCAACATGAGAAGACGAAGAAAACTGGTTATCAATCGGATGAGAAAGACCAAAATAATCCCAAGGAGGTGTTTCAGACGGCATGGAGGAAGATTCTTCAGATGGTGTTGACTCCATCTTCTCCACAGACCTACTTGGAGGGATGATACTAGACGAGGTCACAGTAGCGACAATCGAAACAGGCGGTTTCTCTTCCACTTTCTTCGAAGAGAACCCTTTGAATTTCATATGATTGACCTGAAATGAACTGGAACCAGGAGGCGACGAAGGAGGAGAGTACGTGTCATGGTGAGAATGTGAAGCAGGAGGAGGAGAGTAGGACGGATGAGAAGCCGATTTCTCGGTTAAAGCAAGAGGTTGTTGCTCTGGTGTTGCACTAGTGGATGTGTACAAGGAAGATTCCACTGGAACTTCAGTCTCAGCAAATCTCCTGAGAGCAGTTCCTGTACTCTTTAGAGATTGGACGTATGAAACATGAGCAGCGGCTAACAAACATCTGCCATCAAGTGCTTGTTGGACGAACTTTTTTCTGTCTCGGCATAACTGTAAGGCTTTATCTTCATCTATTCTAGATGTTGACGCTCCCATTGTCCAAGCTTACATGCAAAACAGAAGTTACAGAAATAGATTAACATCTGCAGAAACACAAATGCTAGAGAACAGCTTCAAATCACAAATACTGAGACTGTATTCTCGGTATCAATGCACAAACTTTAGCAAGACAATAACTTATCTAATGCATAGGTGTCACAGTATCATTGTATTGAGCTCAATACGAGAGAAGAAACAATGTCAATCCAAGTCAATGAAGACAGAGAGAGAAAAGACCATTGATAGATGAGTACTAAGAAACAAAAGATACAAGATTATGTTTATTGCAGGGCAAACACAGCCTAAAAGCCAATATCTAGCTACAATTCCAGATAAGATACACTGTACAAATGTTCTCGAGCAAAGCCTTGATGAAAAAGAGTAAAACTTTCACAGAAACGCATCAGCAACAAGTTCCATAGATGAGAGAACTAATCAGAATCACAAAAAATGGAGACTTTTCTGCTAATTCGGGACTTCCAGTACAAATCCAAATATAGGCACATAAACAGAGTCGTACCGTAGACAAATACCAAACCTGGGTTGAACAAATTAAGGACCTTTTGTGAGAGTACTTGAAAAATCAGAAGCTAGTGAACGAATGAAAGAGGGAGGAATTGACTAAAGAACAAAAAAGGAAACATTTTTAGAGAAACCCAATTGAAAATTTCGACCTAGAACAATAAGATTTACCGAATCTATTGGCTTTCTCACACAAGTGTAGATGAAACCCAGAAGAAGACGAAAAAAAAATCTAAGAAGCAGTTGATAACGAATAAAGGCAGATGAAGAAACGGCGATTACCTAAAAGAGACCGAATTGAAGATGGAGAGAGAGAGAGAGAGGTGTGCTTGAGCTTGGAGTTATGCGTGAAGGATCAAAACAAAACGTCTTTTCTACAGTAGAGGAAGCGAAGAGAAGAGAGAGAGAGAGGGAGGTGTGAGTCAGCAAAGCGAATCAGATGGGCAGAGAGGAATCTTATGCGGAGGAGAAAAAGGGTGTGGGGGTGTTGTGTGAGTACATGCAATAAAGCATTTTGGCTTGCTTGTAAAGGAGATTTTGACTCGGAAAACGGTAACTTTCTCTGCCGTTGCTGTTGTTTTTCTCACCGGACAGTTTTTTTTTACGGTCATTGTCTGTCTTTTTCTTTCTTTTTGTCTTCCTTAATCTATGTTTTTAGTCAATTATTTTAAAAATGTTTGTTTAACTTGTTTTAAAAGTTTTTTAATTTGAATTGACAGCCTAACTAACACTTTATTTATTTATTTAAGATTGATTATAGTCTTATTCCACTTTGAGATTGTAATACAAGCGTGATACTTCTTCCAACTTAAAAACAAAAAAGTTGAAATTCTGGAAAATAAAAGGTTGGAAAATTATTAAGTCAAGGATCATAAAAAGAGAAAGTGCCATAGAAAAATGGGCAAAATACAGTTGTACTGTACAATTTGTTTATATACACAATCATAAACTATTCTGTACAAACCAGATTACTAAACAAAGAGGGCAACTCTCACATTTACCATTAACCAGACCAATAAGACACAATAGATAGATAAAAAAAAAACCAGTTCAATTCTCACATCTGCCATTAACCAGACCAAGAAGACAAAATAGATAAATGAAAAAAAAAACAGTTTGTTTCCATAGTTGCAAGCATTAGTGAACTTAAATATCACTGATTTGAACTAGATCAAACTACTCAACAACCTTAAGAGTAAAATGCTAAGAACTTAGATACAAAAAGGCTTAGCATGCCGACGCCGTGGTTGTGGAAGCTCACGATTGTTGTCCGGAATCACATATCATATGGAAGTTTAGACTTTCAAAGAGAAGACATAATAGTTTTGAGAGAGAATGGAGCTTTCAAAGAAAAAAATGGAAGTTAGTTAGAAATTACATTTGATAAAGTTACATATAAATTTTCATTCTTTATATAAAATTTCAAAGAAATGAAATGAGATGAGTAATTTAGCTTTTTGTCGAACAAAAGACGGATTTTAAATCAACAGAATTTGGGTCGAAATACCAAATATTTAAAAGGATAAAATGGTATGTATTATTTTCATGAAGATATGGGCCAACAAAGGCCAAATTGAATTTGGTTCACTGTAACAGCAAACCCGTGAACAGAAGAGAGGCTTTTGGACTCGAGAGTGTAACGTAGAATAAACGACAATAATCGGCGAGATTCTCCGATTTAGGTTTCCGATCTTCTTCTCCAAATGGCCGATGTGACTCTTCCTCCGGCTGATTCCGTCGTCGACAGCAGCCTCCCGGAGAATACCACCTCTTCCTCACCACCTCCTCCACCGCCTCAGCAGGAGCAGCTACCTGAACAGCAAGAAGAGCAACAGCAAGGAGAGCAACAGCCTCCCATCCACCGTGAGAGAGATTCCCGCGAGCGGCGTGATGACAGAGACCTCGAACGTCCGCCCAATCGCCGTGACCGTGACCGTTCGCCTCTCCCACCGCCCCGCAGGGATTATAAGAGACGGAGTGGTAGCCCTCCGCCACCGTACAGAGATAGGCGGCACTCTCCCCCTCCCATGCGCCGCTCGCCTCCTCAAAAGCGTTACCGGAGGGACGATAATGGCTATGATGGTCGCCGTGGCAGTCCTCGTGGCGGCTATGGACCACCTGACAGAAGGTAATCTTCATCTGCTCATTGAAGGATTTTCTTAGGAAGATTTCTCACACTTTGATTCGAAGAACATCAAGGTTAATTTGTTATCGATTGAACTAAAATTGCATGTCAGTTGCAATGCCATTGCATTTTATTGATAAACCACACTTTGGTTGTCCTCTTCTCGTATCGATGATTGTTATAGCTCATCATTTTGGGGCTTTCCTAATCTCTTTACTCAATTCCTCTTTTTCGAATGATAGATTTGGGTATGACCATGGTGGAGGATATGACCGTGAAATGGGAGGGAGGCCTGGTTATGGTGACGAAAGGCCTCATGGCCGCTTTATGGGTCGCTATCAGGGTGAGACATCTTGTTCATTTGCTAGACTGTGTTTAAAGTTAAGAGAATCAGAATTACCACTTTTTCATCTGGCTTCACCTCTTGTGACACATGTTAAAGATGACTATCATTGGGCCTTCATTTGACATAGTTCATAGTTTTTAGCTTGGTATATGCAGTGGACTGGAAACAGTTTGAGCAGTTATTTCTGTGAACAAGCATTCTGTTTTAAAAGAGAGATTTCAGTATCTTCCATTTTTTTTTTTGTGTATTTCTCTTGGCAGATTGGGAGGGAGGTCGTGGAGGTTATGGTGATGCTTCCAACAGTGGAAGTACTCAAAGGTTTGGGTTCGTATGGTCCATGTGTTTACTTTTGGTAGTGGTTTTTAGTCCTGTAAATGTAAACTAGGAGATATACCCTTTGTAGAATATTTGTAGAATATGTTTCTTCCTTATAGCTACGGAAAGTTCGAGTGGATGTTTGAGACGCAGATTGATCAGATTAGCTACAGAATATGACTTTTCAAAATGTTATGTTCAAGAATATCATCTCTACTCCAGTATTGCGGTTGTTTACGAAATAAAGCCAATATTTTGTTCCAAGTTCTAAATTTTTTCGATCACTTTTAGTGTTTAAGATAGTGGTACACAACTAGTGCTGTTTGTCGACTCCCTGGCTGTTGCATTTTGACAATAAATACCGTTGTCTCTCTTTTGTCCAGGGATGGATTGATGTCATACAAACAGTTTATGCAGGAGTTGGAAGACGATATATTGCCATCAGAAGCTGAACGCAGGTATGTTTATCACTGCAACTTAGTAGTGGTACTTAAGCAGTTGTCGAGTAAAGCCGCAGAGGTAATACCCTTTTTTCCCGATGCAGATATAAAGAGTATAAGTCAGAGTTTATCACAACACAGAAACGTGTCTTTTTTAACTCTCACAAAGAGGAAGATTGGTAATTTCCACTATCTGTTTCCTTCTTTTACATTCTTTTAGAATATTCTGCTAGCTGACCTATTGACATGCTTATCTATGTTACACTTCCAGGTTGAAAAATAAGTATCATCCAACCAACTTACTCTCTGTCATAGAAAAGTAAGTCCGAGAACCATATGCAGATGTTTGATCATCTATTAGTAGTTCCACATTGGTGTAATATATTCTTCTAAAATTTTCAGGAGGAATGAGCTTGCACGGAAGGTGGCGAAGGATTTCTTACTTGATTTACAAAGCGGGGCAGTAGATTTGTAAGATCTTTTGCTTGGCCTTCACTCCACATTTATGACTTTGATCACCATTCTGTCATCTCTAGAGCTCACAGTTTACCCTTTATCTGTTCCAGAGGTCCTTCAGTGACACCATTGAATAAATCTGACCGGACCGATGAGCCAAATTCTGAAGATGAAGCAGCTGGTGGTGGCAAAAGAAAAAGACCTGGTAGGGGGGAATCTAAAGAGGCTGAACTTTATTCAGCCGCACCGAAAGCACCCAGTTTCACTTCTGATCCAAAGAGAATCCTAACTGACGTTAACCAAGCACAAGCCCTTGTGCGTAAACTAGACTCTGAGAAAAAGATTGAGGAGAACGTTTTGTCAGGTTCAGAAACTGAAAAGTCCGGTAGAGAAAAGTTACACATTGGTTCGACTGGACCAACTGTAATCATAAGAGGCTTGACATCTGTGAAAGGCCTTGAAGGTGTTGAATTGCTTGACATGCTTCTCACGTATCTGTGGCGTGTTCACGGTGTGGACTATTACGGAAAGGTTGAAACAAATGAAGCTAAGGGTCTGCGGCATGTAAGAGCGGAAGAAAAAGACTCTGATGCAAAAGGAGATGAGAGCGAAACTAAATTTGACTCTCATTGGCAAGAGAGGCTGAAAGGTCAAGATCCCTTGGAAGTGATGGCTGCTAGAGAGAAGATAGATGCTGCGGCTCTTGAAGTTTTAGATCCACATGTCCGTAAGATTAGGGATGAGAAGTATGGTTGGAAATATGGTTGTGGAGCAAAAGGCTGCACGAAGCTGTTTCATGCTGCTGAATTTGTGTACAAACATCTCAAGCTGAAACACACTGAGCTCGTCGTGGATCTGACTGTCAAACTGCGGGAAGAACTGTATTTTCAGAACTATATGAAGTATGTATGGTTTTTTTCTCTTGGATTCCTCTTCTGTCATCTCAGACGGGTTCGTAATAAAATGATTTTGTGCCATTTGCAGTGATCCGAATGCTCCTGGAGGACAACCAGTGACGCAGCAACCTGGCCCGGTACATGACTTTTTAATGTTCACTTTTGGGTTTTTACTTGTGTAGCTTTGTTATTGAGTTTTACTTACGCTGGTGAAATATACTTTGGGCAGAGAGATAGACCTATGAGACGTAAACCAGGCATGGAGAGCAGACTGAGGGATGATAGAGGTGGACGTAGAGAGCGTGACGGACGGGGTAACGGTAATGACAGAAATGATAGGCCGGAGGATCAACAGAGAGGTGATGGTCCTGACGGTGCAAACCCGGAGGAAGGTGGGTACGATGCATTTGGAGGACCAGGCGGCATTCATGTTCCTTCCTTCTCCTCTGATGTAAACCCACCACCAGTGCTCATGCCTGTTCCTGGTGCCGGGTAGGCTCTCTCTCTCTCTCATGATCTTCTCGCAGAAGCAAACAAAATGAAGAGTTATTACGTTATCTCAGTGATCTGTAATGTTGTGTGAATGATGATGATGGATGTGGGCAGGCCACTGGGACCATTTGTACCAGCACCACCTGAGTATGCGATGCAGATGTTCCGAGACCCAAGTGGAGGGCCCAACAACCCTCCTTTCGAAGGTGGTGGCGGCGGCGGCAGAGGTGGACCGGCCCCATTTCTTTTGTCTCCGGCCTTTAGACAGGATCCTAGACGGCTACGCAGGTAACGACATGCTTCACTCTATGCTATGAGTATCATCATCACACATTGCTTCAGTCTAGAACAAGAGTGCAAGTATATTTAAGAAACTAAATGTATGAGAAAATGGTGCAGCTACCAAGACTTAGATGCGCCAGAGGAAGAAGTGACAGTCATTGATTACAGGAGCTTGTAGAACCAGAGAGAGCTAAGAGAGATACCGAATCTACCCGTTCAGGTCGGGTTGGGTCAAAGGAACCAGTGTTAGAATGTGAGCCTGCAGAAGTGTGGCCAAATTACATGTTCCTTTGATGTTTGTATACTTTCTTGTTTCTCCTAATTTTCACTCAATATAATATTTTTTTTTTTGTTTACTTATTGCTTTTCATGTTCTTACTAGTAGTAAGTCACTACTAATCTGTTTTGGACGATTACATAAATGTGCATGAGAATTCTTGTATTCAAGTAATTTTGAGAGTAGCCAGCCACTTTGTGCGAATGTCTTCTTCCATTTCTATGTTATCAATCCAAAAATCATTTAGTTTGATGGTCTTGGCTTAACCTTCATCCTTATTTTACTTTTCTTGCACCTAAATAAAACTCCGGTGAGCTGTTGTCTAAGCTTTGTTTAATCTATCTTAGTAAACCTTTTATGAGCATGAATCATCTTGCTTAGGATTAACTTACATGGGTAACCAGTTAGCAATTATATTTGTTTTTTCACATCCTAGTTTCGAAATGAATTTTGAATTCAGAAAGGTATTCAGAAAATGTATACATATGCTTGCTTAGAATTTCCCAAAAAATAAAGGAATTTTTTTTTACTGAAGTAAACTATGCGGACAGATAAAAAAATGTTTTTTTTTTTCCGTGGCTTTTATCATTCATTATCTTCAGAATTCAGATATGTTATACACATATCTACTGATTCTTATTTACGTTGGTGGATTAAGATCACTCTAGACTTGCTTGGTACCAGAAAAAGGAAATTACTTTGACGAGCAGAAAGAAAAAAAAGGAAACTCCTTTAACGAACACAACAAAAAGGAAATTAGGAAACTTCGGGGAGGGAGTCTTGTGGACCAAGCGACGACAACAAAACCTGATAACATAATCAGGTGTTGCCTATATAAACCGCAACAAGCGACCACACTCTCCAACAATTCCCTATTCATTTTCGTTGCTTGCTTTGAAAATCCTCGATACAGAGAAAGTCGATAACGAGAAACCATGAACAAGCAAGATTTCTTAGAGCTTTTCGAGCAGCAATTCGAGCGGCCAAGTCTGCGAGAGAGCAAAGCAATTCTTCTCCACAAGTCGCGAGGTGTGTCGACGCCATGAATCGTTTGAAAGAAGCTCCCGAGTCACTCGCTTTAGACGCTTTCCTCACCACCTCCTCCCTCGGAGGGAGACTGGCCAGAGTTCGCACCGAACACCCAAACCCTAAAATCCGATCAAAGCAAACGATCTTCTTTACACTTGGATGAGGTACCTTTACGCCACCGGTCCAAAACGGAGCCGTCGTGATCATGCCAGAGACCGACGTGATGATGTCAGAGATCGTCAAAATCTGGTGAAGATGGTTTCGACAGGAGATTCCAAGAGAGACAAAGTGCGTGAGATTCTGCAAAAGTCTCTGTCTAAAGTCGCTGATGAGGTTCGTGTTGAGATGAAGAAACGAGTGGCTGATTGTGATCCTTGGGATGTGGCTGTTTCCGTGGAATCTGCCATGTTTGAGAGATTCGGTTGTTTCGAGGGAAAGCAAAAACCAAAATACAGATCATCTTGTTCAACATCGGAGATAGTAACAATCCTGACCTAAGGAGGAAAGTCTTGACTGGTGAGATCAGTGGAGAAAGACTGGTGACGATGGAGAGAGAAGAGATGGGAAGTGACAGATTCAGAAGCAAGTCAAAGAAATCAAAGAGAAAGCAAGGTTTAAAGAAGAGAATCGACTCAAGACTATGATGATGCTTCATCAATCAGATCATATGATCATGACCTAAGTAGAGAATTAGAGATTTTGACAGTTTTATTAATCTCTTCTTGGTGTATTAAAGACGTATTAAATACTTAATTTTCGTCTGCTTCCTATGTTTCATTGTTTAGATTCCTTTCATGTATCTCTCTATAAGTACACTGTAAATCATCATTAAATGAATACTATTTTGATTCCGTTCACCATCTCAATGTCAGCAAGAACAATAACAAACCAACTGTTACCAACACGAAACGAGATAGACGCAGCAGTAAAGTCAACATGTAAAACTAACATAGCAAAATTCAGGAAGATACAAATTATAAGAGGCTTTCCAATGAAATGGAAAAGTTCAAAATAATAAAACATAACTTGCAACAATAACCTTTAACTTTTCATGGACACTGTTTCCACAAAAGAGATAAAGCTTGCCAAAGTAACACACAAATAGTCATACAACAACACAAAACAAAACAATTTGTTCTTTTGAGAAAATGGTAAGACAAAACAATTGTTACCAGCACAAACGAAGATAGGCGCAGCACTGAGGACTGTCTTTATGGCATCCCAAGAACTTCCAGAAGCTTGACATCTTCTACATGGTCAACAAAGGTGTGAATCTTGTCAAATTTAGGGATTACCATTCCAAATTGGATTTCAACTCTCACCACAGTGTTTCTCACCACATTATAGTAGTAAATGCAGAATGGAACATCCTCCACCTGGTATGGCGCTAGGGAGAAGACAATCTCTCCTGCACGAGTCATCCCGGCAATGTAAAGAGAGGCATTCCCAACTACCACTAGACTCTTCCACGACGGTGGCAACTCGTAGACATGCACCGACCATTTCTCATCCTCGACATCATCCAAAACCCACAGCTCAAGCTTTGTAGTGTTTCCCGAGTAAAACCTAGTCAGACCATCAGGGAGAATCGCTCCTAGTTTACCTTTGAAGTTAACTAGCGTTGAGCACAAACTAATCTTTCCCTCCACGCGAAGAAACTTACACGTCTCTGACCTAACGTCAAAGTAAAACAGCACAGTGTTGTCTTCAATCCCAATGCAATAGCGAGAACCTAAGAAATACACCGTCCCGTCGATGCATATCCCACTAGGGTCAGCGTAAAAGGGTGTGATCGAACACTCGATCGTTCTCCACGTTGCTTCTCCGTTTCCTAACGTCAGAACGCGAAAATCATCCGAGACACGCAACACCTTGAACAATTTGGAGATGGGATCATAACCCAGATACGAAGTCCCTGAAAAGTTCGACGCCACTGTGGGTAAGGTGATGCACTGTCCTGTTGTAGGGTTAACAACCAAAGGGTTTTTTTCTTTGCTACAAAGAAACCCACGGACAGGTTGAGCATAAGCAATGCCACGAGACCAATCATCGGTGTCGAAGCTCATGTGACGGACAGCAACTAAAGGAGCTGAGTCCTGGTGTGGGTTTAGCGGCTGTGGTGCTGAGAAGAAGAGAAACTTACCGTTGAGTTTGAAGGTGAACAAGAGAGAGGGACGAGCCGAAGACATTTTCAGGTACAAATCTGTGAAATCTCGACGGCGGAGAAGGGAGCCCCATTGCTTGGAAACACAGCGAGACTTTGCGACGGATTTCGCCGGTAGTTTGGTGAATATGGAGATTAGGAGATCGATCGGTATCGTCTTGGGTGGGATGGTTTGGTCATCCGTCTCGGAGAGTAGCTGTTTCTCCGGGATATCCATGGCGGCTTCACTTAACCCTAGTATCCAATAATCCACACTATCGAGCAAAGAAGAGCTATGAGGCAGAAAAAAGAGCAGATAAGACAAAACTTTGTTTTCTCCGAGGAAAGAGGAGATAAGACAAAACAAAGATTTTTATTTTGTTGCCATACATTTTTGTTTTGTTTTATTATATTATAAAAATGAGAAACGTTTTTTCATTTTAGGATCCCAAAAATGAAGAAAATATTTTCATAGAGAAGATAGATTTGAGAATTTAAATGTTATCTAGTAACTTTAATTTACTTCTTCTTCACTGACAAATATATATTGCGATGGGCTAATGGATCAACTTCACTAACATATGGATCAGCTTCACTAACATAGTATAAAATTCACGAAGGCACAGCAGATTAATTAAGTGGCTTGCTAATATATAAAAAAGAAAAAGTTTAATTTATTAACTCAAACATAATAAGATCAACCATTGATCACAAAATTCCACAGAGATAATGAAGTTTTCCAAAGTAAACATATAAAAGAGTCATACAAAAACAAAATGATCGATTGTTACCAACACAAAACGATCTGAGATAGACGCAACACTAAAGACAACACTTACGGTTGAGTTTGAAGGTGAACAAGAGAGAGCGACGAGACAAAGACCATTTCAGGTGCAAGTCTTTGAAATCTCGACGGCGGAGAGTCGAAGACCATTCCTTGGAAACGCAACGGAACCTTGCAATGGATTTCGCCGGTAATCTCGAGCATATTGAGATTACGAGATCGGCTGGAATCCTGTCGGCGGAGAGTCGTTGCTTCTTTGGCTTTTCCATGGCGGCTCCACTAAACCCTAATGCACACTTTCAAACAAAAAGCAGATAAATATCTGAGATGAGACAGAACATAGGCAGATACGACAACACTCCGCGAAAGTGTAATAATCACTTAAAGATAGGGTTATTTTTAAAAAAAAAATTATAAATAGGGTTATTTTTTAAGTACCATACATTTTGAAAAAATATATTTTATCGAAGTGTGTTATTAATTTGCATGCCAACTCTCTGCCAAAGTGTAGTTTATTATTTAAATAAGTGTAATATACTGGATTACTATCTGCATAAAATCTTAATTTTCTGCGCATTTTTTATTTTAAAATAATGTTTTCTCTATGTTTTTTTCTTGTTGATATGCTAAAGTACATATTGAAATCAAAAATCTGAATCATTACTAACCGACGTCTCTCTCATGGCGATCGAAAAAAGTCTCCCCCATTGCAACCCATGGGTTCATCTTTGTAACGGCTTTCTCTCTCATCCGTAGAGTGTTTTTCTCCATCAAATCCTGCCGGCGTATTACCCACAATGGTTTTACTAGTTTCGGTCCAAAATTTTGTGTATGGAACCACATTGCTATTAACAAATTATGGGATGGAATTCGATTTGGTCGTCTTATATGGGATCGTGGAAAGACACGTGTATGGAGAATAATGGTGATACACTGATACTTCACTTACGGCTGCTGGAATTTATCAATGTGTGTTTTTCCAAAAAAAAAAAATATCAATGTGTTTGTAAAAGCAAATCCAAAAAAATAAACGAAAAAACTTTAAATGTTGCATCTTATTTTTATGAATTTCAAATAGTTGATAGAAACATCAAATCGTGTTTATTGTATTTTTTATGTATATGAAAAAAAAAAGTTAATGACCATACTATAATCTATATTACTTCTTAGCAAAAAAATAAAATGAAGTACTACTCGTCATGGTCTGCTTCTTACGTCGTTCAAGTTTGTAGAAGTTCATCGATGTATAATATATTGCTTTAGAACACATGAAACCCGGGATTCACTGATTATTTTAATATATTTTTTATTCATATATGACCACATTTTTTTGGGTCATGTTTAACATCATCATGTATACGAGATATAAAATTAGCACTGGTAAACACAAGTGCAAATCTCGTTTTTCTCTCCGACACAAACGCCATTCCCGTTAAACTTTTTGAGACAAAGAGGTATGCATTCTTGAAAACTGCATGGCTTGCTAAGGGGTACGATGGAGCTACATCGTTTCACACTCGCTGCACCTGACAAAGCCAAAAAACCTAGCAAGAAATAAAATTCTATAAGTACTTACCAACTATTTGAAACGTTTTTAGTAAACGAACGAACGAACGAACATAATTTTTAGATGATATTCATTTGCAAATAATAAGTTCTCAAGTATCTTAACCTTGGTTAAGAATACTACAAATAGAATTGTTTACCCGAGAGAACGAACAAACAGATGAAAAGATACGAATAGAATTGTTTTGCCATGACTTGTGAAACAGTTAAAGTATAAAGTATTATGTTAGTCTAAGATCTGTTTGCTTCAAGAATTTGTTTGATATTAAAAAATGAGATTTAAAAACGTATTTATAGATTTGAAATGATGAGATAAACATGAATTAAAATTCTTTTTTGACTTTCATTCAGTAGACCAGCATGAAACTAAGAAAGAGAGATTTAAGAAACATATTAAAAATTCATCAAAGAGAGTCAAAATTATTTAGCTGACTATAAATAAATTCAAAATAATTAACTCGCATAATCCATTTAAAGTGATCTTTCTAAATCTTTTCATTATAGCTTTGAATGATGACCACCATAGAGGAAAAATGAGGAAACACATTGATATTTTCTTCATTTCAATAAGTTATACCACTTCTAAATAATATTCAGCCCATAAAAAGGTCAACAAATCATTTATCCGCCTTCTTTTTTTTCATGGAGATTTATACAACAAAAGTAATCACAATTGTTGAACAAACAAAGGATAGTTATCAAGTGTTTGTAGAAAATTAAAATAAGATAAACTACGTGGAGTCGTGGACATATAATTTGTATGTCTCAGATATTTAGATTATTTCTCACATTTTTATTTAGCATTTATCATTCATTATCCTCACAGTTCAGATATTTTATACATATATCTACACTGATGATATTTACGTTGGTAGATAAAGTTCACTCTGACGTTGGTACCTGAAAAAAAGGAAAATCATTTAACAAACTTTTAAAAAGGAAACTTCGGGCAATCTTCACTCTTCAATCTTGGGAACCAAGCAAACGACAACAAAGCCTCCTCAGGTGCTATATAAACACACTCTCTAACAATTCTCAGTTTATTTTTTCTTTCGTTGCTTTGAAAACCCTAAATCGAGGAGGCAGAGAAAGTCGATAACGAGAAACGATGAAGAAGCAAGAGTTCTTAGAGTTGTTCGAGGCAGCAATTCGAGCGGCCAAAACTGCGAGAGAGAAAACAAATTCTTCTCCACAAGTCGCGAGGTGTGTCGACGCCATGAATCGTTTGAAAGAAGTTCCCGAGTCACTCGCTTTAGACGTTCTTCTCACAACCTCCTCCCTCGGAGAGAATCTGACCAGAGTTTGCGTCGAACATAGAAACCCTCAAATCCGATCAGACGCAAAGAATCTTCTTAACACTTGGATGAGGTACCTTTACGGTAGTAGACCAAAACGGAGCCGTCGTGATGAAGTTAGAGACCGACGTGATGATAGAGATCAAAATCTGGTGAAGATGATGTCGACAGGAGATTCTAAGAGAGACAAAGTGCGTGAGATTCTTCAAAAATCGTTGTCTAAAGTCGCTGATGAGGTTCATGTTGAGATGAAGAAACGAGTGACTGATTGTGATTCTTGGGATGTGGCTGTTTCGGTGGAATCTGCAATGTTTGAGAAATTAGGTTGTTTCGAGGGACCTCAAAAACCAAAGTACAGATCCATTCTGTTTAACATTGGAGATAGTAACAATCCTGACCTAAGGAGGAAAGTGTTGACTGGTGAGATCAATGGAGAGAGACTGATGACGATGAAGAGGGAAGAGATGGGAAGTGACAAGATTCAGAAGGAAGTGAAAGCAATCAAAGAGAAAGCAGCAAGATATAAAGAAGAGAATTGACTCAAGAGTATGATGATGCTTCATCAATCAGATCATATGATCATGACTTAAGTAGAGAACTAGAGATTTTTTGTCAAATTTATTAATCTCTTCTTTAGGGTTTTGAAGACCTATAAAGACTAAATTTGTTTCAACGCTTTGTAATTGGTACATGGTTTAGTTTCATTGTTAAAAAATTTAAACTCATTTTTTTCTGTCTGCTACCTCTCAGTTTCATTGTTTAGAATCAGTCATGTAATCTATAAATACTCTGTAAATCTTCATTAAATGAAATAGTTTTCGATTTACACTTATCTTTTATAGTACAATTGATAGAAAATAGATCCAAATTTATCTCCAACAAGACCCATTTTTACAACAACATTCACAAAGCAGAGTGAAGCCAAAAGTTAGGATTTTTCTTTGAAGAAGATCGATCTGTACTTTGGTTTTCTTGATCCTTCCGGCTTAAGAATGGTTAGATCAAAACACACTTAGCCGCGTAATTTTGTCCCACAGGCACTTGTGGGAGTGAAAATAACACAAGACAAAGGTTCAGAACAACTGAAGAAAGGAACAGAACCATGCAAGTACTAGCTTTTGCTCGTCTCTTGCTGATTTCAAACTGTCTTCAAATTGCTTATTTGGTTCTATTTGCTTTGGGGGATTTGATCTTTGAACACTCTCAGATGGCTTGATATGAGCATAAACCGATTATCAGGTCATATACCTAGTGAAATCATGAGCTCTATGCTAAAGAGAATGACATATTGTTGTTGACTATAGGATGATCTTTTGACATTGTTGTTTACTAACAATAAACTCTTTCAATCGAACTGAAGTTATTTCTAATACATGTTCAAATTTCATGACATTTTGTTCAAGTCCTCTGAATCTGATACACTATTCCTCTTTTTAATTTTATTTTCTTCCTCATTTTTATTATTGTACAGGTATATATATATATTTAACATTTTGTTCCTTCTCATTTTTGCAAGCCATAGTAAAAATTTGGGGATGATATCAAAATAAAAATATACACAGCATTTCATTTCCTACCCTCCTAAAAGGTTAAAATGCTTTAACGCCGAAATTGTTTTATTTTTAAAATAAAAATCTGACCGAATTTCTTGTTCATCATCGCTCGCCGCCGCGTTCTCGCTTCAAAACTTGCTCATTCTCTCGAATTATACTCCTCTCAGGTAAGCTTCTTCGATCCTCCTCTACTGATTTCGCACCTCCCTTCTGGTTCTCTGCTTTTCTAGCTTGTATCAAATTCTCAAAAAGTGCAAATTGATAAACCCTAGTTTATCCCCATTCAATTTGCAGATTCTTCCCCCCTAAATCAGTCAGGAGCTAGTCGGAAACCTAATTTGAGCTGATCGCCGTGAAATTACACAATCTCCAGAATCGGCACTGTGTTTAGACACCATTGAAGATGAGAACCAGTCGTTTTCTGAAATCGGAACTTCTTCTCTCCACCAAGTGAGAAGAAGAAGAAGATGGATATTCATTTGATCGACGAGGTTTCGCCAATGGTGAATCACGGCATGGAAGATCATGTAGACGCCGAACCTAGAGATTGCAGTGTATCGAATCACATCGAGAACTCACT